TCCGGATCCGCGTGTTATTGCTGTTCAGCTTTGGATCCTTGTATGTGAAATCCACTCTATTTGAAGAGCCCACACTCATACGTTTTACAGTGTCATTGCCACAAGTTCTGTTCGATTTGCTCACCTCTTCGACCGCAAGTATTCACCGGCGAATCCGGATTACTTCTGTGAGTATCCCTCTGCCTTGCAAGATTGGCAGGAAATACTAACCTGTTCAAGATGACGCAATCACACAGTTTACCTGGGCTTCCTTAGAAACCCAGAGTAGCATCATCTGTACTTGCCTTCCTCATCTCAATCCACTATTTACAAACACCATCCCGAGATTTATGAAGTCGAAATTTACCAATAGCAAGGGAATTGGCGATGTGTCAGGCGCTTTGAGACAACCTCGTCGAGATAATAATATGGGCGATGACAACGACGCCCTCTTCCCCAAACGCCGCAACAGTCTGGAAAAATGGGGCATGAAGATGACAGCGGTAGAGCGCGAGGGCGCGACTATAAATGAAACTTCCAATATCAGCAATTCCGCCATAGCGACACACGGCTCCGGCACCCAGAGAACTGAGTCGCAGGATAATATTTTGGGGACCCCACCTGGGTCTAGCGCTGGGATGGTTGTGGAAAATAATGAGTCGAAAAGGACGCCGTCAGATCATCTGAACCACGGCCCTGACATAGTTTAGTTTGGGGGTTTGGTTGAGATTAGTTCGGTTGTGGAGCCGTTTTCGTTTTGCTTTGCTTTGCTTTCTTTTCGTTGAGTGCCAGTTGCGATATAAATATCTTATTGGCGAATCGGCGGATATAGACGGTATTGCGCAAAAGGAAATCATTTGTACTCGTTAAGCCGGAGCTTCGAGGTGTACTAGAGACTAGATCACTCCCGTTCAACTCGGTACTACTGAGTGGACCTTAATGCGGCCGGGTATTCTGCTTTATATATATACTTATCATACCTTGGTTATAGACATATAATCTGGACGCACTGTCTATTGTAACTATCTAGGGACAACGCAAATTCAAGTTTACTCGTACCCTTAGATCCAACCCCTTATAGACTGCTAAGAGAAGAAAGGCGGGTTTTAAATATATTTAGAAGGCTAGAATAGCTACTAGACAGTAGCTACTCAACTTAAGACCAGATCCTAAGGAAGAGGAGGAAGTTTGAGTTCGCTTATAAAATAGTTTCTTTTGTCTTCTTTATATTGTAGAACAATGGTTCTAAACCCTACTTTGAGATCCCTGGCGGCACTATAAATACCGAGTACTAGGGTACGACGTCGGGGCTCCGGGGTGGACCCCACAATAAATGCTTATTACTCCATACCGAGCACTACATGTACTGCACGTACCAGGATGCCATTGACTGAATCCGTTATCTCCCCGGCTGCCTTATACTTTTGCCTTGTGCGTATCTTTACTCCCCCATTTATGCCATAATAGTAGCATCTAGTAGTCGTTAATCGTGATATCCTACTGAGTTACAAAGTACGTCAACATTACTGAAATAAACTCCCAAGCAAACTTTATCTATAACACGCGCTTTCAAACCATAGGATCAAGTACAAACTCCATTTACGAAACTCAATTGTTTAGCAATAACAACAATCACCATACCTGGGTTTCTTGACCCGCACCGCTCTGGTCCTGCCGTCGATGTGTCGATACTACCAACAGGCTGGTTATTCCTCCCAGATTCTTGGATTTTCACAGATGGGAAGCCATCGTTAAAGCATTGGTCGCCTGATTTCTCCTTTCTGATACGGCATCCTTCTGGAAAGAGCGTATTATTCGATCTTCGAATGCGCAAAGTTAGTCAGGTCCATTCTGCCGAGTATCCCATCATTGCACCTCATGTCCCGAAAGATGTATACGATCTCCTGATTGAAGGCCCCGTCCACCCCGAGGACATCGACGTCGTCATCCTCAGCCATCTGCACTTCGACCACACCGGGGACGTGACCCGTTTCCCGTCGGCGGAAATCCTCGTCGGTGCCGGCTCCGAAGCAACCACGACGCCCGGTTGGCCCAAGGCCGAATTCTCTCCCTTCGACGGCACCGTCCTCTCGCACCCCAAGTTCCGTGAGCTTCCCAGCAGCGGAACTGGCTTCGCACCTCTCGGTCCCTTCCCCAAATCATACGAAGTTATTGTTAGCAGTGTTGGAGGTCTAGGAAGTTCAATCTACTTACTCGCTGGCATGTACGGTAGCTGCCATGGCGGCGAGAACAATAGAGACGATCTTGAATTGCATATTGAGTATCGGGTTGGATTGTTTAATTAGGTGATTGGATGAGTGACTCAGGTCAGTTGTACCCTTTAGAGATTGATGTGATGGTCGGGGTAGAGATTTCTGTTTGTGTTTAGTAAAGGGTTGAGTTGAGGATGACGCGAGATATCAAAAGCCTGGCTTCAATCGGCGAGCAGGGCGGCGAAGACATAACGATGGCATTAAACTTTATTAGGAGCTTGCAAGCTCCTATTGAAATTTTGTTGCACATCGCACTTTTGCCAAAGTCGCACTTTTACCCAACATCTGACATATCACCTTAAAGGCAAGTTAAGCGTCTTCTAAATAAAACTTTCTTGCATATTGCACTTTTACAAATGTCGTACCTTTGAGATGTCGGATAGAAGTGCAATATTTGCAAAAGTGCGATGTGCAACAAAACTCTGGAAGGACACAGCACCAACTAGGCAGAATCTCCTACCGCCTTCGAGAGACTCGTTCTGCCTCAATGCTAATCATTAGACAGCCCTACTGCCAATATGTGTTTAGAGGGCCAAGTATGGCAAAATATGATATGGATAACGTGATAATACCATACCACAAGGTGGATGGCATTCGTCATTAGAGTACGCACAACGAAGAGCTTATTTTCAGAATAACATTACAAGGTAGATATCTGAAGAACTCCTCCCGTAGATTAATCTTAAATTACTTCGTTGTAAAATGGCATATTCAGATGGAGGATAAAAGACGTAGAACTTTCCTTTCCGCAAGGATGGACTGCTGTTGCGTGGATGTGGATGTAGTAGCTCTATGCAGGAGCCATTGTATTTGCCATGAGAACATATGGGTTTAGGGGGTTGCGTATTGCATAAGAATTGCATAATATAAAGGATAAGACTACTGTCAAATCAAGCATACCTTGGCATGGGATGCCATACTTTGTAGATATCACTGGAAATCAAGCGTAACTTGGCATGGGGCGCCGTAGGTATCACTAGAGATGAAGCGCATTGATCGAAGCTCAAGATTCTTATGAATGCAGATCATGCCAGCGGAATAGGAAATGCAAAACGTCTCCCGGCTAACTAGGTGGACGGTCTACAGTGAGGAAATCCGGATGGCCCACCGCAGGTCTGTCTTCCAGCACAGGGTCGCGTCAATCAGACAGATCGAGTCCTCCATATCCATTCATATACAGACACATATAGGCGAGCACATTATATGATTGTGATTCGATAGAAAGTATGTATGGTCAATCATTGAAACCCTCCCCATAGGGCAAAGGAGAACGTTTCACCCAAGATCGAACGAAATTCCTCTCCGTTTCTACTGACGAATCGGTTGGTCATGGAACCTCGCATCACCCACAAGTGGGCAACGGGTTTCTCAAACTGATTGCTTTGAGCGAACGTGATTTTTTTGCGTTGTAAGAAATAAATTTCTTATTGTAAAGAGAAAAGAAGAAGAGGAAGTCGAAATTTTGAAGTTGCCGAAGATATATTTTTTCGCCTCGCTAGCGTAGCTGCCTCAGGCATAGATTTCGTCTTCATTTCGTTTTCGTGCCCCTCAACTTCGGGGAACGTGCGCAACCCCCGCCAAGTTTGCCGCCGAAAGAAATTGCCCCGCCAAACATTTCTGCCCGCGATATCGGTATCTAACGAAGGCATTGCGATTAGTCTTGATAGAGAATTACTTTCAAGATGTCTAGCCAGAAGATAGGTACGATAATGCTTGAGGTGTTAGAGCCCTTCCGCCGACTAATACCCTTCGATAGCGATCATCTCGGTCTACGACAAGACGGGCTTACTTGACCTGGCTAAGGGCCTGATCAAGCAAAATGTTCGCCTTCTTGCTTCAGGAGGGACGGCGAAGATGATTAGAGAGTCAGGATTTGCTGTCGAGTAGGTTCCCGATCTCTGGTTGATATGCTATGATTTGAAACCGACTCTTGTCTTGTCACTTCAGCTTTATATCTTCGGGGTTCTAATTTTTGAATTAGGGATGTCTCTGCCATCACGCACGCACCCGAGATGCTGGCTGGCCGAGTGAAGACGTTACACCCAGCAGTCCACGCCGGTATCCTCGCACGCAACCTTGCCTCCGATGAGAAAGACCTTGCCGAGCAAAATATCAACAAGGTCGACTACGTCATCTGCAATTTGTACCCATTCAAAGACACAGTGGCCAAGATCAATGTCCAGATCCCCGAGGCTGTGGAGGAGATTGACATTGGAGGAGTTACGCTGATCCGAGCCGCTGCGAAGAACCACGCCCGAGTCACCATCTTGAGTGATCCTGTGGACTACCCAGAATTCCTACAGGAGTTGGAGAAGGGGGAGGTAACGGAGCGCAGCAGAAACCTATATGCTTTGAAGGCATTCGAGCATACCGCAGACTATGATGCATCGATCTCCGACTTCTTTCGCAAGCAATATGCAGGCGAAGGAGTTCAGCAATTGGCACTCCGCTATGGAGCAAACCCGCATCAAAAGCCTGCTGCGGCATTTTCCAGACTCGGACCACTTCCATTCAAGGTTCTCTGCGGATCGCCTGGTTATATCAACCTGCTTGACGCTTTGAACGCATGGCCCTTGGTCAAGGAGCTGAAGGCTGCTCTGGGGAAACCCGCCGCCGCAAGCTTCAAGCACGTCTCTCCTGCTGGAGCTGCGATCGCTGTACCTCTGACTGCGGATGAGAAGAAGGTGTACATGGTCGACGATATTGCCGGCCTAGACGACTCACCTCTGGCACAAGCCTATGCACGTGCTAGAGGCGCTGATCGCATGAGCAGCTTCGGTGACATGATTGCCCTGAGTGACGTTGTCGATGTCCCTACCGCCAAGATCATCTCTAGAGAAGTATCTGATGGCGTTATCGCTGCTGGGTATGAGGCTGAGGCTCTCGAGATTTTGAAGAAGAAGAAAGGAGGAAAATATCTTGTTCTTCAGATGGACCCTGAATATGAGCCATCTCCTCAGGAGTCGCGGACGGTGTACGGTATCACGATGACCCAGCATCGAAACGACATCGAGATCTCTCCCGGGTCGTTCACAACCGTCGTCGTACCTAAGAATTCTGCTCCACTGTCAGAATCCGCACTTCGCGATATGACTGTTGCCACTATTGCGCTGAAATACACACAGAGCAACTCAGTTTGCTATGCTCTCAATGGTCAAATTGTTGGCCTCGGCGCAGGACAACAATCCCGTATCCACTGCACTCGTCTCGCTGGTGACAAGGCAGACAACTGGTGGCTTAGATTCAACCCTCGAGTGCTGGGTATCAAGTGGAAGAAGGGCACAAAGCGACCAGACAAGAGCAACGCAATTGACCTCCTCGTCAGCGGCGAGCTACCAAAGGATGGCCCCGAGAGAGAAGCCTACGAGGCTGCGTTTGAAGAGGTCCCTCAGGCATTTACGGAGGAGGAGAGAGCGGAATGGCTTGGAAAACTGACTGATGTTGTTGTGTCGAGTGATGCATTCGTAAGTGTTCCCGTCTCCGTTATTTATACCACAGCTTGAATTTTTCTCTAACTGCCAAAACAATTATAGTTCCCATTCATCGACAATGTCTACAGAGCCGCTCGTTCAGGCGTCAAGTACATTGCCGCTCCAAGTGGCAGCCAGAACGACTCTGCCGTTTTCGAGACCGCTGAGAACTTGGGCATCACCTTCGTTGAGCAGCGGATCCGTCTCTTCCATCACTAGGTAGAAACGGTCACGCCGCTACAGTACCTGTGGTGAGCAGATGCACGTTTCCCTGCGCGAGTCTAAAATGGAGAGACCAGATAGATACCCGATAATAGACATCGAGCTTGAAGTCATTTCCCCCCCTGAACCTTGCTCCTCTTATTTTATTTATTCCTGTAATATACCCATCCTACCTTGTGTATTCCTCTGCTAGGATCTAATGCGTGGGAATTGAGAGCGCTCGAAAACCAAGTAGTGGGAAGGTGATGTCCTCGCCGCCTCATTCCCGCAGTTGAGCTTTCTGCAGGTCTAATTGTAAACCCAAAAGCACAAGGTGCAGACAGGTACCGTCATCGGAGTTTTAAATTCACCGACCCTATCCATTTGTACTTCGTATGTGGTTCAATACTGCCTTCTTCCAATGATACGCATCCCGCTCCCACTTTCAAAAATACTCCTAGCAAGATATATTCCTACCTATGGCAGTGTATCCTTATATATGTACTAGTAATCATCTCTGTTCTACTCCTTCCAGTCTGTTCCTATCTACCAATTTCCTCATCCATTTAATGCAGGTCCCCAAGGCAAGTCTTAGAACCCGGACTCTCCCGCGTGATTTTCCCCATGCAGAGGAATATGATAACTACGGTGGTCGGGAGACCCGAGGGAGTGGGTTGCACCAGGGGGCCAGGCTTGCAAAATAGAATTAATCGTATGACATAAAATGGCTCAGGCAAAAGTAAATCACGTCAGCAGCGGCCGGGCGCTCTCGTCTCTTTTCTTAGCCTGGGGAAAGGGAAATGGCGGGTGAGAGGTAATAAGCTGGGGAAACAGATTACTTTTGGTAGTGAGATCGGGTTTATTCGCAATGATAGCAATTGATGATTCTACAATTATTCTTATCTGGACTTTGCCATGCTGTGGTGGAAGGGAATGAGAAATAGGTACGCTACCTGAGGTGCCGAGGTAACTAGAGGTTACCTTTTCGCATGGGCGTCCTCTAGGGAGAGAAGTGCGAAAGTACAGTACAGTATTTGTGATTTGACATTCCCCACACACATCGAAAAATAGATACCGACTCCTGCTGGTGCTGGTGTGCGGTACGACGTACAGCACCTCCTTCATCGAATACCAAGGCGGGAGAAACAGCGGTAGAGTGTTACATACAGTATTGGTAATAAATCTATGTTAAGAAATTCCTCACGCACTGCAGCACATTGTACTGTTACTCTACCACGAAAGTAAGTATCGCTTGGAGTAATGGAGGCCACCACACTGCACGGCATATACCCGTGGGTGGCGGGGCGGTCAGCACTAGAGCTGCAACAACGGTCGTCTATCTCGATTTTGTCGCCTCTATTTGGGGGAGTCGCAGTGTGACTTGAGGGTTGCTAGTGCAGCGATCTTGCTGGTGGCGTGGTTGGAATGAGAGAGATGGGGATATAATCGGAGATGTGTTCTCGAAGGAGGCGGCGTGGGTTTCGGTTGGCGCTATTGCATGTGCCAGAGTTGGAATAATAATTGGAACCTGAAAGAGAAAGAGTACGTACCTTATTCGTGGCTCTGGGTTGTTCTGAGCTTGCTTCTGGGTTCTGGGTGCTCGGGCTCCTGATGGTTGTCGGTGTCGCTGTCATAATACTAATCCTGCAATAATAATGGGAGCTGCACAGGGGCCGCACAGAGACCGTAGAAAGCAGCTTGCGCATCACTGCACATCATTCGCCAACGGGACTCGCGCGGCGGTCGAGTCGCTGTCCAGTCGCCATGCAGCACCACCCCGAGGAACCCTTCTGGTGGCTAAAATAGGCCTCCAGGGACGCAGTCGCCGGCGCTCTTGCCGCCCAACCACGGCGCCTCCCACTGCAACTGCGCGAACCCCCCCCTCCAAACCCTCCAAACGGGCGCCCAATGAGCAGCCAGAGAAACATCCGGGCGCGTCGCGGGTCGTCCCCATTGGAACATCGACGTTGCACCCCGGAGAGCGGCTTCTGCAGTTGGCGGTATCGAGGTATAGAGCGGGAAAAGTACAGAGTACTGTACTGTACGAAGTACCTGCTCTCCTTTTGCTTCGTGTCTACTGCTTTGTTTTCAAGATATTCGATCGTATACTGCTATTGCTTTGCTATTGCCACTGTATTGCTATCATTATCATATCATCGCTATTCTCTGTTTCTTGCGCTCATTCTCTGTCTCTGTGCGTAGTTGCACCTGGGCTATGTCGGGCTGCTCAGCCCTGCCTGTATCTGCCATCACATCACATCACCCACATATGTACAGTACTACTGTGCAGTACTGTACTAGGTACCTCTACCTTGGCTGCCTCTGTTGGTCGATAACCGCCCTCCCCCCCCCTGACTACTCCCAGTCACTCTCCACTATCTCTCCCCGCCACAGTCCAACTCCCCTCCACTCCCGCCCTACCGAACCTACAGCTACATACCAGCCTCCAGCGTATAGCGTACATACAAATGCCAATATCCCCAATATGCACTGCAACTGGCTCTTCACGGCGTCTATTTTTGACTCCATTCGCTGCCCCCCCCTCTACCGCCCACCAGGGATCTTCTTTCCTCCTCTGCTCCAGTGGCCCAATCCCATCCCTCATGCCCCTCCAGTCCCGGCGCTGACCACCCTGCTTGCTGCGTGCTCGTCCACTGGCAAAGTTTCCCGTTTCCCTCCCATCGTCACTTGCACTTGCACTTACACTTACTCACCTCCTCCCCCCGTCAAGCCTTCTGTCCTTCTCTGCTAGTATCCGTCTTCTGTCTCACTCACCCGGCCCAATCTGACCCCTTCATGGTCTCTCGCCCGACATCCCATCCCTCCATACCGGTCCCCTCTCATCCCGAGTACTTTCGTAGCGCTGATCGTCGAAGCCGCCGCAATCTTCTGGACTGCTCTCGAATTAGAAACTCATTAGCACCATCCCTCAGCGCGCGCTTCCACAAAACCTGCGCTCTCCCCCACCCACCGGTACATGACCTCTTCTCTTCTCTCTTGCGTGGTAGCTGGTCTCTATCTGTAATTCTTTTTATCTTATCCTTCACCCTCTGTGCATCTTGCTCCCTCAGTGTTGCTGTGTCCGGGTTGACCTTCATCCATATCTTGTCTCTGTACGCACTGCTTTTGCTCCTCCTCCTGCATACATTGATCATTATTTTTCTTTCCTCTCCTTCATATATTCCAATATGCCCAGTGAGTGAAAAGCAAGCAAAGGAGTCTGATATATCCCGTTTCGAACAGGCCGCTGACAACCAACTTTCTCAGGCTTCTCCGAGAAGAAAAGACCTCCTCCACTCGCCCGCCGCACATCCGAGTCGTCATCTGGCTCTTCAATAGAGACGCTCAAGGTCCCAAGAACACCACGTTTCGCCGAGGCTACGGCCGTACATTCACCCGTCGACGATAGTCGCTCTCCCTTCGCAGACCCCCCCGAGACCAAGTCATACATGGCTCAATCACAGCCTTCAGATATAGGCTTCGGCTACCTATCTCAGAATGACGCATCACGGCATAGTCAAGGCGTGCCGGTCGATGTGCCACTCACACCGGCATCGCCATTAAAAAGCGCCATGAGAGTTCCAGGGACGCCAGGGCGGAAGATCGATAACCCTCTAAGTCCGACGTTTCGGGAAGAGCAGATTCTTGAGAAGCAGGAAGTTTTGACGGAAAAGGAACAAGCAAAGGATCTGGTAAGCCTCGTGAACTGGTCTCGCTATATGAAAACGATGCTAACCGTGCTACAGAAAGTAAAAACAAGAGTCCGGGTGGCAAAGTTAATTCTAAGAGGCGTCAACTTTAGCTGCAGTCTGATTGTCCTCGCCCTGATCGGGACGACTTTATCGATCTTGAATGCAACCAGGCACTTGCCAGCACGGAATAACCTCCCCCCTTGGGCTGAAGGCACGAAGAGGTGGCCTCAGATTGTCGTTCTCGTCGTAGCCTGCGTCTCATTAGCATTATGTCTCCTTGTGTTCTGGAATTACTGGAGAGGCGGCCACCAGCGGGCGGAGAAGGTTGCTGTCTACTACACGCTCTTCGCCGTTGCATTCTTCATCTTCAGCGTGATCATGTGGGGCATCGCCGCCGGTATTCTACAAGGCAACAGAGACAAGGGTAATAACAAGGACGTTTGGGGATGGGCCTGTGTCGACAATAAGCGGAGTCAGCTATTCTCAGATGAAATCGACTATGCACTGGTTTGCAGAGTACAGGTAAGATTCACCTTCAGCTCCGTACTAGTGAGAATTTCTAGCTGACAGATCTGCAGTCCTGGGCTCTCGTATGCTGTATCATTGAAATCGTGGTCGAGTGCATCTCCATCGTGCTCTACGGCGTCATCTTCTACCGATACTACTCCAAGCAAAAGCTCCGCAAGTCCATGGACGTCCGTGACCGCGCCCGCTCCGATGTCTACCTCGCCCAGCTACGCTCCCAATCCGCGCCCAACACTCCAGGCTTTGGCCCACTTTCTCCTTCGTACTCCCAGCACATGAAATCCCCACGCTTCCCTCCAGCGGCGTACGGCAGTGCCTCTCTGGCGGAAGAAGGTCTAGCAGGAGCCCGCTTTGTCGAAACCTCACCTACGTCCACTCAAGAAAAGAAACCGTTTACCCTCCAAGCTCCTCCCATTAGAATCCACAACGCCACGCCAAAGACACCCCAAGATGGCTTCGAGCCTCAACAACCACCAAAGCAACGAGTCCTCGAACACGTTGCCGCGGCGCCAGGCGAGCAGACATACGCTGCCGTCCCAATCCCAGGCTCATATGCCAGTCCAGCCCCAACAAAAACCACATTCGGGGATGTAGGACAAGCAATGACGAGCGATAGCCGGATCGAAAGTCCGCCTGGGAGTCCACGGGGGTGGAAATAGATGAAATTATAACGAAAACGTGGCTTTGTTTTTAACCTCTTTTTTCTATGTCTTGGATATTGTTTATATACCTATACCTGTTTCTTTTTTTTGGCGGGGTGGGACTTTGGGCATTGGAGTTGGTGGGAAACACACACAACACACACACATATATGTTCTTTTTTGGATGACAGATGTAAAAATCTGATGGATACTGGGGTATCGATCGTGATAGCTGGAATGTCGAGTTAGCCTGGCTAAGTGAGCTGGTTGGCTGTTAATACAAATCTTATAAACTAAATACCTGATGCTATGCCTCATTTCACATGTGAGAATAGTTATTACGCTTTTGGTGAAGATTAACGTTCATTTAGTCTTGTGCCCAGAACCAAGAATCCCCTCAACCACACTGACACACACACCATACTTCGTCCTACCTGATGAAATCATTAAAATTGGCCCCCTAATATCGGCGGATAGATACTCTTATGTCAATGGACGTTAACTAAGGTGGCGTAACTATAAAACGTGTGAAAACGGGCCTCAAACTAGGCCGGCTCCCTGGTAACGGATGTTTGGGGAGTTCCTATGCGGCGGTTGGAGGTTGCAGAGTTGAAGTTGTGATTGGGTGGTGGAAAAGGGGATTTTTGAGGGGAGGGGAAGGGGTATTTGGTATAGGTGAGCTTGTTAGAACAGGGAAACGGAAAACCGGAAACTGGAAATGGGAAACGGGAGGGGGGATAATGGAAACCGAGAAATGGAAAACGGAAAACGGAAAACGGGAAACCGGAAACCGGGTGGTGGAGTGCTAGGAAAAGATAAAGGGTTTACAGGGGAGGGCTTTTTGGTAGGTGAGTAAAGACAGGGGAACGGAAAACCGGGAATGGGAAATGGGAAGTGGGAAACGGAAAACGGAAAACGGAAAACCGGAGAGGGACAATGGAAACCTGGGAAGTGGGAAACGGAAAACGGAAAACTAGAGAAGGACAATTGAAACCCAAGAGAAAGAAATAAGAAACGGAAGCCTAGAAATGGGAAATACGAAATTGGAGAGGGACGATGGAAACCGGGAAATAGGAAACGGAAAACTGGAGAGGGATAATAGAAACCAGGAAATAGGAAATAGGAAACGGAAAACAGATAACAGGGAAACTAGAGAAGAACAACAGAAACCTAGAAATAGGAAACCTGGAAGTAGGAAACCCGGCATTCGTAGATACATATCTCAGTAGAGTAAGTTAGTAGTAAGAAGTGAAGTAAAGTAGTCTATAGTACTATGATATGCCTTGGTATATAGCAAGGGAACGAGGTAGATATGTTGAAAATAAGCAAGAGGATAAGAAACAGGGAATAGAGATAGGGAGAAGTGACAAATAAGGAATCGATAATAGATAAAACTATAGAGTTAAAAGAACAACCCAATTCTGCAGTAGTACGAGTACAACACTAGCTCATGCTTGTTGTTACTAAGAGGGAACGGAAATAAAGAAGTCTAAATTCAATATATCAACATAGCTAGCTATTATCTACACAAGCCCACCCCGAAAAGAACTACTCACTTACTCACAGCAGAAACTCTACTTAAAATAAAAAGCCCATCCCCATTCTTTCATTTCTGTAGCGGGAATTTCTAATATCAGAGCGATTAATTGCCCCATTATGTGATATACACAGGCCTGCAAAAAACCTCCCCCCATACGTAGAATTATATACCCCATATTCGATGATTTAAGGACTTTCACGCCCACTAGTGCAGGCATATTTCTAATGCCAAACCCTTCCATTTCCGTTAAATTGTTGTTTACGTTTGCTCTTCTATCACACCCGGCCCGTCCCTCCACGACGAATAGGTACCATCCTCTATTTCCCAGCAGCATCCTTCATCTTCTCCACGGCCTTAGTAACCTCTCCCTCGATCTTGCCTACAGCACCCTCGGCCTTGTTCTTCACGGCCTCCTCCTTCCCGCCCCACTTGTGGTACTGCATCCACCTATAGGCTTGGGTAAGCTGTGCGCCCTCGTTGACGAAGTGGCAGGCGAAGAGTAGGTAGTTCCTTGGTGAGACGGCGAGTGCGTAGCGCATGAAGGTCGCAGAGTAGATGCATAGAGCACCTGTCATTTGGCCGGAGATTCTAAGGAAGTGGTGGTTAGCCTTTGTGTAGGGGTTTTGTGAAGGTGACATGGAATTGGGACGGGGATTGGGCTTGGTAGGGAAGGGAGGATAAAGGCAAAAGGGGAGTTCCTTTTAAGGGGAACGGGGAATAGGAATATTCGTGAAGCAGAACAAGAACTCACAAATCAGCACTCTTCTGTGTATCCATCACCGCCGCCAACGGGATTCCGAAATTCGACACTGGGCCCCAGAAATCTACACAATTCCACCAAGCATTAGCATCAATTCAATCTATATCTCATTCCTAGTTTCATCAATTCCCTCCTCTGCGCACACCCGGGGAGAGATAGATAGATAGCTTTCCGACAACTCTCCCCCTCCGACGCCGAAAGCGCAGAGAAATAAATTGGATAGTGATGATAGAATGGGGGCTTACGTGTAGAGCAGACATAGCTCAGCATGGGACGCGAGCGGATCTTCGCATTGAGTCTGGAAAAGAAGGACGCCATTCTGAGGGATGTTGTCGTGAGGGAGAATGGCTGACTAGACTGCGAAGGCTGGAAGATCGATGAGTCCGGGGTTTGGCGTTTTTGGTGATGTTATTCCGGTGACCGGCCTTGGAGTTTTCCCCGGTTAGTCACGTGTGCACTTATTATTTTTCATTTTGATAATGGACGAAGAAACAAGCAAGTCGCTATTGGTTTTAGGTTTTAGGTAGGTAGTCAATTGGAGGTTGAAAGGTTCAGGAGATAAGGTACTGTATTTCTCAAGCCACGCTAATTCCCATTTGATTTGTTTGGTCGCCGTGTCTATGCTACAAGTCGCCAATTTTTGTAAGAAGCCCAACTCCCCTACAACGCCGGTACTGTGCTTAAATTTTCTCCGCCATTTCCTCATCATGTAGAAATTCCAATCATCCCCATTACCCATGATCACCTTCTTGGAGGTGCAAAACCCGGGGGTGGACCTTGTCCAGCTGGGAAGCCTGGTGGGGGGAAGCCTCCAGGAGGGAATCCTGGTGGGGGTCCTGCAGAAATATCAGAACTTGGTCTGAATATTCCAAAAGTATAGAAGAGCTCTGAATACTCCGGAAATATAAAGGGGGAGGGGGTTAGACGTACCTCCTCTGCCAAAAGGTGGGGCACCTGGGAAACCTCCAAAAGCTGGAGGAGGAGCTCCAACTCCAGCAGCAGGACCCTAATAACAATCAGCTATAATTCACAGAAACAAGTCTATGTAAACCTACAGCTAATCCAACAGGCGCACCTCGACCGGCAGGACGGGCAATTCCTGGTCCAGCAGCAAGGTTGGTAGCAAGACCACCTGGTGCGCTGGCTCCTAGACGCGCAGCCGGGTCGGCAGGAGGCGGAGACTCAACAGAAAGAGAGATAACATGGGCGCCTCGGACGATTGTAAGACCTAATGTACGCTTCTCCTCTGTCTCGACAAGTGGGGCAGAGCTGCTGCTTGCGCCTGGAGCTGCGGATGTTTTGTTGGCCTTGCGCTTGACACGTCTGAACTCCTCGGTATCCGCGAGAACGAGATTCATATGCTATTGAAAGTTAGTAGGAGCAGAGAAACATAGACTAGAGGAATGCGAACCTTGTCAAATGCCAACATCTGTCCGACCATCTGCCGTCCATCGTTCATGGTCACTCTCATCCGGTAGTTGATCTATTCCTGCATCAGCGCCCCATTCTATAGTCGCATAGTAACGAAAAAGGTTCGAATGTCTTTGCAAAGGGACGTAACGTACGAGACCGGCCTATGCAGAGAGTAATAGTCAGCTTATAATGTCAACAGAGACCTTCTGAAGGGAGGCACTGGGGCATGAGACTCACCATCTTTCCCTGCTTGTTGGCCATGTTGGGCGAGATGCGCGATGTAACGGCTTCTCTTGAGTTTCAAAGAATGGGTATTGAAGTTTCTGGACTTCAAATAACTCTTCAGCTCTTGCAAGCTTCTCGAGTTGCGACTTGATGGGGTCTTGAATGAGGAGGCTGAAGCTCTCCCATGGAAATTTGTCGCCTAACTCGATCGAAGCTTAGCGCGGAATTTCACTCAAGCGAGCCCACCACGCACCAAGGCTGTCCAGTATTTTCGAAATCGAGAAACTTTCGCGATCCATTCTCGACCAACACGACAAATTTCCCACGACGACAATCACAATGGCCGAAACCAAGGACAAGTCTGCCAACCCCATGAGGGAGCTTCGCATCCAGAAGCTCGTCCTCAACATCTCCGTCGGAGAGTCTGGTGATAGACTCACCAGAGCTGCCAAAGTGTTGGAGCAACTGAGTGGTCAAACCCCAGTCTACAGTATGAAAATCACCATCAAATCAACCAGCATATGATTCCTAACAGTATTTTTCACAGGCAAGGCCAGATACACTGTCCGTACCTTCGGTATCCGTCGTAACGAGAAGATTTCCGTGCACGTCACCGTCCGTGGACCCAAGGCCGAGGAGATCCTCGAGCGTGGATTGAAGGTCAAGGAGTACGAGCTCCGCAAGCGCAACTTCTCTGAGACTGGCAACTTCGGTTTCGGTATCAGCGAGCATATTGATCTCGGTATCAAGTATGACCCTGGAATCGGCATTTACGGAATGGACTTCTACGCCTGCAGTGAGTATATCGGCTACGGGACGGGGAAGATAAATATATTGACCATAACTAGTGACCCGCCCTGGTGAGCGTGTTGCCAAGCGTCGCCGCTGCAAGACCCGTGTCGGTGCCAACCACAAGATCAGACGTGATGAGACCGTCAAATGGTTCAAGAACCGCTTCGAGGTATGTACCACTCGTTGCAGCTGCATATATTACTTTTGCTAATATATATATAACAGGGTATTGTCCGATAAATTTTCTACACACTTTGATCGGAATGAAAAAAGGAGTAAATGGATGAGGCATGAAACGGGCATCACTGGCTGTACTTTACTGCATCTACGGATCAGAACCCCAATGAAGCAGTTTTCCAAACTGTTCAGCTTGATCTATATTGATCAGCTGCGGCCTCAGAGACCGACCGGCATTTTGCCGGCTCATTGCAAGTGAGACTATTCAGTGTGAATTAAATATTATATGATACCATGACCGAGATACTTTACGTTTTACTTGGCTGTGAGACGATTCTCGAACGTCTAACTCGAAGTTTGTCATCACGGTATACTGAGTCCTAGGATATCACCTTTTTATATCTGGAGCTTTCGGTGTATCCCTCTTCGCTCGTACCATCTGCCGTATCATTCATCCAGCCTACACTTTTGCTATCTACCTGGCGCGCCGTTTGGCTCTAAACTTGATCCCAAAAGTCATATCATGACATAAATAGCCACCCCACCTCAGGCTCAGTGGATATTCCTGGTCCCTAATATATTCTCTTACTAAATCCTATAGGTAGGTTTGTTGGACTTGAATTGACCTATTGCCGGATATGCGTTTAGGTGTTGGGTGTTAAAACATGAACTTATTATCGATCAGATGATTTATTTACTCCGCATATCTTGGTGGAAGTGAAAGGAAATGGGGTGCTTCTTACGTTCAGGCAAACCAGTGTATCTTTTATCCAAAGCGAGAGAATTAAATATCCAAATTATCCATCCGTCCTACTGAATGTTGTGGGCTGCTTCAATCATCATCCGAACCAATTATCGCGGGAATTTAGTTGCTATCTCACGAGACGGTGATGCGTACGAGTGGAGACACGCCATGGCTTTAAATGTGAACCTAATGAAAGATACCAAGACACCCTGATGCTTGGGATGAGAACTAAGGCAGTAGTGTTATATAGAAGAAGTCGATGATGTAACCGGATTTTAGGACACTCCCGCCTCGTGGATAGGATGTTCTAGACCCCTCAGCCTAATCATCTGGTCAATATCTGACATTTTTATATTCATGGCATTTTACTCGGGGCACGATTGAAGAATCATAGTTTCAATTGAGGCCCATAAATTCCACCGTATAAACTGCATGATGCGAGCCCAGCTCCCTATAGTTGTAATTGTGTTTGATAACAGTCAAGAACGCCGTGCACACCACTGCCTACCTACCTTACACTCGCATTTCCTATTCCAATTCCTATTCCCATTCTTAATCGCATTAACACCCACACACCTCTATAAATCCACGACTGGTTTGTAGCCCCGTCTCAGTTTAGCTGCCGTCTGTGGCAAGCCTCGACTGCAACAGACCCCTTGCTGGGTCATCGTTTATTCGCCTCTTTACTTCGACACAAAGCTATAACAAGACGAAATATCAGCATCTTCTTTTTAGCAAAAGCGCACTCCTTCACTGGCCCCTCGAATTTTGAGCCTAACCATAGGGACACAAAACCAAAGTACAATCAAAACTCACTTATTCCACATCCTTCCAAACATTCCCTGTCGAAATTTCTGGTCATTATGAGCCGCCCTTATCTCCTCATCTTTCTTGTTACGCTTCTGATCAACAAGACCGCTGAAGCTGGGCGAGCGTCTGGAGGGTGTTTTGCCCAGTTTACCAGTGTCCTATTATATCATCGCCTATTAGTAAGTGGTTTTCGTGGCTAAGCATGAGGAGGAGGGATCGAGCAGGTATAGAAGAGCTAGCAATCACGGCCGGAGAGAAATTGACATACCGTATTTGGAGAGTTAGGGTCTGGGTGATCTCCGTTGATGTTGTTTGTAGGCGTGTTCTTCTTGCCAATACCACCTCTAACGTAGGCGCCTGCCCCGGTTTCGCCTGATGATGGCATAGCTGATGGAGAAGAAATTGGTCGTTCGTGTGTGAGGAGACGGTAGTAGGATCAAAGCAATAGAGATCTAAGATCTGAGAGCGAGCTGTTTTGGGAAATGAATGCGTGGAGAGAGGGTGGCAAAGGAATTTATAGAGATTAGGAGAGGAGGAAGGGCGAGGTCAGAAGACGAATGCTTAGATATACCCTCTACGAAGCGGCACTCCTACATAGTGGTACCTCCGGGCGTCCCTACATAGCTTACACATATAGGACGATTCTCCGGAGTCCATTATTGAGTAATGATCTCATCCAAGTTCCCTCAAAGCGGTGCGCCACTACATGCCGCTAAACCTAGCCCGGTATATCCTCTCGTGCCAAAACAGGGTGACTACGCAAGCAGGCCTCCACTGATTTGTCCAAAGCACTCGCGAAGTAACACAAGAGCAATAATGGCGACAACTGCAGCTGGGCGATTTGGAACTAGTGTGCTTGGTCCAGTCGATTCTCCATCGCGGGGAAACCCCGCACTTGGTTCGGAATAGTAGCATGACTGCTTGTATTGGGTATATTACAGAACGCCCAAAGCCCATATACACCCTCACTTCTGTCACTTATTGGGACGATAGGTACGAAATATACTCGATATTTATATGTGCAACCTCAAAATGTATCGGTAAACTCGGATATAGTTCGGAAACATGTACTCGTACTGTCCTTAAGGGGAGGGAATGTCTGTTGACCAATGTCGGTTGGCCAATTGCTATTGCATATGGCTGAGACTCGCCGTTGCGCCCTTGCGAGGCACAAAAACTGCGACCAACTTAATTGGACTACAAGAATTCGCTTGACATACCATCAGTATGTAATCCAGTACATAAGCCAAAATCCAGTATATAAAACAGAGCTCCGGAGATCTTTGATCTTGGAGATAGTTAGAAGCTGGAGTAACTCCTGAGGTCCGGGCATTCATTCCTTGGGCTTTCCCGGGGCTCCGTTCGCTCGTACAATTGGGGCTTAGGTCGGTAGACTTCTACTCCATGTTCTTGGATGACGGTGTCACCTCGCATCCCAGTTACAAGGTTGTACTGGGAGTATCAAGGAACATTGACATGAAATCGTGCCTGGAAAACTGTTTTGATGGCCTTCGAGTACACCAAAGGTAAGACAATAAAGACATGTCTAAACTCCGCCGTACGTCGTAGTGTAGCCACTGGATTGCTGGTACCAATAGAGATGGAATGGGGTGTTGCAACTTACTAGTCGCGGCTTCAAAAAAATAGAGGGCTATAGGAGTGCAGAATGCCAATAAGGAGAAATGGACTTTGGTCAAATCGTCATACTACTTCTCCAAGCTGCAGAGCTGACCGGAGCTTTGTTAGGTGCATATTGCCCTGATACAATAGCACTCGCTATTGGGTGAAGGATTGATTGCTGATCTTTCAGAGAGGCCGGAATGCTGAGCCGGAGGGTGAGACGGCCGGGGATTTGCCGTTGTCTCCTCCGTCTTCGGTAGCGAACCGAATATTTGCCCTTATCAGCTACCAGTTTTGACGAACTGTAACAACTCTACTGGGCTATACATAAAGTGCATTTTCGAACATCACAAAAGTCACCAAGGACAATTGGGACAACCCATCGTTGGGGACTTGAAACAGTAGATATGCCTACGGAAGACCCCGTTCCCACTGCCAATGACGCATCGGAAGAAGCAGAGGAAGACGACTATATGAACATGGTTATCGCAGAGCCTACCCAGCCTCGGGTGAAAGAAACATATACACAGCGACGGCTACGCAAACAGCGCGAATCCGAGGCCAAGGGACGTGTGAAATCAAAAGCGGAGCGGGCCGAGGATGAAGCTGCAGAGAGGGAAGCCGCGCTCTCAAGATCGCTACTCGAGGACCCTGCGACGTCCTCTACGAATAAAGGTCTGGCTATGATGGCGAAGATGGGCTTCAAGCCTGGTCTTGCGCTGGGTAGTAAGGATAACCCGGGGGCACGATTGGAGCCTGTGGGGATTAGTATGAAGGAGGATAGAGGCGGTATTGGTCTGGATACGGAGAAGAAGCGGAAATTCAGGGAGGAGGTCGAGAAAGAGGGTAAAAGGGTGAAGGCCGAGGAGGGGGATTATCGGGAAAGAGTCCGGAAGGAGAGGGAAGATGCTAGACATGAGGGGCAGGTTGGAGCCGCCATGAGGGTTGCTGAGCGGATGCATGGAGAGAAAGAAGACGAAGAAACGTTCAAAGCTGGAGGAGCACCCGATGAATTCGTGGGAGACGGAGCGAAGAGACGAGCAATCTCTACGAAGCCTCTAAAACAGATAAATGTGCTGTGGCGCGGCCTGATACGGAAGCGGGAAGAAAAGGAAAGGGATCGGAGAATGCGATATGATTTGCATCAGAGTCTCTCCCGACAACCAACGTATGATGACCCAGACGAGGATAAAGAAGATCGACGAGCCCTTGGCAAAGATGTAATCCAGCATACCCTCGTGGAAGACCTGGAAGAGGAAGACCCTGAGCTGGACGCCTTCAATGCACTAGATCCTGGGGAAAGACTGCACAAGCTAGTACTTCATTTAAGAGAGCAGTTCAATTACTGCTTCTGGTGCAAATGTGCGTATCCAGATGAGGAAATGGAGGGCTGTCCGGGTTTAACAGAGGAGGATCATGACTGAGTATTACAATTTGTTTTATTGGCGTTGATAGGAATGATACCCAAATCTGTCCAAGTATGCCCCTTGGCATTTGCCTGTTTATATGTACAGGTATACAACTATAATACATCTGCTTGATATATTCAAGCTATAAATACATCTTTTTTGCAAATCTTATCAATACAAACGCTTTAGGCTCCATCGTGTGAAACCCAAGGAGTACATTCCGGTACACCCATCTCCAGCGATGCCCTCTTCGAGACCTCGAGGGCAGTGTATATCTTCCGATCCTCGGACTCTGCTTTTGTCTGAAAAGCAAACCGTAGGAGATCTGATAGCACAAGCAACGCCTCTTCCCGTTTTTCTTGATCGGAAAGATTTTGGAAAACAACCCCTCGCCGCAGTAATTCCTCGTCTCGATCTTGCTTGAATTTGTGGAAAATCTTTGTTACATTGGAGATTCTCTCTTTGGTGGCGTTGTTGCGAAGATTGAGGCGCCGCGTTTTATAGCCAGCTTCGTTTGTCTGGCCGAGTCGGGCGAGTTGGAGTATAATTGTGCGAGCTGTCCCCTCGTTTGGAGCTGTGTTGAAATACTGTAGTAGAGCCTTCAAGGCCACTGCAGTCCCCGCTTGATCCTCCACAAGACTGAAGCCCAGAACTATTGAATCGTACAACTCTTGCGGGACGGGTTCACCTCTGTTTAGTACAGTTCTGTGCTCCATCATCTCTGCAAATAGCTGCCTCGCAGTGGGGAATCCTTCAACTCTTTCTTGTCGCTTCCTAACCACGCCCTGTGAGGCTTGAACAAGGTTATGCCACAGCACAGTAAACGTTTCGAAGTCAGGATGGATTCCTCCATATTCCGTCATGCTTCTGTACGTTTTCCATACCCAATCCCTCCGATGAGATTTCGAGTCCATCGAAAGCAACTCATTCATAAAGTATGTGTTGGGTTTGATTTCTGCCTTTTGCAGCGTGCCGAAAAGGTCCAGGAGGGCTTGCGACTGTTGCCGCCGTCTGTATTGCTGCATGAGGATACAGAAAGTTTCAATAGTGGCACTTGGAGTCAGGAAAATACTTCGTCCATCCGGTCTGCCATAACTTTCGACTGTGCGTAGAACGCCACCCAGCTCATACTTAGTACTGCGAGCGTTGACAAACATTAGCCTGGTATTGATCATCTTCCAGGCCATATCTTCAGCTAAAGCCACGTTCTTTGCTGTCCCATCGCGGATCCATGCACCGATGAGACCATTTACATGTCGGGCGTCTGGACGTATGCGGCGGTGAGACATTAGATCAAGGACTTTCCGTGCAGCGTCAAGCTCCCCTTCCCCAATGAGCTTCTTCATCCAGCTTCCAAAGAAATATTTGTTATTGAATTTGGATGGTAGCGACGAAAGAGTTCGACTGTCGAAATGATCTAGCCCGCCCTTTTTGATTGCAGTTAAACCCGGGCTATCCGTTGTTTTCGCAAAGGATGTATATATAGCCGTGGAATCTAAGGTTTTGGGCATATCAGGCGTCAGCATCATGTCTTTGAAGGCAGCTAGCGCGAGATCTGGTTGATTTGCTTCCAAGAAGCTCAGAGTAATGGTGTCGTAGTCACTCATTTCCATCTGCGACCCCAAGTTGACCCTGAGCCTAATGTACATTTCCCAAGCCATCTCAACAGCACTGCTTGTTTGGGAAGCCAAGCATGCTTGAATGATGGGGAGTAATATCCTATATGCCGATGGATCGTCGGTAGTTCGAAGAAGCAGCTCCGCAGTGCTTAATGATTGATCAAGCTGGCCAAGTTGGCAAAAGAGCTTGACCCCTAGGTCACAGTAATCCCCGAACATCTCGCTGGTCCCGGCTTCTGTCCCAGCCCGTTCCCAAAACTCGGTTGCCGTATCCAGATCGCCATGAACCAGCAGGGCTTCGATATACAGGAGAGTTTGTTCCAGATTCATTGGCACGCCTGCCTTTTGCAGGTCGTCACCTAGATATTTAACATGCGCCATACGATCCACGTAATCGGTTGGATCCACGCCTGAAAGCACAGCCCAGAGGCCGGACCAAATACCAAATGGAACTTTCTGAGGCGCGGATAACAGGGCACTTCGACACATCAAATATGACTTCCATACGCTCTTTCGGAAGTTGGAGTTTTGGGTATCGACGGTCCCTGAAGCGCGAAGCAAGCTAGTATGCAGGGCATTGATGTGTTTTCGGGCAGATTCTGGGAAATGCTTCATAGGCATTTTGATATCCAGACTTCCACTATCTGAGCCTTTTTGTGGAAATTTCGGTGACAGTACTTTCTGGCCTGTTTGGTCGAGCGGAGGTAGCAGGTCGGGTGGCACTATGGGATGATCAATACATTTCCGAAGTGTGGGAGCAGGAGCCATACCATATCTAGAGCCCACAGCTTCCATATCTCTGGGCTTAGCCTTACTACTGGGCTTTTTGATATTGTATAGAAGCTCCCGGATTTGCAAACGGTCCTCCTCGGTCACAACTTCTTTGTCGGAAAGGCTTTTGATCCTCTGTATCAAATCCTCTAAATGTTCATTTGCCGCGTTTATGTCCTCCATACCTTCCTCTTCATCTATCCTTCCTTGAATAGCATCCTCCATATCCTCGTCAATATAACCGTCGGGATCGTCCTTCGTGTGGTCTAGGAAACGACTCCGCCGCTGTTCCATTTCATCTACTTCTGAGCCCACCGATTCCAAGAAAGCTTCCTCTTCATCATCGAATATCTCCCTCCTATCGCCATCTGGTGTCTCATCAAAGAATCTAATTACTGGTTGGTCTGGAGGGGTCGGCCGATTGCTCTTGCCGGGGCGGGAACGTCCATTGTCGTTCGTCGCATTTCGCACCATCCACGGCGGCCATTGTCGTTGAGGCACATGTAACCTCGAGAGACAAGATCGACATATGAAACCACGAGTTCTAGGAGCTAGAAATGATTGAGGCGGCATAGGTGTGGATGTTGATGAGGATTTGTACAGGGTCGAGTCTAGAAACTTTTTTGTAGTCGAGAGCCTTGCATTTTCCGCCTCGTCGCGTTCCACCATCCGCACTACGCGTCTTCCCCATTTCAAATGTCGGACAACGCGGAGGCCAACAGCCATGCCGGGTTTGATTCAATCGACCATCAGGTATATTCTATTATATTGAGTAGTTTCTTACGATATGTTCAAGCTAAATATTCTATAGCCAGCGTACATATATACTCCAGATACTAGTACCGACGATGCTCCTGAACGACCTACAAAACGACGGAGGGTAACCAAACCAAAACAGCCTGGAATACAAACACATGGCAAACCGAGCCTCTTGAGATTCGAACCGCTGCTGGGAGGTCTAGAAAGCGAAGAGAGTGCGCGTTGGCGTCAGGAGACTTTCCAAAAATGCTGGTCAGAAACAGATGCACGAATTCAGGTATAGCTACAATGCGTCTTTTAGGGGTTTTGGCCGCCTAGCTAAGCAAGAGCAGTCAATTCTTGATGAATCAAATGAAGATACTCTAGCAGAGGTTTCTTCGTTTGTCAACAGCTCTAGAGAGAACTGGTACGAATCCATCTTCTGCTTGCCAAAGGATAACATCTAACTAACATTTGTAAAAAGGGGAGATGAGAGACTTCCAGCTTGCTTTATTGTTACTGGGCCAAATATTGCTTCCCAAGACCTCCTATTCCGACAGGTATCGGTTCGGCTTAAATCAGATATTGATGGGCCAGTGGTCATCTTGCGATCAGGAGATGCCGCGAACTTGAAAGCCATTCTCAAGAAGCTTATTCGTGACGCGACGAATCAAAGATCTGACGACGATGATATGCTTGCGGAGCTAAATGTAAATATTAGCCTCCCCTTGAAACTACTAAGCTTACATAGTAGGATCGAAAACTATTGTACTACGATTTAGAGATACTTCGAAGCTTTGTCACAGCACATGGCAGTCAAAGAGTGGTCGTGGCAATTCAAGATAGTGAAGGATTCGAGACTAATTTGCTTGTTGAGTTGATCATCTTGTTGAGGTATGCTATACCCAATATTCACAACGATAGGGCCATTTTAATAGCTCTAGATCCTGGATGGACCGTATTCCATTTGTATTACTTTTTGGTATTGCCACCTCAGTCGAGTTGTTTCGGGAGAGGCTTCCTAGATCTGCAAGTCGTTCGCTGTATGGTGCACAAGTCGACGTGGAGCAAACCAATAGCATTATTGAAAGGGTTTTCCAAAAGGCCGTGGCCAGCTCCAAGGCGTACTTGCGATTGGGACCAGCGCTGGTATCGATGCTGGTGGAACGGCAGCATCATCATATTCCGAGTGTCCAGTCATTTATTGCGGCCTTGAAGGTAGTTCATAACCTCCACGAATAGTTCACTGCTGACAGAAACAGTATGCATACATGTCTCATTTTTACGGGAATCCGCTGAGTTTCCTTGGTAATACCTCGAGCAATTCTTTAGAATATATCGGACAACTTCAGCCCTGCCACTATGAGGCCATCCGTATGCTACCGTCATTTCGCCGGTCTGTGGTGGAAAGGATTGAAGTCCGGGACATAAATGGCGCTCGAGAGTTGCTTGAAGATGACGCTATTCTAGCTCAGAATATTAAAACCGAGCTCCATTCCAAGGATGGAAAGATCCTCTGCTTACTGAGGGCTCTACATATCCTAGAAAGTGCAACCACCGATGGACCTGGTGGAATCGACTTATACTTGACAGTGTTCGGGGGCGCATTGAAAGATTCGGATTTCTTTAGGCGTCTTTTAGACTCACTTGAGCGCATGACGCCTGAGGATTTGATCTCTCTTACTGAAAAAATACGTGCGGCCATTAAACACGGAAACTCTGCGATGGACCTTGATGGATGGGCCGAAGCCGACCAGGAATTTCTCCAAGATATTAAACTTATAGAAACAAAGGTCAAGACTTTGACAGCTACGGCGGTTGAAAAAGGAGTTCCGATCCGCAGTAGCGAGTCCATCCATAGCAAAGGCCTGCGGACCACGGTCATTGCTCAGAGGGTTCAGTTGAGCTACCAGAAATCCACAATTAGCGAGGCCGAGAAGGAATACCAGGGACTCGTCGGACGCTTGCTGGAGCTTTTTGAAGAGTATTTTACTTTGGAGAACCCACAGCATCTATTTCTGAACGAAGTATGGCTTTGCAACTCCACGACGCCCTTTGCTGATGTCTTCGTCCCCCGACCTAGAGCCGCCATCGAGCATGCGCTCTCCTCCCCTCAGGAATACCTTTCCGGAATTGACCAAAATTTACCTCCAACACAACCAGAGACAGCAATTCTCTATCAAAAATATCTCGAAGCTCCTTCTCTAATTAATGTGGCAGATCTTTGGTCCTCGTTCTTGGAGACCGTGGCAGGGGGTGAAGCTGAAGAATCCGATGAACGAGGCCCTTTGATGCAGTTCTATAGGGGCATGGCTGACTTGAATCTATTGGGAATGGTTAAGCAAAGCAAGAAAAAGGCAGACCATCTAGCTAAGGTATCATGGAAGGGATTATGATGATACTTAATACAAACCACTTTATATGAGTTCATTTATTTCAAAACAAAAAGAAATTGGATAGGTTATTATTGGCGACCAAATATACTTTTAGAAGCACCACCGCCTCAACATCAAAGCCTCCCAGGCCCGAACTTCCTCCGAAACATTAACTCCTCGTCCTCCATCCATGCCGCCCTTCTCATCTCCTCTCTAATCTCCTCCTCACTTTGCTCCCTAATCGGCGTCTCACATCCCCTGAGGCCAATAAACCTCCCTATCTTCCGCCGCTTATCTTCCAACGCCGCATCCCTCCTCCACTCCACGGGGCACGGATATGAAGATGTGAAGTCGCCAGGGGTACTCTGATGGTAAAAATGCGCCATGTCATCAAGTTGCTCAGAAGTGAGCACCCAGAAGTTGAGCAATGTCAACGGGAAGTCTGGGTGATATCTGCCATCGGCAAGACTCACGAGGGGCTGTAGGGTGAGGGCCATTTTTTGGATCTTTGCGTCCAGCTCAGGGTTTTGGGATCGCCGGGTGGTGAGAGCCATTCGCATTGAAGCGTGCTTTTTGGATTTGTTTTGTTTTGTAATGCTAAATAAAAATGAGGTATGACCAAGGCTTAACGACTGTTTTGCGTGTATGGGTTTATATTTGGATAGCAAGAAGGGCGTTACGTGCTTGTTTTTGGGAGCTGCCAGCAGCCTTCTTTTCTGTGGTGAATATAAGAAAACACTAAATGAAAGCGAGACAAACCGAGAGGGCTCTTGAACTTGTGGAAGAAGGTTGATACAAGCTCAGCTCTTTAAATCAAGCTGAGACTTCTTTGTGATGGTTCTTCCTTTATTTCATTTTGCAAGACTATGGCTAATTGGAAACATTGAATAATGGATTCTATTTTGAGACCTGGTCTTTGTTGCTACGTGGCGACTGCCCATGCTTCAGCCTCGTTTCCTTGATAGGTGACGAATTTGGAACAAAGAGAGCAAAGGGAATGGCTTTGTGCTGGAGTAAAATAGCACTCTTGATCGTTTAAACAATGGAACACTATGCAGATTGAAGATTGGTGACGAACAATGGCTTATAGGGTGAAAATGGGTAAATTTCATACCTTTGCCCTGTCTGCCCAGAATATCGTACAGATGTAAGTATCCCATTTCGCCCAAACGCCCCCTTGCAGCAATGTACATCCACTGACACAGCATTTATCACAATGAATTTTCCACGTCCCGCAATGTTCACTTCTTGCCCTTCTTATTCCTGATGCTTCCGTTCGCGCTTTCAACCAAAACCGCGTCATCGTCGCTAGATTTGCCAACCGTGGTGGTTGGTATATCAAGCTCCTTCATGAACTCTGACTGGATAGATGCCCTTCGCTTTTCCCACCATTCCTTCTCCACATCGGTTTGGGCTTGGATCTCCTTTAGGCGGTTTTGGAACATGGTCCCTGCTGCGATCTCGTTTGCAGACTGGAATATCGTCTGGCCCCAGTTGGGAGCGAGCGCATTTGCCTGGTCTAATTAGTATAACCATACCATCTCCGTTACAAGCTGTCTACTAACCTCCATGACCACATCTCTCAGTTCCTCTTCCATCTCCTTCTCAGCCCTTAAGAAGCGTTGCCAGAGGTCGTCTCCGATACTGCCTCGTTGCAGCAAAGTACTGCAAGCTTGCTTTGCGCTTCTAATTTCGATTATTCTCCTTATGTCTTCCACTGCTCTTCGTAATAGCGCAGCGCGCAATACGCTCTCTGGCACCGCGGGGGACTTCTCTTTCCCTTCCGCCGGGTCGAGGTGAAGCAACGAAAGGTATATATTTCGTTGCAAGTGTGGTGGGAACCATGGTGCAAGGTTTGCAGAATTAGCTGCGTGGAGTCAGGGGCAGTCCATTAGGTGAAGTTGGGGAATTACTGACCAGCTTTCCGTTTCCGGTACATGGATGCGAATGTGATCAAAGAACCCAGAAGAACAGCAATATATGCAAAAGGGAGCACCAGCCCCAACCAGTTTATGTCAAGCATCGCCGGGGATTTCTATGTCGCAATGGGCCAACGGATATTGACAATAGTGGAGGTTTTGAGGGGAGGGAGATTTCCTCGAGCAAGACCAGAGACAGTCTCCGAAATATATTGGATGCGCGAAGGGCGCGGTTGTGATGGTCCCAGTCAGAGGTCAATACGCCTTGGATATCGAAGTTCGTCAACGGGAGAGGTATTCGTAAATGAGAGACCGAGAATTGAAGTGGAGGTAACTGCGGACCTTGGGTGCTGGGCGGAAGACGTGTTACTTCGCAAAAGCATGAGGCCAAGTATAACTTTAAGGTTTGGTCATGTCGGTGGCCGCTAAAACCTCGGCCCGTCCAGCCAAGGCTGCACACCACCACGCAACCAGCTTGACAGCTATAATGCTGAACTGAACTACTGCAAGGTACTCCAGTCTCCAGTCTCCAACAACAGCTCTCTGTAGCTTTCTCTCCACTTCTTTGCCTTGATTATTGCCACTCACCTCTCGATCAGTGGTATCACTCAGTTTCCTCATATCCTTGGTCATATTCATCCTCGGAGCCGAGTTACACTTTGTCCCTTTGTGCCTCTTCCACATCCGCCTTCACTTCTACATACCCATAATCCTGAACTCGGGGACAACTACCCATAACATCTCCACCTTTGCAACCAGAGCAATATGCTAGTACGCGCCCGAGGCCCAGACGGCACTGTGCGTATCACAGTTGAGCCAGGAGATACGTTTGCTCGCTTTGGAGAGAAAGTACGTCCACGATTAGTCTGGGGCACTGGTCTTGTATTGACAACCTTCCCAGCTTTCAGAAGTCCTACCCAAAACCGTTGATTTTGACACGTTAACTCTGTCCAATGCACCAGCCGGTGGAGATGTCAAACACCTCAAAGATATAGGACGCCACCCAGTATCAGCAATAGGCTTGAAGTAAGACATGATACATATTGCAAGCACAACTTCCTTGCTGACGCCCCTCTTCAGGCATGGTGATATCGTATTCATCAACTATAAACAGGTGGATGCTCTGTCAAATGGACATGCGAATGGTGCTACATCGACCTCGACCCCATCACATCCTCTCGAAACATCGACGAATCGACTGAATGGGCAAGCGGTATTACCGGATATGGACCTCCTCCCCATTGAGCCATTACCGGTGACCTCGCCTTCGCAAAAGATAAAGAATCCTTGGGAAGTCGTCAAGCAATCAGCTTTAGATAGCCGATTAGACAAGCAGGATGGCAGGATACCTCGGAAGCGGGACCCAAAAATGTGCAGACATGGAGATCGAGGCGCATGTGAATTCTGCACCCCTCTTGAACCTTATAACCCCGAGTACTTGGCAGAGAAGAAGATTAAGAATCTGTCATTCCACTCATACCTTCGCAAAATCAACTCAGCCACGAACAAACCCGAATTAGGGAGTTCTTTCATGCCGCCCCTCACTGAGCCTTACTACCGAGTCAAGAGCGACTGCCCAAGCGGCCACCCCCCATTCCCAGCTGGAATCTGCACGAAATGCCAACCGAGCGCTATAACGTTGCAACCACAACCGTTTCGGATGGTGGATCATATTGAGTTCGCGGATGCGTCGATAATCGAAAATCTGCTGAACTTTTGGAGGAGATCTGGTGCACAGAGACTCGGATACCTGTATGGCAGGTATGCGGAATATACCGAAGTCCCCTTAGGTATAAAGGCTATCGTCGAAGCCATTTACGAACCACCGCAGGTTGATGAAGTTGATGGTGTTACTTTGAATGAGTGGGAGAATGAGAAGGAAATCGATGAGGTTGCACGACTCTGTGGGTTACAAAAGGTGGGCGTCATTTGGACTGACCTTTTAGATGCCGGTGCTGGCGATGGATCGGTCCTATGCAAACGCCACATCGACTCCTATTACCTATCCTCCCTCGAAGTTTGTTTCGCTGCTCGCCTGCAAGCACAACACCCCAAACCGACGAAATGGAGTGACACTGGAAGGTTCGGTTCTGCCTTTGTCACCTGTGTCATAACTGGAGATGAGTCAGGTCAGATTGCTATTTCTGGTTATCAAGTCTCAAATTCCGCTGTAGAGATGGTTCGGGCAGACATCGTGGAACCTTCAGCTGATCCACACGTTATGCTCGTCCGTAACGAGGAGGATGATGAAGGTGCTGAAAGCCGCACTCGATACATACCCGAGGTCTTCTACCGGCGCATCAATGAGTATGGAGCAAGCGTACAAGAGAACGCAAAACCGTCATTTCCTGTCGAGTACCTCCTCGTTACGTTGACACACGGCTTTCCAAGCGATCCAAAACCGCTATTCATGGCCAAGCCACCTGGATTCCCAATCGAAAATCGTGCGGTTATCGGTCAAGACCAGGACCTCAAGGATGTGGGCAAGCGCCTTGGTATGGATAAGTCTGGCGAAGGCATTATGACAGTCTCTGATTTCCACCTTCTTTGCTTCCTCCATGGATGCGGCATCTTGAGCAAGGTAAGCTTATTTTCAACTTGTTATTTGTACTCAAGTTGACTCTTTCCAGGATGAAGAATCTCTTCTTTGCCGGGTAGCCACGCAACACGATCTCGCTGACGGATATCAACTGGTATCTACACCGGGTTGGGCAACGTTACTGGCAATACTACAATCGACTGGTGAGAGACCCCCCAAACGGCCATCGCCGTCTGGCGGTGATGGCAACGATGAGCGACTTGCTAAGAGGGTTGGCGGGGTAAGGCTAGAATAAGGTAGTTCCATCATCCTAGCTTAGACCTCGATATAGGAAACTTTTTGACAAATGAATCTTCTCGATCGACAGGTACATGATAGGGGATTAATGGATGGCTGGTAACTATGCCGATACAAATGGTAGGGGCTTGGGGAGTGATGATAACAGAATATCAATGACGAATGGGGCAGGTGGTGATACCTCGGAGTATTATGTTGCATATGAATAGGCTATGGGGCATTGGGCGCATTGCTGGGTAGCATGCATGTCAACCAACTAGTATATAACGATACATGCAAATGAAACTGGGTCTCTATGATTGCTGCTTCCTTACTATATCTTCTCGCGGATTGACACATAGTCTTGGCAGGCTTTTGAGTAGACTTGGTAGATACTGCGAATAGTAGGACTTTGTACTTGTACTCAAAATAACACACGACTAGCTATCATTCGCGACAAGTATAGCATAGCAGATATCCATAAATGCGCCCTAAACGAAATCCAACAACGGCAATTGATGAACGCTTTTTACAAAGGCTTGCCACCAATGAAATCAGACCACCTGCGCACCTCCCCTGGGATACCCTCCTTCCGGGGCAACTTCTCGCTCATGCATTGAGCGAAGAGCTCAGCGGTCTAAAAGTTATAAATGTCAGTACATGCTTATCTGATATTTGGAGGATGGGGGAGAATCCTTACCTTTGGTTCCATGAAAAGTGGCACACCGAAATCAACTGCGTTCCTTCGCATAACATAGTCCACATCCAAAACAGTCTTGCCTCTAGCCAGGGCCAAGTTGAACACACCACGGATATCGTACTTCTGGAACACCTCTCGAAGAGCTCGCTTGTCCTCAGTGGGGAACTCAATAACCTCGACCTTGACGTTGTTCTTTGCGGTGGACTGGAGGTATTGCTTGACTTCGTTCTCGGCAGCATAGAGTTTGTAGCCGAGTGGGGAGAGGTAGTCGACGATTTTGGAGAGGGAATCCTTGCTAACGTCTCCGCCGAAGAGGAGACCCTCGCCTGGCTCTGGAACGCGGAAGTTCATGGTTGACTGGAGAGAGGCCCAGTACGCTTCCACAAGGTTCTTGCCGAAACAGGCGATTTCACCAGTGCTGGACATCTCAACTCCCAAGAAGGGGTCAGCTCCAGCGAGACGTGTCCATGAGAATTGTGGAACCTTCGTGGCGAGGTAATCACGCTTGATGGCCATGAGATCAGTAGGCTCGGGCACGTCACGGCCGACTAGAGCTTTGGTAGCAACATCGATGAAATTGACACCAAGAACTTTGCTGACGAATGGGAATGACCGGGAAGCACGCAAGTTACATTCGATAACTTTCAAAAGGGGTAAGCCACCTTCCGGGTCCTCGGCTTTGATGATTTGCATGTTGAAAGGTCCGGTGATGCTCCAGGCCTTGGCGACCTTAATAGCAATCTCCTTGACTCTGTCCATCGTGGTCTGATCAATATTTGCAGGAGGAAGTACAAGGGTAGCATCACCAGAGTGAACACCAGCCTGTTCAACGTGCTCACTGACGGCATGGACAATGAGCTTGCCATTGGCACCAACTGCATCAACATCAATCTCTTCAGCGCCCTCGATAAACTTGGTTATGACAACTGGGTGATCGGGAGAAACGTTGCTGGCAGCCTCAAGTTTATCCTTGAGCTCATCTTTGCTGCGAATGACAGTCATAGCGGCACCGGAGAGAACGTAACTTGGCCGAACAAGTACTGGATAGCTGACTTCATCAGCGAAAGCCTCGGCTTCAGCAACGGAAGTAAGCTCCTTCCAGGCTGGTTGATCAACCCCAATACTGTCAAGGATCTCCGAGAACTTTTGTCGATCTTCTGCCTTGTCGATATCCTTGGGATTCGTGCCGAGAATTTTCGCTCCTCCGGCTTCTTGCAGACGAAGAGCAATGTTCTGGGGTAATTGACCGCCCACAGACACAACGACGCCAGAAGCAGATTCAAGTTCGTAGATATCCATAACACGCTCGTAGCTCAACTCCTCGAAGTAGAGTTTGTCCGCGGTATCGAAATCAGTCGAAAATGTCTCCGGGTTGTACAACGTGGGTGTTAGCAATGGTAAATAGTAAGGGGGTTGCTGAGAGTAAAAAATTCCAGTCCAGAAGTCCAAAAAAAGGACCAAAAGTAGTCTTCGGGTTGAAGACAGTGCCTCAGTCGAGCTGAGAGATTGACAGGGCAGCCAGCTGCTTTGGGTTTATCTAGAGGGCAGGTGCATCCAGTCGAAAAATAAAATAAAAACCTAACTTACATTGATCATAACAGTCTTCTTGCCCATCTCCCTCAGAGCAAAGGTTGCGCTGACTGCACACCAATCGAACTCAACTGAACTGCCAATTCTGTAGACACCACTGCCAAGGATGAGGGTTCCATGGTCATCGAATGTGACATCGTGCGTTGTTGCATTGTACGTTGTGTACAGGTAGTTGGTATCAGCCGGGAACTCAGCAGCAAGAGTATCAATTTTCTTGACAAAAGGCTTGATGCCGAAGTTCTTCCGTCGGGCGCGAACTTCGTCTTCAGTGCTGCCAACAGCCTTGGCAATTTGGCGGTCGGAGAAACCCATCTTCTTCGCTTTCATGAGAAGCTCGGCTTTCAACCCGAAAAGAGATCCGATATCCTCCATCTCGTGAGTGCAGTCGACAATGTTTTGAAGCTTGTATAAGAACCACTTATCGATTTTAGACAAGTCATGGATACGGTCCACAGTATAGTTCTCATGGAGCATGGCCTGGCCAACAGCGAGCCATCGACGGTCCGTAGGATTCGCAAGTTCGTAGTCAAGATCCTCAAATTTATCGCCTTGGAAACCAATGAAACGAGGGTCAACCATGCGAATAGCCTTTTGGATGGATTCTTCGAAAGTCCTGCCAATGGCCATGACTTCACCGACTGATTTCATTGCACTGCCAATGTCACGGTTGACGTGTTGAAATTTGGCCAGATCCCATCGGGGAATTTTAGTGACAACGTAGTCCAAAGAGGGCTCAAAGTTGGCGGTAGTGGTTTTCGTGACGGCATTCGGGAGTTCTGGCAAGGTGTGCCCAAGTCCAATTTTTGCAGCGGTATAGGCAAGAGGATATCCAGTAGCCTTGGATGCAAGAGCAGAGGAACGGGACAGACGGGCGTTGACTTCGATGACACGATAGTCAAGTCCATCAGGCTGTAGTGCGTACTGAACGTTACATTCGCCAACCACACCTAAATGCCGGACGATTTTGATAGCAGCGGAACGGAGCATGTGGTATTCCTCATCGCTCAGCGTCTGACTAGGTGCTACAACGATGGAGTCACCGGTATGGATTCCTAGGGGATCGAAGTTCTCCATGTTGCAGACAGTGATGCAGTTGTTGCTTGCATCACGGACAACCTCATATTCAACTTCTTTCCAGCCTTTGAGCGATTTCTCAACCAAGATTTGAGGAGATAGGGTAAGAGACCTCGCAGACATATTGCGAAGCTCCTCTTCGTTGTTTGCAAAACCTGACCCAAGCCCTCCAAGAGCATACGCAGCTCGGACAATGATTGGGTACCCGATGCCTTTGGCGGCTTCCAACGCCTCGTCGACGGTGCCAACAGCGATTGACTGGGCAATTGGAATGTCGATTTCACCAAGAGCCTTTGCAAAGAGATCTCTGTCCTCACTGGTCTCGAGGGTCTTGATGCTGGTACCCAGAACCTTCACTCCATACCGCTCAAAGATGCCCATCCTTTCCATCTGGACACCCAGATTAAGGGCGGTCTGCCCACCGAAAGTAAGGAATATGCCATCTGGTCGTTCTCGCTCAATGACATATGTTACATATTCCGGGGTGACTGGTAGGTAGTATACTTCATCGCTGAGGGCGTGAGCGGTCTGGATCGTTGCGATGTTTGGGTTGATGAGGACCGACGCCACGCCTGCCTCCTTCAAGGCCTTCAATGCCTGGGACCCTGTAAAAGAAGAGCGTGAGCATTACATTCAGAGGTAGCCAGAGACGGTTGAGACCCGAAAATGGAGATATAGAAGTTATTATGAGTGACTCATTGCCACCCAGTCGGAGAAAGGATTGGAAGGACAAACCTGAATAATCGAACTCTCCAGCCTGACCAATGCTCAGACCACCACTTCCAATGACCAAGACCTTCTTGACGTCGACTGGATTTTTAGCTCCCTTGATCACTCCGCTCTCCAAGTAGGCCTTCGCGTTCGGGGCGGCCTGGGTCTGATTTCTGCGGATGCTGCAGCTTGAGAACAGGCGGATAGGCCTAGCATTCTTAGAAGCTAGGGCATGGTTTGGAGCATATAGCAATCGTGCTGAAGATCGAGTGGTAAAATTTCGGGCAGTAAAGGCTGGTGCTCTAATTTGGCGGAGGGAGCTTGCTCTAGTGGCCGCGCGCATTGAGAGAGCCATGGTGGCAGAACAGCGACAGCGATATTAATTAAAGCTCTCAGTCTCCAATTGAGATTCTGGTGTAGCTTAACGCTCCGCTGAGCTTGAGTGATGGTTGAGAGTGGTGTTCTGCAGAGGTTGAGGTCTGCTGCTTGCCGGTACTTTTTTTCCCACAAGCTTTTGGTGCTGGGCCTGGGTCGTGTGGTCGGTGAAGATAAACAGGCTAGCTAGCTGCTGGCTGATAAGGGTATTGGGATTTGGAAAAGAGGAACAACAGTGAGACGTGTTCTCTTAGGTCTGCAATTTGGATGGCTCGAAGTCTCTCAACATGGTCGACGAGAAGGGCGTGTCGTTGTTTAAGGATTTCAAGATTGAGTCACGATGGTTGAGAGAAATTCATGGGGGACGACTTTTGCGGTGTACTTGTAGATAAAAATTCGGACCAGGTTCCGCCAAGCGATCGGCTTTCTGCCCCGCCCGGATCCGGACTCAGGGCCTTCTCGCCAACACTTTTTATAAGTTTAGTTGGCAATAGGTCGGATATCCTTGTTTTGCTCCTCGGCCCACCGCTGACTGCAATCTATACCTTGTTACAGCACCTATCTATAGTTATATTCGGTAGAGCCCTTTGTACGACATTTTTGCCTGCTTATGCGTGCATGCAGCCAGCGAGGGAGTTAGTTGAGTTGAGTTGAGCTGCGCTGAGTTTGAGGTCCAGTGGCCGTCCATCTGCTACAAAACCATGGCTTCCACGAGTCAGGATGTCCAGGCCGAGTTCGACAATTCCTACTATTTGCTATCCTGTGTAGATGCATTATCGATCGAAGTATAGGCTTATAGTTCCAAGTACTTCACAATGCCAACGCAATTGAAACCATGGTTGTTTAAGGCTAATTAGAGAATCTGGCTATGCCCTCCCTTTTGGTGGCAACTTTAAGTATTACGATCGGCTTCCTCTTTAATGCAGGCGAAACCGATTGCATTCTTAAAACTTACCTCTTTTATCTTACCGAGCCTACCTGCTTACTCCTCGGTGGAAAATTATCCGCTTGGCGCACATTGTCTTGATGGAGCGCAAAGACGAGGGGAACAGACAAGAGAGAAGGCTACAGGCCCCGCGATGGAGAGAGAATAGGCTAAGGAGAGGTACCAAGAAGACTAATCATTGGCGTGGGAAAGACATAATAGCCAGTTCATGATGTGCGCTGGAAGCAGGCGAGCCCTGTGGGTGGTATTGAAAATGCGACTTCTGTGCTTACTCCTGCCATATCTATGTCTTCTCTAGTCTTACAGCAGGGTTTCTCTCGATGAAAGACAGATCTACCTTGTGTCCCAGCAACTCCCGAATATTGTTAACCTGTTGGAGTATTAGCATTATGCCTCGCCTAGGAAAAGAAAGGTGATATATCTTACCTTGTACTTGATCATCGTCGGCCTCTCTAGACTCAGACCCCAGCCAAAGACTCGCATATCCTTTGGCAAGCCCAGGGCCTCCAACATCTCCGGTCTGAACATCCCGCTGTTTCCGATCTCGACTAGCTTGTTCAGTCCCTTATGGTAGGAAAAGATCTCCATACTTGGCTCGGTGTAGGGGTTATAAGCCGGCTTGAAGCGTAGACCCTCAAGACCCATCTTTTTGAAGAAGATCTCCATGAACTCCATCAGACCGCCTAGTGATAGGCCATAATCCGCAATGACACCCTCAACTTGATGGAATTCCGCAAGATGAGTCATATCGAGTGTTTCATTACGGAAAACTCGATCAATAGAGAAATAGCGAGCAGGAGGTGGCCGACCATCTGGCCCTTTTTGCGACGCAAGCTTGTGGAGCATTGCAGTTGATACGGAAGTGGTGTGTGTTCGAAGAACCAGCCGTAATGCCTCCTCTTCACCCCAAGGGTATCTATAACCTATGCTTCCGTACTTGCCGTTTTGGTGCACCTCTTGTACATTCTTCAAGTACGAGTCGTAATCTGCCTTGTCATTCTCATCCTCTGCATGGGGTTTATCGCCTATCTTCGGATCTGAAATGTAGAAGGTATCTTGGAGATCCCGAGCGGGATGTTGTTGTGGAACGAAAAGGGCATCGAAGTTCCAGAAACCAGTCTCAACAAATTTATTGGTTGGCATCTCCTCAAACCCCATCTCGAAGAAAATTTGACGGAACTCTTGTCTAACTTTGTTAAGGGGATGCAAAGCTCCGGCGTTTTGATCTGCTCCAAGGGCATTGAAGTTGTAAGGCTTGAAACTGGCGCTCTTCCAGGCACCCCTATGGAAATTAGTAGGGAAATAGCATAATACCATGATACTTACGAAGCAATCATATCAGCTGTCAAGTCTGTCTCTTCCTTCGCAATTTCGAGGGCGAACTTTGGTCCTTTCTGTATTTTGAAGCTTATGAGCTTTTGCATTTTGATAAGCTTCCGCTTTTTCAAGTCTGTAATAACTTTTGGGTCGGGATGCGTGCTCGTCTTTTGGATGATCTCTAGCTGCTCTCGAGTTGTATCCTGTATCGAATCGGTCTGTACTTGTTAGGTTTTGCGCCGCAAGACGTGCTGAGGAGGCTCGACTCACAGAGGCTACCAGACGACCTTCCTTGCCTTTGGCAATCCATTTTGATTTGAAAGCTTTGCCCTGGCCAACCTTCACCACATTCTTGTCTCCAACAGCAGCCTCGAGCTCCGACACCGTGAGCCCGTCCATTGCCTTGTGCAATGCTTCAAAAACCCGAGCTTCATGACTGCCATTCGCTGCTATTCCCACGGCTTCAGGTTCCAGCAGGGGTTCCTCTCGTTCGATAGTGTCATAAGTGACCATGGACCGCGAGCCCAATCGATCTAATGCTCCCTTCACTTCCGTTGACTTGTATGAAGGGAACGCCTCCGAAGAAAGAATTGGCGAATTTTGCGAGAGAGCTTGGAGGATTTCGATAGGCAGATCGCCCTGCGGCCCGTTATGAGTGTTCGCCATCATTCAAGAAGTTCGCGCCGGTTTTCTTTTGAGAAAGCCAGGCGATACTAGAGTTGCGCTCGGTGATATCGAAATCTGATGTGTGAATCACACACTGACTCCGAAAATATATTGTAGGTGCACCTAATAAAACGGTCACATGATACAAGTATGAAGTATAAAGGATTTCAACTTTGAGTCTGCTAGAAACAACAGAAATCGATGACAGTAAGCAACCATTGTTACTTTGCATAACATTGGGATTCGTTGAAATGGTATCTCTCTATTGACTCCGGGGGCAGTTTTGTTCTACCCAGTTACAGTTTAATCTCATAAAAGGCGAAATTGGAAATTTCAGTGGACAAGTCAAAAATAAGGTTCGAAACTTATTTATATCTGATAATTTGAAACTACCAGCTTTTCTTTTACAGTTACAGTAATAGCCTACTCTTACTCTTCATGTTTGATAGCCCCCAGGGTACCATCTATTTCTACCCACATATCTCTTGATGTTGATGCATGTCTCAAATCTGCACGATCCGTGACATTTTTGGAGGCTCCACTGTCATCACCTAACAGGCGCCGAAGGTCGAGGAAAATTTGCTGAGTACCGTCGATTGCCATGCTTCCCTCATCCAATTTCTCCAATATAGCAGCTTTTGTAGCAGTTGCAGCTGAACCAGACGCATGTACCCATGGTTGAACTCGTTGGGAGGAATCTGGCTTCTCAAGGTTTGACATCCCTTCTGCGAATGAGCTCGAGACTTCCATACCACTACGTCGCGAAGCCTTAATAGGTACTGGGTATGCACGCAGTAGATGGCTCTCATCAGCGAGACGGTCTAAATCTTGGCCGGCCTCTTTCTGTTGCTTTGCCAGGCCGATTGTGAGGTGAGATTTCTGTTGAATTGTAGCCTTCTGTTCATTTGAGACTGACAGTAGTTTCTCCAGATATGGGTATGTAATGTGGCTCATGGCGTTCTCGTTGCCAGGACTCTCAAATGTTCCCAAGGGTAGCTCAGGATCTTCATCAGTCGCAGTTCCAGATGGGTTGTCCAGTTGCCCCGTAGTTGCGTTCAGTAGCGCCTGTCTCCCTTCCGTATACCGAGCGTACTGTTGGCGGATTGCTGTGAGGTGATTGTCAATATATTCCCTGCCCACAATCTCAGGTTCCGAGACATGAACGGGTTCGTCCACCTCTGGTGAGCTTTCGCCAGCCCGGGAAAGCTCTGTCTCAATCCAATGGATCAGTTCATTTCGTGCTGTTCCAAGAGCCCGCAACTTGGAGGCTTGATTGGTTTTTGAAGTTTCTTGTCTCGACCTGACTCCTGTGAGCAACTTCTGTTCTCGTTTTAGGAGCATCTTAGCTCGGAGAACCGATTTCTCGAGCTGATCTACCAGTTCGTTCAAATCCGCACCCCCTGACCGCTCGGAGGCTCCTGGGACGTTCATAACCTCGGGCGGGATTTGAGGAAGAGATTCCACGTTCTTCAGCACTAGTTTGGGATCCAGGCGGTGGGCAGTAGCAGCCGGTTTCTTGCTCAGCATATCAATATAACTCTGGACTATGCGTAGAACTTCGTGTTTTTGCTCTTGTTTAACGAGATCAAGGAAATTCGCCGTAGAATCATCAGATAAACGTTTCATCGGATCTCGACCCACGGTCTTGATGTTATGATCCTTGCCGACTTGAGCATATTCTCTTCGGGCATTGATGTTTGATCGAACACATCGAATGTACTCTTTTCGAATCCCTCTAGGCCCTTGAACTGTCGAATCAACAAGGCAGGAGGAATCTACGAGCGATAGTGGTTGTGGCAAGTGACGCTCCCCTGCTGGGTTCAGGCTGGAGTTCAAATTGGACGCCAAAATGCGCCGGACATGAGCAACTTCCTGCCTCGGCTTGATATAAGAGCGTAGAGATTGTTGAATATTTAAAATGGGTTCAGGAAGAGTCCCGGACCCCTCCATTTTGGGCTGTAGAGGCAGATGAAGTTTGGCGTGGACTCTTGTGTCTGCCTAGGTAGTTTGGCGGTTGCTATGTACCTGTAGCAGTTCTTGTTTACTTTCACTTTCAGCCTCGTCTCGGTTCGTCTACATATACGCGGCTGCCGCCACAGCGCGCTAAACTTTAATTTTATCTACACCCAGGTTTTTCGGTAGCTTGTCGCGACCAGACTGCTCTCTCGATCTCAACTTAGGTGGGAGGTGCTCATTTCAATCTCTCGGCTCTCTTTTATATTTGGATGGTTTAGATATTCTCTGTGCTTGATGGTCCAATAAACCCACTTTCGATGATTCCGACGGCCTCTACCCTTGCCACATAAGATTCATGCTGAGCATCGAAACCGATTTTCAAGTCGCAACGCCCAAACAGCTCATAACGCAAGATGGCCGACCAACAGCGCGATGTCTCGCAATACAAGTACTCGGCGATGTCCAACCTGGTCCTCCAGGCGGACCGTCGATTTGTCACTCGGCGCAACGATGAAGTCACAGGAGATCCTGAATCGCTGGCTGGGCGACTGAGCATCCGCGATATGGGCTCAAGAAATGCTCGCGATACTGCTCCAAAGGAACGGAAAAAAGCATCAGGGCTACCGGATGTAGAAAGGGGCGGCCTGCAAGAAGGACGAGATGTTCTGGAGCGAGAGCAACGGAAACGGAAACGTGGCGAACCAGCCCAGCTCCGAGGGACAGGCATTCTATCTGCAGCAGATGCGTTGGTGGAAGGTATTATCTATCGGCCAAGAACATCTGCAACTCGAGCAGTATACGACCTGATATTAACGACTGTCGCAAATAACCTTGGCGATGTCCCTCATGAAGTGGTTCGAAGCGCAGCAGACGCTGCGTTGCAGTTCCTAAAGGATGATGATATGAAGGACTTTGATAAGAAGAAGGAAATTGACGACCTGTTGGGCGCAACCATGACGCCGAAACAATTCAACGAACTGGTGAATCTTGGAAAGAAGATCACTGACTACGACGCTCAGGACGAAGACGACGTCATGGCTGATGGCGAGAATGGCGCTGAAGACGGGGCGGAAATTGATGATCGCCAAGGTGTCGCCGTTGTGTTTGACGACAACTCAGAAGATGAAGATGGAGCTGATATGGTCAACGAGATCAGGGACGAATCATCAGAAGATGAGGAAGACGTTGAAGATCGACCTGGAGCCGAGGAAGTAGCAACGGCGGGTGGTGCTGCGGAAGATAGGGAAACAGGAGCGCAAGAGATTCCCGAGGAAGAGGCAATAATAATGGATTCTGCCCCTGCTGACACCGATGCTAAAAAGGACAAGGAGAAAAACTTCATCCCAGCCCGAGAAATAGATGCGTACTGGCTTCAGAGGCAGATTGGTACAATTTATTCCGATGCACATATCCAACAAGTCAAGACTCAGCAAGCTCTTCACATACTCTCTGGAGCTCCCGATGAAGAGGGCGGCGAAGAAAAACCCTTGCGGGAGATCGAAAATGATCTAGCCGAGCTTTTTGATTATGAGAACCATGAACTCGTTCATAAACTCATTACAAATCGAGACAAGGTCGTTTGGCTTACTCGATTAGCCCGAGCTGAGGACGCCGAGGCACGTGGAGTTGTCGAGCGAGAAATTGCATCTGAAGGTTTACGGTGGATTCTAGACGAGTTACAGGGAGTGGTGCCTGCAGCGGACAGCTCCAAGAAAAGAACAATGGAGATCAAAATGGACATTGATGTCCCAGCTGCGTCAGTCGCCAAAGCTGAACATACGGGTGACGGTGGCTTAGTGGGAGGGTTACAACCACGAAAGCTCATCAACTTAGAGAATCTCGTCTTCGATCAAGGAAACCATCTGATGACAAACCCGAAAGTCAAGCTTCCAGAAGGCTCAACCAAACGTACGTTTAAAGGGTACGAAGAGATTCACGTACCACCACCTAAGAAGAGAAACGAACCGGGTGATCGCGACATCCCAGTTACAGAGATGCCAGAGTGGGCACGTGTGCCATTCAGCTCAGCAACAAAACTTAATAAAATCCAATCAAAATGCTTTCCCCAAGCATTTCAGGATGATGGTAATATGCTCATTTGCGCCCCAACGGGAAGTGGAAAGACAAATGTTGGCATGTTAACCATCCTCCGCGAGATTGGTAAGAATCGAAATCCCGAAACTGGAGAGATCAATTTAGATGCTTTCAAGATTGTCTATATCGCCCCCTTAAAGGCCCTCGTTCAAGAACAAGTTGGGAATTTTGGTGCTAGATTGAAGCCTTACGGAATCCAAGTCTCTGAATTGACTGGCGATCGTCAACTCACGAAGCAGCAAATTGCAGACACCCAAATCATTGTGACGACCCCTGAAAAATGGGATGTCATCACCAGGAAGGCGACCGACTTGAGCTATACAAACCTTGTCCGGCTTATCATTATTGACGAAATCCATCTCCTACACGATGATCGCGGCCCTGTTTTAGAGAGCATCGTCAGTAGGACGATCAGGAAAATGGAGCAAACAGGGGACCCCGTTCGTCTCGTGGGTCTCTCCGCTACGCTTCCCAACTACCGTGACGTTGCAAGCTTCCTTAGGGTTGATCCCGTCAAAGGAATGTTTCATTTTGATGGATCATACCGACCCTGCCCACTCCGCCAGGAGTTCGTTGGTATCACGGAGAAGAAGGCTATCAAGCAATTGAAGACGATGAACGACGTAACCTACACAAAGGTGCTCGAACACGTCGGAACGAATCGAAATCAAATGCTTATCTTCGTACATTCCCGCAAGGAAACGTCCAAGACGGCTCGGTATATTCGAGATAAGGCTTTGGAAATGGAAACCATTGGGCAAATTCTTAGAAGCGATGCTGGCAGCCGAGAAGCACTAACTTCGGAAGCCGAAGCGGTTACTGATAGGGAGCTCAAGGATCTTCTTCCCTATGGTTTTGGTATCCATCATGCTGGAATGAGCAGACCAGATCGTACGTCAGTTGAAGACCTGTTCAATGATGGACTAATTCAAGTTCTCGTGTGTACTGCTACTCTCGCCTGGGGTGTGAACTTGCCCGCACATACCGTCATCATCAAAGGCACACAGGTTTACTCCCCAGAAAAGGGTAGCTGGGTTGAGTTGAGCCCACAAGACGTGCTCCAGATGCTCGGTCGCGCTGGACGGCCACAATACGACACGTACGGCGAGGGAATAATCATCACCACACAATCAGAAATGCAGTATTATCTGTCTCTCCTAAACCAGCAACTACCAATCGAGAGTCAGTTTGTCAGTCGATTAGCTGATAATCTTAACGCAGAGATTGTTCTTAGCAATGTTCGTAGCCGAGACGAGGGCGTAGAATGGCTAGGCTATACGTATCTTTTCGTTCGGATGTTGCGTTCACCAGGTCTATACAGTGTCGGGGCAGATTATGAGGATGACCCTTCGTTAGAGCAAAAACGAGTTGATCTCATACATTCTGCTGCAGTGGTACTTGAGAAATCCAACCTTATCAAGTACGACAAGAAATCAGGGAAATTGCAATCAACAGAGCTTGGACGCATTGCCTCTCATTATTACATAACCCACAGTTCGATGCTAACTTACAATCACCATATACAACCATCTATCACTCCTATCGAACTCTTCCGGGTGTTCGCACTGAGTGATGAGTTCAAGTATATCCCGGTGCGCCAAGACGAGAAGCTAGAGCTTGCAAAACTGCTAGGGCGCGTACCTATTCCTGTCAAAGAAAGCATTGAGGAACCCCACGCCAAGATCAACGTACTCCTGCAAGCATACATCTCACGTCTTAAACTGGAAGGGCTGGCTTTGATGGCTGATCTCGTCTATGTGACTCAGTCGGCTGGCCGAATTCTTCGAGCGATTTTTGAAATCACTCTCAAGAAAGGATGGGCCTCTGTGGCAAAGACGGCGCTAGAGCTCTGCAAAATGGCAGAGAAGCGTATGTGGCCTACAATGACACCCCTGCGGCAGTTTCTAAGTTGCCCGAGGGATATTGTTCAAAAAGCGGAGAGAATCGATGTGCCATGGGCAAACTACTTCGACTTGGATCCCCCTAGGATGGGTGAGCTGCTCGGGTTGCCGAAAGCGGGTAGAACGGTCTGCAATTTGATCTCAAAGTTTCCAAGACTAGAAGTTCAGGCCCAAGTTCAACCTATGACAAGATCCATGTTAAGAGTTGAGTTGACCATCACACCGAAGTTTGAGTGGGACGACGGGATACATGGTGCCGCAGAAAGCTTCTGGATCATTGCGGAAGATTGTGATGGAGAAGATATCTTGTTTCACGACCAGTTTATCCTCCGGAAAGACTTCGCTCAAGCCGAGATGAACGAGCATATAGTAGAATTCACGGTGCCGATCACAGAGCCGATGCCACCGAACTATTTCGTATCGGTCATATCGGACAGATGGATGCATTCAGAAACCAAATTAGCGGTTTCATTCCAGAAGCTGATTCTCCCAGAGAAGTTCCCGCCTCACACTCCGCTTCTAGATTTGCAGCCTCTGCCAGTCAACGCTCTTAAGACTGATGATTTCAAAGCTCTTTATCCAGACTGGGAGCGTTTCAATAAAATCCAAACCCAGACATTCAACTCTCTATATTCAACTGAAGAGAACGTATTCGTTGGAGCGCCAACAGGAAGTGGCAAGACGGTATGCGCAGAATTTGCTTTACTCCATCTATGGTCGAAGCCAGATGCGGGCCGAGCGGTCTATATTGCTCCATTCCAAGAGCTCGTCGATTTGCGACTGCAGGATTGGCAGCAACGCTTCGGCAACCTTCGAGGTGGGAAGGAAATTGTGAAATTGACTGGGGAGACCACTGCCGACCTCAAGCTCTTAGAGAGAGGCAACCTCATCTTGGCAACACCATCCCAATGGGATGTCCTATCGCGTCAGTGGCAACGCCGGAAAAACATCCAGACTATCGAACTTTTCATAGCGGATGAACTCCACATGCTTGGTGGTCAGTTCGGCTTCGTCTATGAAATCATTGTTTCCCGGATGCACTATATCCGCTCCCAGACACAACAACCCTTGCGGATTGTAGGCCTGAGTGTTTCTCTTTCTAATGCCCGGGACATTGGTGAATGGATCGATGCAAAAAAGCACAATATTTACAATTTTAGCCCACATGTTCGTTCGGTCCCATTGGAACTCCACATTCAATCTTTCACCATACCTCACTTCCCGTCGCTCATGCTTGCTATGGCCAAGCCGACTTATCTCTCGATACTCCAAATGTCTCCAGATAAGCCTGCACTTGTCTTCGTTCCTAGCAGGAAACAGGCCAGAGCCACGACCCGCGACTTATTGGCTGCTTGTGTAGCTAGCGATGATGAAGACCGATTTTTGCATGCCGACGTCGATCAGATGAAGCCGCTCCTGGAACGCATTCACGAAGAGGCTCTAGCTGAGGCGATTTCTCATGGCGTAGGCTATTACCATGAAGCATTGAGCGCAAGTGATAAGCGTATTGTAAAGCATCTATATGACAATGGAGCCGTACAAGTCCTAGTAGCTTCTCGAGATGTGTGCTGGGAGCTGGATTGCAAGGCGCACCTCGTGATTGTAATGGGGACCCAATACTATGACGGCCGAGAACATCGATATGTGGACTATCCATTGAGCGAGGTGCTTCAAATGTTCGGCAAGGCCTCGCGACCCCTGGAAGACAAGCTTAGCAAAGGCGTTCTGATGGTACCAGCTGTCAAGCGCGAGTACTACAAAAAGTTCTTGAATGAAGCACTTCCAATCGAAAGCCACCTTCAAGTATATCTGCACGACGCCTTTGTATCTGAGATCAGCACAAAGATGATTGAGTCGGCAGACGATGCCATCAATTGGACCACTTTCACCTATTTCTACAGACGTCTTTTGGCCAATCCGAGCTATTACAGTTTAACGGACACCTCCCACGAGGGCCTCAGTGCGCATTTATCTGAACTCGTCGAGACCACATTAAAAGACCTTGCAGAGTTTAAGATAATTGATCTTGACGAAGACGATGACTCCGTGACACCGTTGAATGCGGCTATGATTGCTGCTTACTACAACATCTCATACATCACTATGCAGACGTTCTTGTTGTCACTAAGTGGCCGGACGAAACTGAAAGGAATTCTTGAGATCGTGACCTCAGCCACAGAATTCGAGTCTATTCAAATCCGACGACACGAGGATAATTTGCTTCGACGGGTGTATGACCGCGTACCTGTCAAGATGTCTCAACCTAGCTATGACTCGCCTCACTTTAAGTCATTTGTACTTCTGCAGGCACATTTCTCCAGAATGCAATTGCCTATCGACCTAGCTAAGGATCAAGAGGTTATCCTAACCAAGGTCCTGAGCCTGCTGAGTGCTACTGTTGATATCCTGTCTTCTGATGGACATATTAATGCTATGAATGCAATGGAAATGTCGCAAATGGTTGTGCAGGGCATGTGGGATCGTGATAGCCCTCTGAAGCAGATCCCCCACTTCACCCCGGAAGTGATCAAAGCTGCCAACCAATCTGGGTATGTAGTCCCGTTAAGTGATGGATATACGTTTGCTAATAAACATCGTTGTTGTAGTATCAAGGACGTTTTTGAATTCATGGAAGCTATGGACCCATCAGAAAACCCGGATTACGAAGCTCTTGTGAAGCGCTTGGGACTTTCGCAATCCCAATTGTCACAAGCCGCTAATTTTACCAACAGCAAATACCCTAACATTGAGCTTGACTTTGAGGTTGAGGACCCGGATGATATTACTGCTGGAGCACCCGCATATCTCAAGATCAAGATTGTCCGAGATGTGGACGAAGACGATGAGTCGGCCGAGGTGGACACAACTGTGCATGCGCCTTTCTACCCGGCGAAGAAAATGGAGAACTGGTGGTTGGTGGTGGGAGAGGAGAGCTCGAAGACCCTGCTCGCAATCAAACGCATCACGATCGGAAGGTCCTTGAACTTGAAGCTCGAATACACCGTGCCAACTCCCGGTGAGCACGAGCTCAAACTATTCTTGATGAGCGACAGCTACGTCGGAGTTGACCAGGACCCAAGCTTTACAGTGACAGCCGCTGAGGGGATGGATGAGGATGAGGAAGAAGAAGATTAGGGAAGTGTCAGTTTTTAAGTTGTCAGTTACAAGTTATCAACCCCCAGATACCGTGTTGTATACTAGATCTCAATGCAGGAAGAGTTTAGATGAGCCAACCAGTTGCTCTATTATTTCGATTGGGTCGGAGGGGGGTACAGGAGATATCGTGTTCCATTGGTTTTTGATGCTTGGCTCTCAGTGATTGTGTTGCCTGTGCCACGACGACCTAGCACAGAGCGCATATGTGGTTGGTGATTGGTTGCGGCAGAAGAAGAGGTTGGTTGTCTTTTCACACCCCTTGTCTCTCTGCTCTCACCTCAGCGTATGTCTGTGAGTCTGGCGTTGTTTTGAGAACGGGGCGAGCTGCCGCACCACCAAATTCCCTATTGTCTTTTTTCAGCTTGGGTCATTCTTCCTCTTTGCATTTGCGTTGCTCTTTTGACCGCCAGCTACTCCATTGTCTTTTCCCACTCTATCTTTGTTCCTTATTTCATGGTCCGTCCGCTGCATATATTCGATCTACACAGCCGTCATCGGAAGAGGCAGTGAAGTACAGTCACGTGACCCTTTCTGCCTTCCAGGTTCCAACTTTGCGCTAACTCGCCTTTCGAATTTCCAAGCGAATCGCGAAGGACGAACCATTTTCACAACCTACCTCATCTCCTCTCTACTCTCCTCGCAGCATCCATCAAGTCATCTCCATCGACGTCTGCAGTGGGGAGGCAATCACGTATTACAGTTGCTGAACCCTCTTCCAACGCGTCCACGACAATCGCACGCTCAGCTTTGTGTTTAACACTATCCCCCTTCCACCGCTTGGTGTCGCGACAACAAGCTTACAAAAACAATGTCTGACGAAACAAATCCCCAACCCTCTCCTGTTCCCCCTGCTGCAGAGCCTGTATCCGCGCCAGAGGACATGTCCCCAACCAAAGAGACCGGAGGCGCGAATGGCAGCAAGGACGAGAGCGGCACACGTCAGCCTGCTGGAGAAGTCGCGACTGAAGCTCCGGCATCAATCGAGTGTATGTTTTCTTCTCACTTTCATAAAACTGTCTCTGGCTTTCTCTTCGCTTACTGACTGGAAAACCTTCGCGTTTAGCCCTTGATCCGGACAACACAAACAGCAAACAACCCACCGACGTCACAGCCAAGGACAAACCCACCGACGACCAGCAAGACGTGGAAATGGCCGATATTGCAAAGGAAAAGGACGCGCCTTCTGCTGCAGTCACTTCTCCAGATGCTTCCGGCGAAACGCCGACCTCAGCCAGCAAAGGTAAAGGTCGACGCAAGTCTGGTGGTGTTCCCGAACATAAAACAAAGAAGCTCAACAAGAAGGCTTCTAAGGCGAAGATGACGCACACTGATGCTAAGCCGGGCGACTACTTCTTCGTTAGACTGAAGGGATATCCATTATGGCCTGCAATCATTTCCGATGAGTCGATGCTCCCTGCCCCTCTGCTCAAGAGCCGGCCAAACTCAGCTGCCCGACCAGACGGTACATATCGGGAGGGCTACGAGGACGGAGGACCTAAGGCAAAAGACCGCACATTTCCGGTCATGTATCTTCATACCAATGAATTGTAAGTGGTCAAAATCATTGTCGCGCTTTTCTCATTTTTCTTTACTAACATTCACGCAGCGGCTGGATCCCAAACTTCGATCTTGTTGACCTTGACCCCGAGGAGGTAGCAGCTCCTAAATCAGTCACGCGAAAGGACCTACAAGCTGCCTACCAACTCGCTGCTGAGCAGCATAATTTGCAGTACTACAAGGATGTCTTGAGAGATTTTATGGAGACACGTGCCGCCGAGATAGCTGCAAAGGAGGCCGAGATAGCTGCGAAGGAAGCCGCGAAGGAAGCTGCGAAGGCCGCCAAAGCTGCAAAACAGGCAAAGAAATCTGACAAGTCTGAGAAGCGAAAGTCTGTAGCGGTTGTAGAGGATGATGAGGATGCCGAGATGGCTGAAGCCGCCGAGGTGGATTCTGAGGCAAATGGTGGCCCAAGTGAGAAGCCTGCCAAGAAGACCAAGAAGCGTAAGGCCACTGATGATGCTGAGGTAAGTTAATGCTTGTTGAAGAATTATTTTAACTTAGACTGATTTATCTTAGACACCACAGCGGGCGGATTCGGTCAAGAAGCCTAGGCCTACGATTAAGTTGAATACTCCCAAGACGGCCAATGGCGCCGCTACCCCAAAATCGACAAAAGATCAATCAGTGGCCAAGTCATCAAAGGCCAAGGCTAAGAAACCTGCTGCAACGGATGAAGCTACTTCTGAAGCCGCCGTTCCAAAGAAACCGGAACCCACAGCCGAACAGAAGCGAGCTACCAGACAGGTAAGCAGTAACCTCATCACATTGTGAGGAAAATACTAACTCGCCTTTAGACGGAGGTTTTGTTTTTGCGACACAAGCTTCAGAAGGCCTTGCTAACTCGAGATCAAGAACCGAAGGCAGAGGAGATGAAGCAGATGTCTGAATTTGTTACCAAACTCGAAGGCTATTCAGAGCTTGAGGTCTCCATCATAAGAGCCACAAAGATCAACAAAGTTCTCAAGGCCATCTTGAAGCTAAACACCATCCCCCGAGAGGAGGAGTTTAAGTTCAAGTCCCGGTCTCAATCCCTTCTTGACAAATGGAACAAGCTTCTTGCAAGTCAGCAAGGTACCCCCGGAGCTCCAGCCAACACAAATGGCGTTGGTTCGGAGGATAAGACTGGATCCAAGGCCTCTCCGGTTGGGCCTGCAAATGGTGTCAAGGAGTCATCTGATGAGCCCAAGCCTGATGAAAAGGGTTCCACAGAGGCGTCCCCAGTCGCTGCGACTAAAGAGGACGCGGCATCCGACAAAGCTGTTCCTCCACCTGCTGAAGAGGCGACCAAGGTATGCAGAGCACTCTAATTCTCAACCACTTCAAATTGGAAACTGACCCTTCATTGCAGGAGTCGACTGTCCAGCCGGCTGCAGAGGCGACTGCTGCCTAGAGAGCATAATTTTAACCCGACACAGTTTTTGGTGGTATTTCCTCCCATTGGGCTTTATGCTACATGGAGTTAATTCATTGATCTGGACGGGTTACTGATGAACTGGAACGTTGGCGCTTGCTTGGTTCTTATTCTCCTGGCGTTGTCCTAGACGATGCAGATGCCACACGAACTCGTTTCTCTCTACTACGCGATCTCATTCCTGCGATTTCGCATGTAACACTACAATATTCCCCATACTGGCGTTCCATATTCAGGGACAAGGCTGCCTAGTATGCCATAGCCGCAGCATTTGTACAACTTGGAATTTCTAAAACTAGCTGCGGTGGGGTTGGAGGGAAGGATGATGGCTGGCTAGCGATCGAAAACGATCTCTCTCTTGCTGGCTGGCACGAACGAAAGCTCACTCTTAGTATCGTTGATTTAGCAAGCTCATCCTGCATTCGCGTTAGGCAATCAAAATAAGTGTTTCCAAAATCCCAATCTCTGGTGGCATACAGCATGACCCCTTCCTCTGAATGAGTATATCATATAACAAGACAATGTGACGTAATTTCTATCTAGTATTGTAGAGTTGCCTTCACGTTAAAGTGCTCGCGAGGCTCACAAGGCTACCCAGTAGGAAATAAAGTTGAAGGCGGTGAACCAATCCGGCCCACATTCGGTGGAATAGCCGGCAGAAATTCCAAATTTATTCATCCAACACCAAACTTCACAAGATACAGACATGCACAGAAAGTAATCATGGCGACTCCCAACCCCGAGTTCCTGCGATTTACAGGCCACGAATCCTTTACCCAGCGACTAGTTCTCTCTACGCTAACAGGTCGTCCAATTCACATATCACAAATCAGATCGTCGTCGCCCACACATCCCGGCCTCGCACCCCACGAAATATCCTTCCTCCGCCTCCTCGATTCCATTACGAACGGCTCGTCCGTCCAAATCTCATACACGGGAACAACACTCACTTACATCCCGGGCCTCATCACCGGCAGCGTTACAACGGGACTCGGTGCAACTGGCGATGTAGTGAAGTGCGCCCTTCCAGAAACATGCCGACGCGGCGTCAGCTGGTTTTTACTACCATTATCCATTCTGGCGCCGTTCTCCAAGGCGCCTGTGAATGTACGATTCGAAGGCGAGGGTGTTATAACTAGTGCTACGGAAACAGGCGATATTTCCGTGGACAGTGTCAGGACGGCAATCTTGCCTCTATACGAACAATTTAGTATCTTAGGAGCTAAATTGGAGTTGCGGGTACTACAGAGATCATGCGCGGGTCCAGGCGGTAAAGGAGGAGGGGGAGTGGTAGAGCTGAAGTTTGGAAGCCAGGTGCGCCTGCCGAAGACGCTGCATATGAATCGGAGCCCTGGGAGAGTGAAGAGGATACGCGGTGTGGCATATTGCACGGGCGTCTCGGCGAGCAATAATGCGAGGATGATACATGCTGCGAGAGGGGTGCTAAATCCGCTGGTTGCTGATGTGCACGTTGCCGCGCAGTATGATCAAGCACCGCTTGTGTCGAGTCACGACAAGACGAATCCATCAGGCAAGAAGAGGACAGGCGTGGGATTTGGGTTAAGTCTTATTGCAGAGAGCAACGCAGACGGGGTTATATATTCAGCTGATGTTGCGGCGCCGAGCCAAGGTGGGGTTACTCCTGAGGATATTGGGAAGAAATGTGCCTTCCAACTATTGGAATGCATATCACAAGGTGGATGTGTTACAAGGATTGGTGCGCCGACGGTGCTGACGTTAATGGCTATGGGGTCTGAGGACGTGGGCAGAGTGAGATTAGGGAGGGATGTGGTGGGGACTGAGGAGATAATATCGCTGGGGCGAGATTTAAAGAAATTCGGGGCAAGTAGTTGGGGAATAAGGGATGCTGAGGATGATGGGACTGGAGATATTATAGTAAGTGTCAAAGGAATAGGCGTTGGAAACGTAGGACGAAAAGTAGCATAATGAAGCAATGCCCTGATATATCCCATGAAGTCTACCGCTGCCCCTTCCGCTAGATTGTATTCCATTCCGCTAAATTGCAATAGACCGCCTATATTACAAGTGAACCGTTTTCATGTAGTCAAGGACTCGACCCCACGTTGGAGTCGTTGAGTGGCAGCCTCTAGTCTTAGTCGTCGATTGGTCGTGGCAGCTGCGAGAGCAGCAGAGTACCCAACAGTTTGAAAAGCAGACCCAGTGGCGTTTCCATAATCAGCCCACTGCCTCCGAATATTATGCAATATATGCAAGTCCACCACAATAGCCCTACCAGACCAGAAGGTATCCAAACCATCTCCCCCGCGCTCATCCCGGGGCGGTAGCTCCGCCAGGAGCCGTGCGTGGTCGTCATTACTAGGGGTCGTTATTTCTTGGGCCGGCGTAGAATCATTGTCTTGAGAAGCCATAGGTTGTAGCTCTATATCGCCATTCTCCGCAAAACCGTCTCTCATTACCCCTCGTTCTTCGGCGTCATGGTCCTGAATCGATGGCACAACAGCCGAAGCGGGGTCTACACGTCGAGTTGGTGACGTGTACGCAGTTACCATCTTGGAAAGTCTCTCTCTTTCCACATGAACTGCCAACATAGCAAATTGCAGCACCAGTACCAGAAGATCCAGCGCGACCAAATGTATCTTAGATGTCGGCCCCTTCTGTCCGATAAGATCGACGATAATACCTCCATGCAAATAACCACGCATAGCTTCTCCAGCATGCGGCCGGGCAGTAAACATATGCAGAAGCATACAGATGATATTTGGGCCGAAGATCGCGCCGATATATGGACGATGTTGAGGCAGTGGAGGAACGAATTGTGGCTTCGGAGTCAGAAACATTAACTGATTAAGGAAGCGTATGACAAGGGAAAAAAGAGAACAACTATTTTGTGTTAAATCAGCTTGAGATATAATTGCTAAACGAAACCACGTACTCCATATAATACAGTATGCAAAGCTCAGCATAGATGAGCATATCGAGGTTTTTCATAAGTCCGTCAATGAACTCCAACTTCTTAACAAGCTGCGCCTTGAACTTCTTCTGCGCGGGTGAGGACGCATCTCTTCTGCGAGTAGTTGTGGCAGGCTCCGTGGAGCCTACGGGTTCGCTGGTGATTTCCTCCGTCGTGAACAGTTCCTCTGCTGAGTTTGGATTGGAGTCATTGTTCATAGTTTATTGAACGCATCGGTAGCGGATTTGGAGTCGTTATAGGTGGATTGCTCACATGATTTGAGATGGAGATGTGGGCAGAAAGAGGCCGTATCGGTGTGTCGAGGTTGGGTCCTGATGGGTTGACTTCAGACTCGAGTGTCTCGGGGTTAATCTCGAGCTAGACATCAACTCGACTCTAGGCGGTGATCCAGAAGCTTACATACAAGCACGTGACTACATACCACTCAGCCCCTAGGGTACCTACGTACATATACCTACCTTAGATATCCGTGTATCTTATCTCATGAGATAGATGTTATCTGACGACAGCTGAAAGTGGATTTTATTGAGTACGAAGCATCGCAACACTCCCTCGTAAAGAGCTGGAGAGCAAGCACTGCTCCATATCACTAGCTGATACCCATCCATTATTATATCATCGAGTCGTCAGCATCTACAAGCAACGGGTCATGCCTCGCGAACTTGCTCGTCTCGCCACTCCAGCCCCAGCTCCATCCGCATCCCGATCGCCATCCCGGTCTCCCTCTCAAACATTCTCCAGGTTCAACTTGCTCCCCCTCGAGCTTCGGTTTAAGGTCTGGGACTACTCTATCAACTCCATCGATCCAGATGTTATATCCGCGTGGTGGGACCCTACACACCGGGTCTTCCGATCAAGACGCAAACCACCAGCAGTCCTACATTGCTGCCAGGAATCCCGGAGAGAAGGTCTCAAGACTTATTTCTTGAGCTTTGCAAAAGATCGTGAATTTGGACGCATCTACTTTTGCTATAACAAAGATGTTGTACATTTCCGCTGGGAAACTCTAGGCGCGTCGCCAGGACGTCTCAGCAGGAAGATAGGCGATACAGATTATTCGAATCTTCAACATTTGATGATTGCTGAGCCTAGCCTACTTGCTCATGCAGACGAAGACCTGAGGGAACTGGAGCGCTTCACGAGCTTGCAATTAATTGTGGTCATGTGCGATCTTAGAATCGTCGAGGAGGGTTTTATCTATGGACGGGAAGACTTGCTGGACGTGTTCGATTGGTTGGACGAGGAGATGGAAGACCAAAAGGAAACGGCAGATCAGACATGGCCAACTTTGGTGTGTCAAAATCCACGTAGAGATAAATCAGCTATCGATGTTCCGTGTAGCAAACACTGTAAGTTACCTTGGCGAGGTCTTCGCCCTCTTCTTGCCAGGCTCATAGGTTTGGAAATATTCTTGAGGATGGCTGTTGTGTTTTTCTTCTTAGGATCCAAGCATCATGAGATGCTATATCCAAAGCCTAGGGTATCTACCAGCACATTTAATGCTAACGATCTACCTCATGCAGGGTGGTTTGGCGTGTGGAATGACAGGGTCAAGGATAAGCAAATGGCAAAATGGCCTGACATACTGGCAGAGTGCCTACAAATAACAAGGACCGACAACACGGTTGACGCGGGTGTCTTGTTGACCCTTCTTTTGTCACAATTTGCTGAAGATTATATCCATTATGGTGATCTTTAGGATCAGATTACGACTCTGTTGCCGTTGAATGGGATGGAGGATCCTGCATCGGTTTTCTCAGAGTATGATTCGAGTGATATGCTGGTCGGGTATAGCAAAAGTTTTCCGCTTCATGCCGAACGTTACGTCCCGTCGTTACAGAGGCAATAGGTCGTCGCATGTCGAACATTGTATCGCACCTTATGCGAAGCAAGGATGGACAGTCTCCCTACAACACCCTAAATATGCTAATTAATTTCAGTTGTCTAATACTTTGAGCTTCCTCTTATGTACTTTGCTCCTTCCAACCTGGATGAGACATTCTAAGGGCATTAAACTTTAACCAACACATTGTGAGATATCTAATACTTGGTTTGCTATACATAATTTTACTCTAAGAGACCAATATTTCAAATCCAAGAAAGGAGGTACGTTATCCATAAATCATACCAGTCCGAACAATCCCAAGCACGCTAAATGAACTAATAGCGAAAGTATCATCCCACTCATACAACTCATACCAGCACCAGACCCAATCTATGTAGGGGGCAAACCTAGCAACGAAACGTTCACTATCAATTATCCCTTCAATCTTCCCTATTGACCAATTCCTTCAATCTCCGCCTAATCATCTCAAGTCCCCTAGGAACCATCCACACCTCCGAGGGAGCTTCATCCACAATATCCCAGCTTATAAGGTTATCAGTCAATCCTGTTAAGTCTCTTTGCTTCGTTTGCCATTCAGCATCCTTCCGGATCCTAATTCCGGAGCTGATAACAACTAATGGGGTCTTTTCTAATTGTATATTCCTTGCGCTGCTAACTTCACTCTTGGTTAACGAGTTGGCAACCAGAGATTCTTGGAGTTTAGCTTTGATGAATTTCCCGTTCTGATAGCTGGACCGACCGAAGACACGATCTTCTCGTGTACGACCCCTGAATAAGGCACCGAAATTGCGATCTAACCCAAGTAGTGAGATGGTGCCCCATGCCCACAGCAAGAAGCTCCTCTTTGAAGAGCTTCGTCGGTAAAATATATCTTCGTGCAATGGATCAATCACAAGCAAGCCTTTGATCGACGGGCCATGTCGAGAGGAGAAGACGCGGGAGTATAAGCTTCCCACGCCTGCGCTAGCCAGTACAAATGGCCCTTCTTCCCCAGCCTGAGCCAGAGCTTCGGAAAGAGCATCAGCTGCCATGCCAACAGAGAAAGGCGAGGGAGCATTGTCAGACCATCCAATACCAGGTCGGTCAGAATAGCAGTAGCGACTTATGCTTCCAGTTACAAGAGCAGTGGTGGCAATCTGCTGCATCGAACCTGCGAATGGGCGATAACCAGCTTCGAACAATACTGTTGGGACTTTCTTCTCGTGGGAGTTCGTAGAATTCCCTTCGCAGAATAGATGGATTTGATACTTGTCGCCATCGACGTAGTAATGCTCCCCCGGAGGAGGGAGAGAGGCATCGCGAGCTCGAAGAATCAGCGTCGCAGACAGGAGCACTGCCACAACGCAGCACACGGCCAGGATAATCGTCGAAATTGCAACTGAAAGCCACTCCCGCAACGTACGGCGATTTTCCTCCCTACCAGTCAGGCGCACTTCCTCCTCATGCTTACCATAGAGAACAAGCTTGTCTGCGAAGGCACTCCAGAGAGCTATCAAAAAGGCCCAAACAACACTGGCAATTCCGACACCGCCTTCCTCCGCTCTAAGTCTAGACACAGCCAAGATGATTATCGTATCTATTAATAAGACTGTGGCAATGACTAGGCAAGTTACCCGGGCAGCTTTGGAGGGCGCGGAGAAGAAGAGCAAGTCGATAAGAAGAAGGCCCAGTGTCAAGGTCGAGTAGGAAAAGTCGAAAAATCCTGAGCCGCGTGTGTTCATTCCAGGAGGGCTCACAAATATGGATACGAGGAGTAGTGTCCACCACAGGAAAGTTATGGCTGCAAAAAGTACAGTAAAGTATCGAACAACCCTGACCGACCAGAGGTTATACGGCGAGACCTACGCAGCTGATTTAGTACGGATTTATTATTAGGTCGACAGAATAAAGCTTACGGCAGGGTCATCGGGACTCAAATATCCTTCTTGGGTTGATGGAGGTGGAAGCAATCGCGTTGTCTCATCTGGAGTCTGTGCTGCATGACGACTTGAATCTCCAGTATCGTGAGGAGCTCCCTCGGACCTATCGTCGGGATCCTTCGTACCCCAAAGGGAAACCATATTGATGGAAGAGATTCCTCGAGTCTATCAAACTTGCCGAAATTGTTATGCGGTACAACGAAAGGAGCTCTTGAACACTTCGTAAGAAAGATTTTATTAAAAGCAAGGAAAAAGCTGGCTAAAGGAAATAAGCTCTGGGAAGAGCGCGGGGAAGCTCGAGCTATTAGGGCCAAGTACCAAAGATAGCGATTATCGTACTATTTATTTACAGTGGCGATTAAAACGTACGTAGCCTTGACAGTGGTCTTATAATTGTTCGCCAAGGTTCGCTAGAAAGCCTATAGAGGGTAAATCACTTTCCCTTATCGACTCAGATGCTGATTGTGATGGTGGGGTACGGTGGATCTACTGCTTTTTAAACTGACATCATCCCGCATTATCACAACCCCTACGCTTATCTCCGAGATACACTAAAACCGCCATACTGAAGGGCCATAGTCTAATAATAATAACAACGTCTAGGTTCTGTTCGCCAAATAGCTAGATTAAGGAGTTCAGTGTCCTTTAAAGTCTTGAACACTGTACACGGTCCTTAAGAAATAGCTAATCATTCATTACTTTAATATTTGTTTGCAATAAGCTTGATCTGCCGCACTTTTTATCCACAATATAGCAAATTATAACCTTGCATTTAGGAAAGACAGAAATCAAAACATCAATATCCTACGTGAATATGAAAATAAAAAAATTACATCAGAAATGCTTCTCAACTCGCAACTGTGATGCCGAATAAGTCTTTATCACTACTCGAGCGTAATCGTACTCGGACCTAAGCGAGATATCTAGCAAACCCCATTCCTTGATAAAGGACGGGGTATTTCCACTCGAATCACACCAGCTTGATTGTGAACTGCAGTGGGAGGCTTAGATCTCGCACCCTCTGCAGAAACCACTTCACAAAAAGCCCCATTGATCACGCAGAGAACTGGCACTATACAATGAGCGCCCTGCAGAAACAATTTGCCAAAGCCAAGTTGGGCCCAAGCTCTTTCCATGAAGCGGACGAGGAGGAAACCGACCATTTCGATACTACAATACCGCTACCACCGGATGATGACTCCTCCTCGGCCTCTTCTGCATCATCTGCCTCTTCTACTGGGACTATAATTCCAGCATCAGAACAAAATCTGTTTGCGCGACCCCAAAGGTTTGCCAGCGATTCCTTTTGATTCTTGGATTCTTGGATTGGCTAACATGTATATCTGCAGGGCCTCTAACAATAATAGAGGGCTAGGCCAGATACCGTGGACAACGTATTTTGAACGGGAACTCTTCCTCACATCCGCAACAAATGACTTAAACGTCACCCACCATGCCTATCTCACATCCCCAGTCGGTACGGCGCCATTGTTCGTTATGCATCATGGTGCTGGTTCATCCGGTCTTTCGTTTGCTGTGCTAGCATCTGAGATCCGGAAGCTCTTGCCCTCTGCCGGTATACTGTCAATCGACGCCCGAGGGCATGGCTCTACGACTGTTAGCCCTGCTCAGGATCTTCTAGACCTTAGCCTAGAGACACTCGCTGCAGACCTCCTGACTGTCCTCGATAAAACCAAAGAGGAGATGGGTTGGAAAGAGTTCCCCCCATTGGTACTCATTGGCCACTCTCTTGGAGGTGCAGTAGTTACAGATGTTGCAAAAGGCGGAAAACTTGGACAAGCAGTCCTGGGATATGCAGTCCTCGATGTAGTGGAAGGATCTGCGATTGATGCCCTGCAAAGCATGCAAACGTATTTATCGACTAGGCCGCTGGGGTTTCCCTCGCTGGAATCGGGTATAGAATGGCACGTACGATCACGAACAATCCGAAATCGTCTCTCAGCTAGAACAAGTGTACCTGCCCTATTGAGACATGATGAGGATTTGAGAGACTCGCGGTCTTGGACTTGGCAGACAGACCTTGCTGCAACACAGCCATTTTGGGAGGGGTGGTTCATAGGACTCAGTAAGAAGTTTCTAGAAGCGAGAGGAGGAAAGCTACTCCTGCTTGCTGGAACGGATCGACTGGACAAAGAGCTTATAATCGGCCAAATGCAAGGTAAGACATGTGAGTAACTCGGTTGTCGTGGGTATTAACGACTCCTAGGAAAATATGCTCTTCAGGTATTTCCCGAAGCCGGCCATTTTATACACGAAGACCTCCCCGAAAAGACCGCGATGGTTATTGTTGATTTCTATAAGCGGAACGATAGAAGCGCGCTGGTATTGCCACCAAAAGTTTCAGATATGCTTCGAGCCGGAAAGAAGGTATAGGATGAGGTATCCGCGCTCGATCCGATTGCCGATGGGAATAGACGTACGGCATGTAGCAGCACTATATCCACAGTCTAGAGGGCTACTATAAAAGTCCCAAGGTTAACCAAGAAGCGATCGCCCGCGTCACATTAACAGTCAAACTTATGTTGGGCCTCTTCCTAGGATACCTAGGGCATTGAAGCGGCATTATTCGAACTTAATCGATCTCAAGGCTCAAATTTAGCAACCGAAGCTAAGGGTTTTTCCCGTGGGTTGCTGAAAACAACAATGCCTTTGGTCGATTAGTAGGTAGGTAATGGGCGGTATGAGCATAATGAGACATTAGGTACGAATGCATTAAATTTCCATTTTATTGCACTTGGGCTAAATTCTACATTCGAGTCTGAGGAGCAATCGGGAAACCGCTCCTCTTATCAATGCTGTAGGAAGGCGAAATGTGTGTTTCATAGTGTAGAAATGCATATATGCTTTAAAGATGTGTTACTAATTAGCTGGCAATGTGCAGGTTCGCCATTGGCAGCTCGCAAGTGGCAGCTTGATAGATCGATTTCGAGTGAGCATCGAATCTAGCATGTCTCGAACCTGGCACTCACATAAAACCCGTCCGCGGCAGCTGTGGCGCATTGCCGCAACCCCTGCCGCCACGGTTTCGGACTGTTTAGGCCAATAGTAATAAGTGCTAGAGTTACTAGCCTAGACCTAGACTGTTGCAAGTGCCTTGTGGAGATATTTGTGTGCAAAATAGTCTATATGCACCCATTCAAAGAGCGTGGATAGTGAATGACCGGTGCTTGTTTCCTTTCATAACAATGTGTTCAGGGACTCAAGTGAGATAGCAGCACATCGAATTAGTTTATTCTAAGGGTTACAAATTCACTACGTAGGTCTCTGTTGACCTTCAGTTCCGCTTCCTTATACAAGAGGGTTCTACGACCCTCGTATTGCCTACCTCCACTCCTACGCGGGTTAAGCATCCACCAGAGCGTTGAAGCGCCTCGCAGCCTATCATGCGATTCAAGTCCATATTCAGTATTGCTGGTCTCCTTGCGACTCTCACAGTCGCTTTGCCTGAACCACAAAGTCCTGCGTGAGTATCTCGTCATTTCCATTCTCTTCTCGTTGGCCTCACGATTCAACGGCGATTTCTCCCCTCAAGCCGTTGAGAAAACTCCCTAACCCCCTACTAGACAAACCACAGCTGTGTCCCTGGCTGTCCAATCCTACCAGGAATCGCTCGCCACAAACAGCGTCGTGATTTCCTTAGTCGCAGGCCTCGCAACCGACCCTGCGGCTATTGCTTCTATTGCGTCCTGGCAGCAGTCCATTCTGTCGGCAACTGTCACACTACCACCCAATTACCTCGACGCCTTGCCAACCCAGGCTAGGAGTGTATTTGCAAGTGTCATTACGGTTGTGAATTCGATTAGGACCGCAAATGGCTTTCCGAATGGCCTTCCGAGTGGCCTGGCGGCTGCCACAAGCTCAAGCAAGGCTGCTGCAGCGCCGAGACAGACAAATGCTGCATTGGGAGTTGCTGCTGCTGGAGTCGCCGCAGGTTTTGTCGGGGTTGTTATGGCGTTATAGAATGGTGGTGTGGAGGTGTGGAGGTGAGCAGAGGCACTAGAGAACGGTTAGAGCCTGATATGCACAATAATGAGTGTATATCTGAGCCAGGCTTTGACTGATACCAGATATAGTCCCTCGATAATGGTTGAGCAGCCAAAATGAGATTAACCATTTCACAGATCTGAATTCGAATTGATATATTAATCTCTTATGTGGATTCGGGAAATGAGCAGAGCTACAGTATTGCTCACACTTTGCACCTGTATCCTTTTCCCAGTCCTGAACGCCCTTCAAGCCAAACCATGCACCCTTGACTCCTGTATGTTACCAGTGTACCTAAGCCCCGGCCAATATGTTGGAAATTCGTAATGCTAGGTCCAAAATTGTCAAATGTTCATCTGAGCCATCGACCAGGCGCTTATCCACTTCCGAGAAGACGAGCGTTATCTTGTTCTTTTGGATATCGGGAATAGACTCGTTGTACAAGATTGACTGGAAAAGCTGCCATACAGTAAGCATTAGGAATTGGATCAGATTGACGAGGGCCTATTACCTGTGTAACCACTTGGGTAGCGCTCCATCCATCCGCAACCATATCCGTGACAACCTTAGCCACGGCTTCATAGACAAGCCCCTTTGAACGGGGTTGCATAGCATTAACAAGTTTATCGATCGTATCTTGCGGGATCACACCCGCAATACCCTCAATGCTCTTCACCGTCACCACATTCCCCTCCTTATCATCCTCATCCACCTCCATAGCATCCTCATCCTTTTGCACACTCACGGCGCCCACCAACCTCGCAGCACTTTGCAAAAACGTAATAGCCTTCCTCAAATCACCCTCACTACACCTAATTAACGTATCCGCCGCCCCTTCCTCAAGACGAACCCCCTCCTTCTGCGCAATCTCCTCAACTCGCTTCTTCGCATTCCCCTGATCCAAGCTCTTGAACCGAAATTTACTACACCTCGAAGCCAGTGGATCGATGATCCTCGTAACATAATTACAAATAAGACAAAATCTGGTAATCTTGCTATATGTCTCCATCGTTCTTCTCAGCGCGCTCTGCGCATCCTGCGTCATGCTGTCCGCTTCATCCAGGATGATGATCTTGTAGGGAGGACATGGGTATAGGTCGCGGTAGCCGGGAGAGGGGTTCGAGAGCTGCATACGTGCAAAGTCTTTGACTTTTTCGCGGACGATGCTGATCCCCCGCTCGTCGGAGGCGTTCAGTTCTAGGACGCGGGATTTCATGAGTTCCGGCCCGTAGAGCTCTTTTGCGAGGGCGAGGACGGTCGACGTCTTTCCGGTGCCCGGAGGGCCATAGAAGAGCATGTGCGGGAGCTGGAGAGGAGGTTAGATGGCTTGTACCTGCCTAGGGAGGGGGAAAGGTACATTGGAGGATTGGAGGGTGCGTTGAAGAACTGTGATGGTGTGGTCTTGGGCTGTGACATCGCTGAGGCTCTTTGGCCGGCTGTCTTCTTGTCAGTACTATGTTGCCGTGGAGAATGTAGAATAGAAGGACTTTTAGGATATATGACATACTATTTCTCTACCCACGGCTGAAGTCTGTTGGTATCTTTAGTGGGGGCAGTTTTGGTGGAGCCGCCATTTGCTGCAGCGGCCTCTTTGCGAGCCTTGATATCGAAGAATCCGGCCATTCTAGAATAGAAGTCTTGCAAAGAGAAATTGTAGGCGTCGCTGTAATGCAAACTGCGAGTTGTGTAAATTCAAGTCAACTCTTCGGAAGACGCGTCGAACGCGTCCCGCCAAAACTTCGACCACTCTACGCGAGATCACAAGCGTGGCCGAGTTTCCTGAAACCTCTTCACAAAACACCTATTTTGATTTCCGACTTCGGGTTGGAGATTTTTACGTCAAGCTACATCCTAATCTTGGGAGCTCTAAGAAAATCGGGTTTTGACTTCCGCAGCTCTATCATCAAGTAATGATTTAGTAACCTACGCTCAAGAGTAGGCAGTACATGTAATCTCAAACTAGCACGGGTTACCTAGAAAACAAGTGCTCTACAATGATCTCAAGTGAGTAATGGAAGGTGCTCGTCCAGCAAGTTAAACCAGCAGAATGAATTCTACAGTTTGCAAGTTTTGAAGCTTCCCGCGCTATAGCCACCTTGTCTGCCCACTTAGGGTACGAGGTAGGACGTTATAAGGTGTGACCTTCCAATTAGCGGTTCCCAGCATATACGGGTGGATATTGCTATTTGTTCTATATATTTTCTCTACCTAGTATTCACCTATTGGAGCGTTCTGGGTATGTGTTGTACTTTGTTCTCCGCGGTCTAGATGCTGACTCGTATCCAAACGGCATGGCTTAGAACGGCCACCCCGCTCTTAGGTATCCACGGGCGTTTTATAAAATGATGTTTGCAGAATAGAGAGAGAACACGGAGAATTAAATAAGTCTACCTCATGCATCTATCATCGTATGTCTGTTCGTGATGGCCAGACATATATATCGAGCAAGTTCGCTAAGCTCGTTGCGGGTCAATACATGCTCATTCCCTCTCGAACCCTCGCAATAGTAACATTGCACAACAAGGATTGGAAAACGACTCTTGGGGAAAGATACACCGTTGCCTGATAAGCTAAAGAAATTGCCAGCGCAGAGTTTCTTTTAAGGAACCTACAAGACCCCATCCCAGCGCTCCTTGCTTGGTATCAGTTTTCGAGCTGCCAATACCTCAAGTAATCTGACAACCCTCTTTTCGTCGTGGATCCCGATACTTACGTCCTGACGTCTTATTGACCTTGTGTGCCTCTGTCTTCACCTTTACCATGGATATGGATATGGGTACGATGTCTATGACCCCGTCCACGACGGCGGTTGGTGCGGCCCAAACCACAACCTCCAGCTTGATGGCTTCCAGCACTGCCATGTCTGGCATGGACATGGCGGACAGCTGCAAAATCTCTGTAAGCATATATACCTCTCTCAATTCTATATCATCCCCTAGAATTATACATTTTCTTAGCGATGATCACGTTCTATGATCGGCTTTCTCGGCCATAGGCTCACTCAAGCTTGCTAACATCTCACTTGCGGATGCTATGGAACTGGTACACAGTCGACTCTTGTCCGTATTATCCAGCCCCTGGTTTTGCTCCATCATGAACTCACCATTAACAAGGTTTCATCTCGCGCACATGGCACATCAAATCAAAAGGGATGTTCGCCGGCGCCTGCATCGGTGTCATTCTCCTCGTCATGTCCCTCGAATTCCTACGCCGTCTCTCCAAGGAATACGACCGCTACATCCTCCGAAAATTCCAGAAAGCACAGCCATATCTATCTGTGCCTGGGCTTCCACATGGCAAGGCTGCTGCTGCTGCTTGCAAAAGCTCCAATCCTCAGCCTTCCAGTCTCGAGAACTTTACGGCGGTGTCGGTAGTATCATTCCGTCCGGGAGTTTTCCAGCAGGCTATTCGGGCGACGCTTCATATGTTGCAGTTTGCTGTGGCTTATTTTATAATGCTGCTGGCAATGTATTATAATGGGTATATCATTATTTCTATTATAATCGGGGCGTGGCTTGGTGGGTTTGTATTTAGCTGGGAAGCTATCAATACGAGGTATGTTGACTTGATTGGGAAGCCTGGAACCACTTAGCTGATTGTTGCCAGCGGCCCGCAAGAAGAAGCTACTGTGTGTTGTGGGTGACGGAGATACCCAGGGCACATTGCTAGCAAGTCACTGGGGCTGGAAGGCGAACGTCCATGCCAGGAGCAATGGGAGAAGCACTTTCAGAAATTGGTAGTCATATTAGACCCTCTCGACATATGGTACATAAACGCCATGCCAATGCTAATCAGGTTGTCAGCCGATGGTATACCTTGACCAGAACGCCTGTAGATGCTTGTATAACTCATTTCGTTCCCATGCCTTTATCAATAAACCCATTTCTTCCTGTCCTTTGCAATATAGTTTCAGACATTCAGGGCTACAGGTGCCTGGTTCTGAACGCCTCTTTCGGAAAGGTTCTTTTTATGCCCAGCCTCGAGTGATCTGATCTTCCCTTGATTGCCACCTGCTGCCAGGGCGCTCTTATTCTTCTTGCCTCGTCTTCCTTGGGTCTCGGCTCCCGGAGTGATTCCAATTCTCTCGTCAACCTCTTTGGCTAAATCCTCGAGCTTTTCCAGGCCTAGAATCTTGCAAACTTGGTGGTAGCACTTACTACCCGTAACTTCTCGGTGTGCCGGCTGCTTCCCAGGGATTAGGTGGCCGAGCAAGTACTTGCTGTTTCCAAATCGATTCTCAACCTCAAAAGCGGTTTTCATATATTGCTCAACAACTTCGGTCCACGGCGCTAACCCCCCATCGGCCTCGGACCTAAAACAACTCGGGTTTGTCTCTGCAGCTGTTGCAATCATAGCACCATCTACGCCATATTCGGTAATAAGCTGCTCGGCTTGTGCTCGACCCTCTACATCGCCATTCATAAGACATGCCACTCCATTTTCCCGGCAAATGTTTGTGATCATCTTCAATTGCTCCCGAATAGCTCGCTCTCGGGGTCGCATAGGTGTCGTTCGGCAGTGAACCGTAAGGCCAGTAATACCGGTAGCACATAGTTTACGCACCAGAGTCTCTGTCAACTCTGGTGTCTCCAATAGTCTGATCTTGACACTAATCCCAATCTCGAATTCCGGGGTTATCTCCTTCACCAGTGCCTCTAGAATTGAGCAAAGCTTGTCGGGAGTCTGCAGGAGCGCCGCACCCATCCCTCCACTTGTACTGAATGGTTTCGGGCAGCCAGCATTTACATCAATCCCGGCCACATCGCCGGCAACGAGACGGGCGGCTTGGACAGCTCTTTCGGGGTCGGAGGTCCCTATTTGGAAGATATGGCGGGCGCCCTCTCGCTCGGGATGTAGGCGGTAGATGAGACTCTCGGGCCGATTTTTACATGGGTCTTTGGAGCCATTTGAAGGCAGTCGGGTGAAGTCGATAGTCTTGAGGGTCTCGTTGACTCTGCGGGTGGTTCCAATCATGGATCGATCGACGGTTTCCGGACCTGTTGAAACAGATGTGTGAGCATATATGAAACTTTTACCACGGCAACCCTTGGCAAAGCAGGCACTTACCCCATACCAAATCTGCGCCATAGTGAAGGGCTAGCAGTCGAGATGGCATCTCCCCCGAGCGAACCATGGGCGCGAGGACAATCTTGCCTCGGTAGTCTACTCCCCTACGGGGGATAGGGACCCTTTTGGGGGCCGATGTCATGATGGCAGATGTGAGGCGTTGCATGACATTGGGTAGGAGGGCGATAGACTCTGTTCTGTTACCAAGAACAAGTTGCTGTTGCGGTTGTTGCTGTTGTTTGCCGCAATCTCAAAATTTCCTGGAGCGTGACAATCACATGCCACGTGATCCCTTATCGGCCAGCAGGAGGTCCAGACTGCAGACTGCAGACTGCAGACTCCAGACGCAGAATCAAATCAACAGGCGGACAATCGATCAGAGGCTCCCGAGGCTGTTTTGTCCGGTCGGCAGCCGTCGTTCGTACCGAGTAACGACTCTCATTCCACGCGCTACGTATCCATCCGTAGGGCCACGGCAACGGTTGTCATTTCGCTCCTCGATGAGGTCTTATTGTTATAAGTCGGAGTAGATGTCTCTGCCTCGCTGCTGTCTGCGTCGCCTCCGCTGTCGCAGCGCGCTCTCCCTCGCCCATTCGCAGCCCCCGATGATCCCTCCACTCACAACGGCACTCCCACTCCCAGTTCACCCGTCGAATAAGGGTAAAGGCACTCGTCGCCCAATATCCAGCACCACCACCAGCACCACCAGCCTTCTGCAGCAGCGATCCCCGTCGTCCGAGTCCCCGTCCCAATCCCAATCCCCGTCCCCCGCCGGGCAACCCACCACCGCCGCCGCCAACACCACCGCCAACACCAAAACCAAAACCACCACCGCTCGCAAGCTGGCGTCAACCTCACCCCCAAATTTCAAAATCTCTGCTCGCACAGCTCAGATCGCTCGACATCTTTCGAGTACCTCTTCTCCCCCAGACAGCAGCACACACTCCTCCCCCGAACACACAGCCATGGCCTCCCAATACAAGGTCAGAAAGATCGGTGCGCCCAACACCTTGGAGCACCGCATCTACATCGAGAAGGATGGCGTCCCCGTCTCGCCTTTCCACGATATCCCGCTGTATGCCAACGAGCAGCAGACGATCCTGAACATGGTGGTGGAAATCCCAAGATGGACCAATGGCAAGCTGGAGGTAGGTCAATAATTATGATTATAATTATAATTATAATAAAATTCCTGGATTGCAACCAAAAATAAAAACAACAACACACACAACCCCTCCATCCTCGCTTTCAACTACCCCGCGACGCGCACGCAACCGCTAACACCCTATTTTCCCATACAGATTTCCAAGAACGACCTTCTCAACCCCATCCGCCAGGACATCAAGAAGGGAAAGCTTAGATTTGTGCGCAACTGCTTCCCCCACAAGGGTTATCTCTGGAACTACGGTGCCTTCCCTCAAGTATGCGCCCTTCATCCGTCATTAAGAGAAAAAATTGCTGATCGCCATTCAGACATGGGAGGACCCCAATGTTGTGCACCCAGAGACCAAGGCCAAGGGCGACAACGATCCCCTCGACGTCTGCGAGATCGGTGAGTTGGTCGGATACCCAGGCCAGGTTAAGCAGGTCAAGGTGCTCGGCGTCATGGCTCTGCTCGACGAGGAAGAGACCGACTGGAAGGTCATCGTCATTGACGTCAACGACCCATTGGCATCCAAGCTCAACGATGTCGAGGATGTCGAGAGACACCTCCCAGGTCTGCTAAGGGCCACCAACGAGTGGTTCAGAATCTACAAGATCCCAGACGGAAAGCCAGAGAACCAATTTGCCTTCACTGGCGAGTGCAAGAACAAGAAGTGAGTTGATCTCAGTTGTGTTTCGTGTACTTTATTTAGGACTAACGTTTTTGCTAGGTATGCTACTGATATTGTTCGCGAATGTGCTGAGGCATGGGAGAAGCTCATCACCGGCAAGGCCTCGCCCGGTGATATTGCCACGTAAGTTCATCGCGAGATACCTCTGCAACTTGCACTAACAGAGATATAGAACCAACCTTACCGTCAAGCAATCACCATCCCGTGTCACCCCAGACCAACTTCCCCCCATCCCAGCTAATGAGAACCTCGCTCCTGCCCCTATCGACCCTAGGTAAGCCCTTCCCGAAAGTATTGCTCTCAATGGCAATTGCTCATATTTTATTTAGCGTCGACAAGTGGTTCTATATTAGCGGCGCTGCAGCTTAGATTTACCTGCCAAAGGCATAGGATCAAGTGCAGATGTTTAACTACCGGTTTCGGTATAAAAGTTGCTTTGATAATGAAATAGATGAGAAATACTACCCGCTGGCTTGATGTTCTTGCCATATATGTGTCTTCTTGCAATTCAAAAATATCCTAATTGATGATTTATGCTCGCCCATTTCTATACTCGTACATAGTCCCCAGCCCCATCCGTACTGGTTTTGCAGAATATGACCGGCGACTGTCCTATAATCGGGGCACTCAACTAGGACCTGCTTCTACGCGAAACTCCCCACTGTTGAGATTTGTCAAATCGATGTAGCCATGAACGCCTCCCGTATGCCATTGATATACAGCTCGTTCAATCATACAAGCTCAGTTGCCATTCAACTCCTCCTGCCTCGATAATATCCTCGAATGACGATCGACCTCCTCAATAACCCCCTTAATGCCGAGCTTCTCCGCATCCAATTTCATCTCCTTGCCATCCTCTGCAAGCTCATCGTCAGCAATTGACCCCCAAAAAAGAATATCAACAGCTTCAAGCCGAGGCTTAGGAGCTCTTACTGAATTTTAGCTCAACAAAACTGGGCTCTTTCGATATCCGAGGCAACATCCGGGTAGTAACCTTCATCCCCATCTGGCGCGCATTCGGTGGGAGGAATGAGAGGAATAATCGCGCGGTTTTTGCTTTGGGAGAGAAGGGGTTGAAGACAGACGTTACTTCGTTGAGATAGCGGGTAATCATTTTGAGGGAGATCTAAGGAGACTACAACAGTGGCATTGTTAGCAATTGAACTGTGTATTTCTATCTTAGGGGGACTTGCATCGGAGTTCTGGGTGTGAATGCCGCAGGAGGTCGTGGTCATCAATTCTATCTCATGTCTCTGTTAATTTTGTCGCGTGTCGGTTCCGGTCTAGTCCCCGGACCTGAGCAACAGCCGCCGCTTTTACAGGGTTCACAGGTCTAAGCCATCCAGAGGATTTAAGCACGCCTGAACGGCTTCCTTTGCCCCGGGTCCCCTTCCTGGTCCCCACAGGTATTTTTGTCCGTTTGATATTGATCTTGTCAATGGGCTGATAGATAGAGGTGTGGAAAATCAGAGATATAGCGCTAGACGGGGAGTGATACCTGACGAATACGTTTGGAGTTTGTGATAAAATATGGCGTCAACCCCATCATATTTGTGTCAATTATTAGCAAACTAGCCCATTGAGATGGCATACAAGTCGAAGGTTAATAATCCCTCGGATTAAAATCCGTTGTGGCAATCTATGTCTTAAAACATAGCATCCCGCTAGGCTTTTACTCAAGTAGCTGAAATGAATATCAGAAGGGATACAAACGCCTAGGCTAGCAAGGCATGGTTCATGGAAGATATAGCTGAGTTCTATAGAGCGGGTTGGCACTCTGTTTCCCGCGTCCATGTTTGTTTATTTCAACTGGGTAAGAGAATCACAAATCAAAGCTACCCCAACGGTCTCTAGTTTTGCCCGTGCTTCTTTTAGTCTCCTTAAATTGACCAACGCACGCGCAAAACGCCTCTCATTGGCAGCAGCATCCAGTCCGGCCTTTATGCTCTTTTTCTCTGCAGTAGTTAAACAAATTTTCCAACCCGGTATGTAATTGGCAGCCTTGTGCTTCTCAAGAGGAGCACTGATTGTGAGTCCATGGGTCTGTAAAAGAGCGTCTGCGGCATCCATGTCCTTCTGCAATGGAGACCAGTATTTCTGTGGTAGTATACCATGGGGATATGATTTCTGCATCTTTCTGGCTTCTGATACTCGTGTCCGCTTTTGTTTTCTCTTTTTCTCTGGCATCGACATCAATCCGGGTGGAGCAAATGGCTGAAGAAGACTAACAACCTTTTCAGCTGTAACAGAGGATTGTGTGATTTCATCAGGGAGTTCGAAATCTGAGTTCACCTTTTTGAGCCATGTATTCAGTGCTGTATAAATCTCCGGCACATCTCCCCCAAGGTGAATAGCCAGGCTCTCTAGCATTGTAGTCGTTAATACTTTGCTCTTCTCGAGATTTCTGTCCGAAATTTTACTAATGTGCCACGGTAAATAACTTCGTGGTAAGTTTTCAAGCCATGGTAATTGCTCGAAAACAGCCTGGTCGATTTCTTCTTGGAACATCTTGCCAAATCCCCAAACGCTTGATATTTCAACGGTATATTCGCGTAAAGCAACAGTTATCGTGACCATCAGAGCTATGCAGTGGATGCTATTTTCCTGGACATAACTTGTGCCACCTGTACAGCCAGTTTCGTCAAGGCCGGTGCGGCAATCCTAGTGCAACATTAGATCTACTTCAAAACCGATACAGTAATATGTCTACCCAATAAATGGCCAGATATTTCGTGATTATTGAATATGGAATGTGACTTACTGGAAAGAAATCCAAGAAAAGAACTTTTTTGCCGTAGTACTCTTCAATAAAATTAATAATTTGCTCAGTTAAGCATCTCTCAGAAGGTATAGCATCCAGATCTGTGACTTCATCTCGAACGGGACACCATCCTAATACAAGCAAAACTTCTTGATTTTTGCATCTTATCATTTGTGGTCTGCAACTGGTAAGCCAGTTGGTTCCTGGTGGAACCTTTTTTATCAAGTCGTTCCAGCCGCCTGCTCCCCAGAAGTATTGACCGGCCATTTCCGCGAGAGCCTTCTTTTTATCGCCGTAGTAGTAAAATGTTAAGGGTCGTTCGTCACTCCAGCTGCAAGCCTCCCTTACCACAGTGCGTGGAAGTGTGTTGTGCTGATTATTATGACCATTTTTTATTTCTGACATATTGTTGTCCTTGGGTGGTTGGCTGATGGAAGGTAGAGTACCCAATAAGTACGCAGACAATATAAGGAGGTGGGTGGTAAAGTACGGAGGGGGGAGCGGAGTTCGGCAATAACATATTTTAAGGGTTCATAGTTTAAAATAAGAACTTTTCGCCAAAACAATTCCAAACCACCCTCGGTCGTCTAGTTGGTTTATGGGTAAGATAGTCTGCACCTGATTATCTGAAATCATAACTAACAATCAATAGCGTCCGGCTGTAATATATTCAGTCTACCGGAATGTCGCGCGTATGTGCTTCAAAATCAAAATGTTCTCTCAGTCAGCTGCTAACAGCTGTACAGGTTCGACTCGCGCCTGAGGGACAAAACAATTTTTTTGGACTTTTTTTAATCTTTTGCTTCACTTTTGGTGGGGGAGAGGAGGGGTTTCGCTTGTGAATACTGTAGGCGAATCTTCGGATTAATACACGGATTTCGTAATCAGTCCCTGAGCGAGTGATCGTACCAAGGCTCTCCTTCCGCCTCGTCGGTGTGCCTCCGACTTCAAGTTGCCAGCTTACCCTCTAGCTACAGCTTCTACTTCTATCAACCTCGGAAGCCGCGCACATAAAGCAATTCCACACACCCCAATATGTCATTCCAAGTGGTTTCAGAGCGGCTTGCAGCTCTTCAAGAATCGAACGGGCAACTAAAACAACTCATCGAACGCCTCGCCACCATCGATTTCCAGCCCGGTTCCGTACCTCTTGACAATGAAGAAGGAAACGTCATGACTGAGCTTACAACGGAAATCCAGCAGATGTTAAAATACCAGGATGAGGATTTCGAGTTATTACAAGAGGATATCAATGATTTGCCCGGGAGGCCAGGAAGCGAATTGGCGCAGCAGAGGGAGGGGCTAGATCATGTTGCTAAGAGAGCTATGAGAGAGTTGAAAGGGTAAGCCCCCGTTCGAGTCCAGGTGTTTGTACGGCGCCATATATGCGATGAAAATCTCACACGGTTCTAGATGCGGATTCTCTTTCCGTAATGCCCAATTATCTGCGCGACGCAAACTCCAAGTCGCCCAACGCGAGGAGCGGGAACTGCTCCTACAGTCCTACATCAGCGAGCCTTCCTCCCCATCTTCACCCGGCCCTACACCGATACAACAGCGCCATCGGCGGACGCACCATACGGAGCTCTCGAAGGAAGAACGAGAAGTCAACGCCACTAGTGATGTTACAGCTACCTTGCGACGCACGCACGATATGATGGCTTCCGAGCTGTCACGCTCCCAATTCGCACACGATACACTGAAGGAGTCAACTGCGGCATTAGCCCAACTCTCGGAAACATATTCAACATTAGATACCCTATTATCGAGTTCGAAGAATCTCCTAGGCACGTTGTTGAGAAGCCAGAAGAGCGATACGTGGTATTTAGAGACAGCATTTTATATCCTGCTAGCTACGATTGTCTGGCTCGTCTTTAGACGTATTTTATATGGGCCTATGTGGTGGCTGATGTGGTTCCCTATGAAGATCTTCTTCAGGAGCTTATTGGGTGTGCTCGCGGCTGTGGGGGTTACTGGCGGATCTTCAAATGTTGATGTCGCCTCTAGTTCTTTGGCCAGTAGCACGTTGATTGTTCATAATAGCGCGACTGGGAGACTATCCGCACCATCTATGGCTGGAGGGAGGGTACCTAGCGTTAACGTTGGCGGGAGAGGAGGACCATTGCCAACAAACACTCCGCAGAGAGGTGACCCATCTCAGGCGAATGTCTCCGAACAGGTTGGGAAGATCATTGATGAAAGTCATGATGGACATGGCACAGATGAAGGGCCAAAGGCGGATGATTCCGCGCATGAGAATCAAGCAGAGTATCAACCGAATCCTAAGAAGCGAATGTGGGAAGAGGAGAAGGAGGCTGCGAAGGAGGCCGAGAGAAAGAAAGACGAGTTATAGTAGTGCTTGGGAATTCAAATATTTTCTCGTTCGTCACATAGGCAGAGGAACTACCATCGTGAGCATGCGAAGCTAAGCAATCCTCTACTGTATAAATACGTATTAATCAATATACGGAACGTCCACCAAGGATGTTGAAATTCGTGGAATAGCACAATTCACTACCAACTAGTATCCCTATAACATAATATAGAATAGAAATACTAAAGTAATGCACCCTTTATTTATAACCGACCTTGTACTCGTTATAGATGTCCATAAGAGCGATTCTCCACCAGACTAGAGAGTATTAGAGTTCGTAGAAGTTTTAAATTTTAATACTTATTTTATGTCGACCCATTATCCTCGTTATAGATGTCTATAAGAGCAATACAAAGGTTAAACAGGCCTTTCAACTTCAATCCACTTCCATCAAGGCATGGCAGGAAGCATATGTATGACATTCTCTAGGTTGCCTTCAGCCCATCTAACATAACATTGGCAAACACATTCGTATAACGGAGTCGTGGCTATCGTGATTACAGAAATAACTGTCGACATCCCTGGTAACGCTAAGAAGCCGTTTGCTCGCGATCGTAAGAATAGGGAGATGAGCGACGATAAAGAGATTGGAATATTCCGGAATTAGATCGTTGATGTGCTCGAGTATGCTGAGGAAGCGCATGTTGCGACCAAGGAGACTCTAATGATAATTCTTACTACCTTAAGCACAAATGTCCAGCGCCAAATATGCAAAGTTTTAAACGAGGGGGCGAGAGACGCGGCATACCAGTTGGATTAGCAGTCAAAGGTCACTAAACAGACTGGTACTATACGGACGGAAGTGTATTGAAGTGACAGAAGTTATAGCGCATTCTTAGGCGACTTTAGTATAAAACTCTTTTCGCTAGTATTATAAGGCCCAACGGCAATTACCTAGATATAAATCTATTATCGTGTAAATATCTCACTAAAATTGAAGTATTCAAGTTACACGAATATCTTGCTAGGATTGAGGTATTCAAGCTATATAAATATCTCACTAGAATTGAGGTAGTCAAGTTATATGAATATCTCACTATAATTTGAGATATTCAAGTCGTATAAATATCTAACTAAGATCAAGATATTTACACTATTTAGATGTAGGAGGTAAGTTCTATAGCCTAAGGGTTTTACACTTTGTATGAATTATTTAGCAACTTACAAACAACTAAATTGTTTAGCTATGAGTAGGCATAGAAACATCTGCAGCCTTTGAAATAGCATCCTCGCTTCTCCACAAGCTCGTCACAGTCTTCAACTGTGTATAGAATTGCAACCCAGGCTTGCCGTAGAAGTTGTTTGCTCCACCACCTGCAATGCTCTTTTTATTACCCGTGAAGCTGAACATGGGAAGGGGGACCGGGATTGGTACATTGATTCCAACCTGTCCAGCTTCAATATTCTTTTGGAATGCAGTGGCTGTGGCACCGGATTTCGTAAAGATAGCGACGCCGTTTCCGTACTCGTTGGCATTGATGAGATCAACGGCTTCATCTAGCGAATCGACGTTTAAGCAGACCAGCACTGGTCCAAAGATCTCCTCCGTGTAGCACTTCATATGTGGCTTAACGTTTGTGATAATGGTTGGGCCGACCCAGTTGCCGTTGGGGTAATTCGCGGGCTTATATCCACGACCGTCCAACAAAATAGTGGCACCCTCTTCCTCGGCGCTTGCAATGAGGCTTTCAATCCTCTCCTTGCTCTGTGGGGAGATGACAGGTCCCAGATCAGCGCCCTTCTCAAATCCTCCATTGACACTTAGCGCTTTGGCACCCTCTGCAAGCTCCGTAAGCCACTCCTTGGTCTCGCCAACCATAACCAAGGTGCTGAGAGCCATACATCGCTGGCCTGCCGCACCAAATGCCGCACCAACGATCGAGTTAATTGCGTGCTGCTTATTAGCATCTGGAAGGATAGCTGCATGGTTCTTGGCGCCCAGATTTGCTTGAACACGCTTGCCGTTAGCCGATCCGCGGGTGAAGATATACTCTCCGGCGCGGTTGCTGCCAACAAAACTAATTGCCTTGATTGCAGGTTCGTCGATAATGAAATCAACTGTCTTAGCTGAACCGTGGATAATGTTCAGAACTCCTGGAGGCATTCCAGCCTTTTGAGCAAGCTCTGCTAGGATCATGGCCGCACCAGGATCCCGCTCTGACGGCTTGAGGATAAGGCAGTTTCCTGTGGCGGTGGCAATAGGGATTGACCACAGAGGAATCATGGCAGGGAAGTCTAGCCAGATGTTAGCATGGTCGACCATGTTGCTCTGGGGAACCTACTGAAAGGGCAAATGGCAGCCACGACACCCAATGGCTCTCTGTATGACCTTGTTTCCATATCCTTAGCCACCTCTAGAACTTCTCCCATCATTTGTTGAGGAATGTTGCAGGCTCCTTCTGCAACTTGTAGACCGCGAAGCACATCTCCCTTGGCATCTGCAATAACGTTAGCATCCATTGCGGCCGGGACTGTAGTTCTAGCACTTACCAGCAAATGTCTTGCCCTGCTCGAGTGTGATACTCGCCGCCAACCTATCCCAATTGTCCCTGACAAGTTGGGTAAACTTAAACATAATCTGCTGCCTCGCCATGACACTGGTGGCCCTCCATGCTGGAAACGCCTTTTGGGCACTATCAACCGCCGCCTTGAGCTCCGCATCTGTGCTTTGCGGCACCCTTGTGACCAGATTGTTGGTGGCGGGGTCATGCAAATCAATGAATTGCGTGGCCTCTGACTTCAGGAACTGATTGTCGACGAAATATGGTGTATCCTCCACATTCTGTATCTTCTCGTGTGAGGTCGGGTAGTCATTGGCGTCGGGAGCAGTTGCTACAGCTGGCCTCAGGTGCCGAGATGTAGCATGCAGCCGGCGAGTAGCTATCTTCGAGGTCTGGGAGGAGGAAGGCATTCTGAATGTTTGTGGTGAGTGGGGTTGGTGAGCTCTGCGTGCTACCACCGCTGGGATGTTCCGTGTCAAGGCCCGACGCATTATAAAAATCTCAAGCCCGCAATAGAGATAGAGAATGGATGATGCAAAGAGAGGAAGATATCAGCATGTTTCTCTCTACAAAAAGGATTGTCGGAAGACGTTCCCCTCGCCGGAGATGTAGCGCTGCTGGTGTATATAATAGTGTTGACGATCCCGCGGGTTCCCCTTGTCTGCTTAAGCCGCTCTCGCCCCCTTTCCCCGCAAGCCGCCCACATTAACGACCCCAACCGCACCTAACCGAGGTGTCGACCGAACTCGGGCCTAAAATACCGAGTATCTGGTATACGGAGTAAGTACCTAGGTACAAGCAGTGCCCCGTCCTGTACCGGTCAAAGGGAAGACAGGTACAAGTACAAGTACTTACTCCGTACCAGTACTAATTAAAAATGTATAAGCTCGCCAATCTCTAACACTATTATTCTACAATACTTTCCAAGAACAGGGATTATCTCCACTATAAAGTCTAAACATTGCTATAGACAGGGGCAATGGGTAAGCCTAGCTACCTACCTACTTGCTAGAGAGCTACAGAGTGGCTACAACAAACTATCATATCATTCTCCGATGGTAACAAAGCACTGGGTCACTCTCTTGGGGAAACCATCTAATAATACCCTTCGCCATGGTATTAATCATACTTCTTTCTGGTGCTTTCAACCATCAAAAGGCCACAGCTCTCTTACATCTCCCTCGCTCTTGGGATCGTCTCTGTCGTTGCTCGCAGTGTCTAACGCCATGTAGAATACGTCTTGGTGAGCAACCTTCACCACTTCCCACCGGTCAATAGGCACCCAGCTATCACGAAGTCGGTCACTTCATATGCATAGATGAATGCTGCCTCGGTGGAGCTTGACTGCTAGTCAATAAGACATGTAATTGCGATGGGATCGTCATCCGAGACATATATATTCCTTGAGTGTAAATCTACCTAGAGGAGAGTTAGTGTCGCGGAATTTTGAATTTGCGTTTTCGAATTAGCCGCTGAAGCATACCCTGGGCTACGTATAGCAAATTTCGTTGTGCCTCGACCGTACCAAGGTAGGATGGCCGCGATTGTTCCTTGTTAAGAGGTGGGAGTTCGGAGAATTCATTAGCAACAAGTTCGGCCGCATATGCTGAAAGATTCGGCGCTGTAGCATTCTTGTCAGATGTGTGCCGCCAGTATATACATGTGAAGCGTCTCGTAACTTACATAGTCCTTTATCAGGAGCTAGAAAACCTCGTCTTGGCTTGTCCAGCGGTGCCATATAGCAGTCGCACAATGCGACCCAATATAGTAGCCTTCTACGAAGGGGATCTTTAACGGTGAGTCAAACGGAGCATGGTCAAAGTAGAGGTTTCCATTATATTCCTGTTAAGCAATGGAAAGGGAATTGTCGCTCGCCTGCCCACTCGAGGTGTTGCACAAAGTGGACGTGAACATGGTGGCGCTGAGAGCTGAGGAATCGGCGTTCTCATCTATCATATTGCGAATCAACATAGTAAAGAATAGCGAAAAGAAGCCTCAAAGAGAAGAGCCATGGGTTCAGAGTAGTCGACTCTCAACAAATGCAAGGCACTACGTAGATGGCTGAACTTCTGCTCGCTCTCTTACACCAAAACCGACATCAGCTCCGTAAATGTAGCGAATCACAAGAGCTCTAACGTATTGAGCATTAGTGCTGAGTGCTTCTCCCCCGCATCTTCGGAGACTGTAAACAATAACTCTTATAACCGTGTAACACCACATACCAAAATCGGTTTTCACATAAATATTCGCAATAAACAACTTTAAACATTTATCTGTAGGAATAGATAGTAAGACTAGCTACAATGGTCTTCACCGCAACAAGACATATTCCAATTCCAACCAAGGATATCCCGTCCTGGATATTTGATGAGCCTCGGTATGATGAAGATGAAGCAGTAAGTTTCTCATTGGATGCAAAAATTGCATGGACGTTAATTTACTCTTCTAAAATACTGACTTAATTTCAAGATGTACATTGACGCGAAAGATCCATCGAGGTCTATTTCCTTAAGACAAGCTCGAACCATCATCCGAAAGCTTATAGCCGGGCTACAAGCCTCAGGGCTGTCTAAAGGGGACTGTGTCTGTGTCCACTCATTCAATGATGTTGGTTCACATTATCTCATCGTAACCCATTTCTTACTTTCCTATAGATATACTACTCCATGTTATTCCTAGGAATCATCGCCGCCGGAGGCGTTTTCACCGGAACAAACCCGTCCTATACCAAATTCGAGCTCGGTCATCATATCAAAACCTCAAAAGCCAAATTCTTGATCTCTGAGCCGGAAATCCTTCCAAGTGCATTGGAAGCAACCAAAGCACTCGGGATGCCAGAATCTAATATATGGATATTTGATGTGGTGAGAGGCAGTTCCTTACCTACTGGCTTTAGATCCTGGAACGACCTGATGTCGCATGGTGAGAAAGACTGGCCGAGATTCGATGATGAGAAAACTTGCAAAGAAACCACCGCCGCATTGCTTTTTTCGAGTGGCACAACGGGTCCTCCCAAGGCAGCAGTGCTGAGCCATCATAACATAATTGCTCAACATACCCTCGCGATAGGATTAAACGAGAAGCCATACAGAGTAGGTCGGTCCATGAACGTGGACCAGCCGCAGAACTAACACTTGATAAGCCAAATCGTATTCTTTGTCTCCCAATGTTCCATGCAGCGTGTGTTCCTGGTCAGCCCTCTTATCTCTCAATTTTATAGAAAAACAGATAGAACTAACAAGCAATAAAGTCGCCCATACAAGCGTACTAAAAGGCGGCCACAAATCCGTTGTTATGCGGCGTTTTGATCTCGAAGAGTTCCTCTCATGCATTGAGAAGTTCGAGATAAATGAGATGGGAATCGTTCCCCCCATCGCAGTCGGCCTCATTATGTCGCCCCTCACCAAAAAGTATTCGCTCAAGAGCATTAGAGCGGCATCAATTGGCGCTGCTCCGTTAGGACGAGAGTCTCAAGACAGACTAAAACAATTGTTACCCAAAGGTGCCCCTGTTACGCAGTAAGTTTGCCCTTTCCCTGATCTTCACGGTAGTAGCTAGGATATGAGATCGTACAACGCTCCCTATCAAATGAAGAACTTAAGCTTCATGACAGAAGTCATAGGTGGACCTAATCTAAATTCTTGGTTAACGCGATCCTTGTAAAACTGGTTGTAACGGGGAAACGCTAACCTTGAAATTTTGATAGGGTCTGGGGAATGACCGAGACGAGCTGTATAGCCTCCATGTTCTACTACCCCGAAGACGACGTGACCGGAAGCGTAGGACGTATTGTGCCCAATTGCGATGTCAAGTACACTTGCCCGCTCACAATCTTTTAACTTGGAGCCGACACTAATATTTTGCGTTTTAGAATCATCGACGAGAATGGAAAGGACGTTACAGGCTATGACACACGAGGGCAACGTATGTTTTGTCACGCTTCTCCATTTCTCCACCACCTCTCCTGTCATCGTAGCAAATTGAAAATGCGGATGCCAAGACCTCATAACTGTAGCTAACAACAAGCTATAGTCTGCATCCGCGGCCCCATCATCATATCGGGCTATTTCGAGAACCCCAAAGCAAACGCCGAAGCCTTCGACTCTGAAGGATACTTCAAAACGGGAGATATAATGTACTGTGACAGCAAAACCGGGAAATTCTACGTCGTCGACCGAGCCAAGGAGTTGATCAAAGTCCGCGGTTTCCAAGTCGCCCCTCCAGAGATAGAATCGGTTCTTCTTTCGCACCCCCACATCATTGACGCGGCTGTGATTGGAGTAAAACATCTCTCGGACCCAGAGGCTGAGCATCCGCGCGCTTACGTTGTGAGGAGACCTGGGCAAGAAGGCCAGGCTTTAGATGAAGAGGTTGTGAAAAAGCATTGTAGTGAGCGGTTGGCTAAGTACAAGGACCTTACTGGGGGTGTGAGGTTTGTTGATGTGATTCCGAAGAATCCGAGTGGAAAGATTTTGAAGCGGGTTTTGAGAGAGCAGGTAAAGGCCGAGCAGGATGCGGAAAAGGCGAGACTGTGAATTGTGAACTGAGTTTTGCGATAGAGATAGATGCTTCTCTCTTTTGTGCACGAGCTTGTTCGTTTGCTGCGAACTTGTGGATATAGCGAGGGGCAAAGAGTTGCTTTATAGTCTGTTAATTGGGATACTCGATCATCAGAACTTTCTTATACCGAGTCATCTTATATGCAATGAATGGCTATGATATGTGCCCCACAGTTATGCCTTCCACGACATTAAATCACCACTTCGTACTGAGACATTGCAAGGCCCTAGGTTCCAGTTAATCCGGTACAGCCACAGGAATAGCAACTAGCATTTTGGACAAGGAAGCGCATGGTAGTATATATCGCTTATGTCAATTTTCAGGTGTCCTCTTTGCAAGCTAGTTTAAACCAAAATAAAATTTCAATCCGAGGTATAACCCACCAGGCTACTTGCCTTGGATAGTGTAGGCAATCTTGATCGTGCTTTAAAGGGCGGAGCGGACTTCCGAGCATCCCATAATGTCAGGATATCAAAACACTTAGCAAAGAGGACACGTATTTCCAGTCCATACAGTAATACCCCACCTGCCAATGAACCAAATAATGCATACGGTATTATAATATACACATCCCATTTTCCTCTCCTCTTACTCCATAAGTTGTCATCTATAAAACATAATCATCGCCCAAATAGTCTCCCCATCACCCCCGTGGCAAGATTACTCGCAAGCCCTCCTGAAAGCATAGCGCTACCCGCAAGATTCGAAGCCTGGCCGAATTTATCGCATCGTGAGAAAGCAAGTGTATTCGTGATTGTGAGACTTAGGGCGATAACTATATGTGATAAAATCCCCATTAGTACGATGTTCCCGCATAGGTAAATATAAAATGCATGTATATTGGGACACATACCAACGAGCGTTAACCAAATGAACTCAAATTTCAAGATCGCCACAATAGCGAGTGCAATCCACAGCAGCGGCTGGGAATACATAGCCATCCAAAAGAATCGCTTGTCCGTGGCATTTATGATCTTGGTCGATGGATCAGAGCTCTCGAACACCCAGTGCGAATCGCCCGTTTGAGGGTTAACTTCGTTCCACCATCGGAGACCAACTAGGCGTCTTCCGGCGATGTTCTTGAGGTAGTAGAAGTCGGCTGCGAGGAGGAGAATTGTGATGATGAAGATGAGGACGCTGGGGGGTGGTAAATTAGTAGCTGGTTGGATTGGGGGGGGTGGTAACAATTCGGGTCCGGACGCGGGAGCTGGGGAGGGGAGAACTTACAAGTTCTCTGTGAAGAGGATACCTAGTAGATATACCAGAAGAGAAGCTGCGTAAATTGCCTCGATTAGTACGATTGTGCTGCGCGAGAGAGAGGGAGTATTGCATCCAGGGCTTACAGATTCGAAATGCGAGGAACCACAGCAACGTTATAGGATGTGAGCTGAGCCGCCAGCTCAGTGAGCCCTCAGGACGGGGTTGTTCCATGGCAGGCGTGTAGATGATAGCACCGAGGTGGGGAGAGACCAAGTTCTCTAAGAGACGCTTTTCGAGAGAGTATATTAGGTATGCGATTCAATGTTTCCTCTGCCTGGTGAAGCCGCGCACAATGGCCTCAAGTACCCCTGTCGCGAGAGTGTGGTTAGCTGAGGTAGCTTGATTATTATTAGAACGCCTTGACGGGTTCCTAGGGACACCCGTCAGATACCGATAACTTGTACCATGCAGCCGAGCTCCAAAACGCCGAGGGCGTCAGGAACATCACAGCTTCGAGAGCTCTCTCAGGGTGGTTCGATACATATCGAACTCTACCTCCATGTCCACACCATGATTTAGGAAAATTCCTCAAGGTGACAGATGCTCTACACCGCCCATTAATTAACCCAAGCCCCCCTAAAAATGTCAACGTCATCAGCAGCCGTTCTCCGGCGGGCGCTCCTCTACAGTTAGTAGCTATCTCTGCCCCTCAACTCCAACTCCAACTAACAAAACCACATCTACAAGTCCCCTCCTCCTCCCCCAAATTCCTCGAAAAGTCCCGCTCCCTAAAAGTCGACACGGCATGCTACGACCTCGAGGATTCCGTAACACCGGCTCAGAAACCGTCTGCACGCCAGAGCATCGTATCCTTCCTGTCGCAACCCCGCCCACCCCACATCTCCGAGCTAAGCGTTCGCATAAACGCCGTGTCCTCAGGTCTCGCGCTGCAAGATCTCACCAGCGTGCTCGAAGCACCGAATCTAGACGCCTTGGTGATTCCCAAGGTAAATAGGGCATCGGACCTACACTTCGTCACCGATGTGCTGCGACATAAGCTCCCGCAACGGCACCCCTCCTCTCCCGATGCATCGTCAAAGCCGTTAAAGATCCTGGCATTGATAGAATCCGCGGAAGCTATCACAAACCTGAATGAGATATGTAAGGCCTCGCCATATTTGAGCGGTTTGATCTTCGCGGCGGAGGACTTCGCTCTCGATTTGTCACTTACGAGGACTCCTTCTCTAACGGAATTCCTTTATGCGCGCTCTGCTATTGCTACATCTGCGAGGGCACACGACCTTCCTTCGACTATTGACTTGGTCTGTACTTCGTTCCGGGGGGCTGAGGGCGTTAAAACCTTGGAAGAGGAGTGCTTGCAGGGGAAAGGGCTGGGGTTCAACGGCAAGCAATGCATACACCCGAGTCAAGTTGAGGTTGCCCAGAGGGCATTTGCCCCTGGAGAGAAGGAGGCTGAGTGGGCTATGCGGGTGGTGATTGGAGATGAGAAAGCTGACTCTTCAGGAAGAGGGGCGTGGACCTTGGACGGCAAGATGATTGATGTCCCGGTTGTTGGGAAGGCCAAGGCGATTGTGAAGAAAGCAGAAGCTTGCGGTATCGATGTCGAAGCTCTTAGAGAAAAGTGGAAGCATCAAGAGCCGGAATAATATCTAGTATTCGCAACTAACGCCCCAACTACTTCTACTCTGAAAGTACCTGTCAAACAACCAGACAGTAAAACAATGTACAGTACAAAATATATATAAGTTGCATACAAAAGATCCACGCCATGGCGTTATGGTAGACAGCATTCTTCAATACTGGCGGTGAGGTGTCCAGAATCTTTGGATGGAATAGCTGCCTTCATCACCGTGATGGTAATTTTCCATTGTGACCTCGATTGGTATGTCTGCTTGATTATCGCTAGCGTGCGTCGGCATGTAATACTCACAATAGCCATCATGAGTATTAGGATCGACCACTTCATCTAGATGGTTATCGCAATACTGGTGAAAATTCCCCCCTAAGTTGGGCATGTCGGTGTACGTTGGCTCGACTAGCCCGCCGTTGGTGTCATACATTTGGTGGTCGTAGGCATCGCCTTGGAGTATTACACCATTCTCGTCACACCTCATGCTATCAGGCGCCGGGCTGTTTGCTAAAGAGGTAGTCATAGACTTGAAAGGGGTGAGTGTGTCGCCCATCTGGGAGCTTTCTAACTGAATGAACTCCCCTGGGGCGTCATAATCTTGTTGTGCTTGACGGACAAAAACTGGATCCACTCGACCCAAGGGAGATAACCGTGTAGCTACACCAAAGTTATACCTCCAGCCTCCTCGTAGCGGAAGTCCCTGAGGAGCCGAACTATTAGTCCTCTCGGGGTTAGAATTTTGCGGCGGATGATCGGAATTTGGGGCTTGAAACCTTGGATTGTTCACATAGTTGGCCCAGGAAGGCAATGAAATGCCACTTTGAGAATGCATCCCCTCCCTAGCTGAAGGACTCTGGAGATTAAACTCATCAGGTACGGACCGCTGAGCGCTTGGGGGAATTGAGTGGCTTGCAGACTTAGCATCCCCAACGGAGTTGAGAATTGCCTCTGTGTTTGTAACTGTCGGTTCAAATGATGCCTCCAAATCGGGCCCTTGTACTATATCCCGCATATCCACTTGTTGGCCCCTCGAGATTGTTGCTGGGAGTTGCATATGTGGTTGTGTACCGATAAAATTCCCGTTACTCTCCGTCATATTACATCCAACGCCGGCCAGGCCAGTGACTGGCAGTGCAGTAGACAGGTGCTTGATTCGTGCGTGCTTCGCGAGCTGCTCTCTAGTAATGGTTGTACTTGGTGACTTTTCCGGCATCACGCTTCTCGGAATTGCTTCATGAGAGCACCCGTCTTCGGGACGAGGACTGAGTCTTTGCTGCTCCCCCCCCTGAGATTTGAGATCATTGACTATGCTGTTTGTTCCGACCTCTATAGAACCAATCTTGTCTCGGTTATTCAGTGTTGCCCCAGGCATTTCTTCCCGGGCATTCTCAATATGATGCCCTGTATCTGTGATGTTATCGGGCAGCTGAGTGATTGAGGCACGGCATCTTCGGTAGGGGGAAGATCCTGCGTGCCGGTTGCTCGAGATAGTGGTAAAATCATGCTCGTCCAGAGGGCTATTTTGGTAGATGTGGTCTTGTCCTGGTCGTTGTCTGCTTTGATTTAAGATAAATCTGTCGTTTACCGCACTGGTACTGCCACGTCGCTCGATACCTGTATTCCGAAAGATCCCAGTGCTCTCCAAGCAATTACGAATTGAGTCCGGTGTTGAACTGTTAGGGCCGTGATTGGTATTTCGTAAGTGTCGTGATGGTGTATTAGCAGCCACAGGGGGAAATTGAGACTCAGACCAGGTCACGTAAGTCGTTGCCTCGCCAGACAGTTTACTCGAGGAACCTAAATTCCTTTCAATAAAAGGCATTCTCCTTGGAATTGAAGTGCCGTCTCTGTCAAGACGAGCCCGGTTTTCCAGATCGCTCAACGACTTCTTGTCCCGACCCTGCGACACAAACTCCCTAGGTACCTTGTATGTTGGTGATTGCCCGGTTCCAGCGTTGCAATTTATCTCATATAGGGGCTTTCTAGATTTCGGGAAGAAAGCGGATATCTCTTGCTCCCTTTGCGGCCGCCTATCCTGATATTCCTGATTTTCAGTCCTCCTGAGCTTGATAGTGGCCGAGGGCGAACGGCGGTTAGAATGCTGGAGAAATTCCATCTCCGAGAAGGCGAGATCGGACACTATTTCACTTAAATCAGTGCGAGACCACAGATTCATACAATCTGATACTTACGCCCTTTGCGTTTTGCGGGATAGGAGGCCCGCCCGTTATTGAACAAACCAACACCGTAAGATGGGCGAAGCTAAAGATGGTTACGGTAGGCTCTGTATATGGCTATTCAGGGCCACTCACGGTCAGCCGCTCTCCTCCGATGCTTTTCGAGGTAAAATTATGCATTAAATCCTCGCCAGATCCTTTGGCAGCTTTTTTCTGACCACTTTTCTTCGGCCGCTTTGTCGTCGTGCGGTTTTTTTTATCCGTCTCGTCATATTTTCGACTATGGGGGTTTGGCTCATATCGTTCCTCGCGTATCTTGTGTCGGGGTCTCTTTTCGAAGGTCTCTTTCCGTGGGCGCGAGTCGTCAGTGGCACTTCCAGCCCTTGACGGTATTGAAACAACTCTGCGCCTTTTATGTGTGTGTGGCAAGGGATCCTCTTGTTCTCCCATCCTGGTTTTGTTGATCCCTTCATGATTCATCATGTGTGACCTTGGTCGAGCAGGTGCCTCTAGCAGAGAGCTGTCAGAGGATGAATTATGTTTCCTCCTCAATTTCTTCCGGTCATGGCGATGTCCCGTTTCAACTTCGACTTTTTCATGCTCTGTTGAGAAATTGTTAAGATAACCAGTAATATCAGCGAAGTAGCTGAGACTTACGATACTTTTTCTGGGTCCATCGTACCACTTCATTGTCCACAGTAATGTCACCCTTCGCTTCTGCTAACCATCTCTGAACATAATCGTCATTACCAGTCCTCCCGAGTCGGATGGAACTACCATTGTGTCGTTGCTCTTGTATGCTGATGTCCGCTGGGATGCTCTGCTTGTCTCTTCGGATCAGGTTGGATACTGAATCATCAGGAAGTATCTGATGGCGGTTGACTCGGCTAGGCGTTTCACTCTCTCTAGCTCTGTGCGAATGTCGGCGACGCTCATGATGATGTTGCTTGTCCATGGCCGCTACGCAAACGCAGAATATAGAACCCGTGGGCCAGAAATTGTCAATGAGAAATGGAAATTCGGTCTTCACCAGAAAGCATTGCGAATCAACGAAGGCACCACAATACGATCTTGAATGCTCGGACAAATAGGTAAATTCAGGCCTATACATGCAACTTTACAGCATATGCGGTTGCGACTACGAAATTGGAAAGAGCGAGAGTGAAGCGATAGCTTGGAAAGGACGACCGTGGTAAATATGTCCGTTTCTACAACTTGAATCTCGCGTCCGAAAGAAGGAATAGAAACTCCGTACGTAGTATTTGATAACTTCTCAAACCCAGCTGGAATATATATTTGATAGAATGAGGTAGCCAGCCTTTGCTTAATCTTCAACCGCACAGCACGGCTCCAGATTTCGCCACCTTCCACCACAGCGTGGCAATTTTATACTTATAGTTCCAGGCCCTTTAGCTGTTCCTGCATCTGAGAAATGCAAGCGCATCGCAGGTGTCCCTGGTAGCCATGGGGAACGTGGGTGGTGCGTCAACCCGAGTCCTAGAGGTAGATTCTGCTCAAGAGACCAGATTATTCGCAAAGGAAAAAACCCTAAGCGGGCGAGGATTGGGCGAGGGGCCAAAAAGCGGTGTGAGCGTCCACAGCCCTACGAGTCCCGGGGAATCCACGTCATGCATCTAGTTCTGCAGTAAGCAGTTCCTACTCTCTTTGCGGCTGGCGTGGGCGTCCAATAGTCATATTCCAATGGGAGATCTGGCAACTTCTACAAAAGCAAAAATTGATATATGACAATGAGATTGATAAGCGGCCAGTTTCTTCAGTCCAAGGAGGGCTGGTTGCTGGGAATAAGGTTTCTTGCTCTGTACTGCACCGCATAGGCCTAACTACGGGCACCAAACTCTGCGTGAGTCTATACCTCTGTAGGAAGCTTGCTATGCACCAAAAGCGGCGGCACGCTGCTAAAAGTACACGAGGCAGGTTCATTGGATACCCTGGGTTTAGAAGTAGACCTAGCTTCAGTGCTGAGCACCGTACTCTCTTGAGTCGACTGGGCACAAGACGGGCGGAGTGGATCAGGCCATGTGAAAAGAGACACAAAACAGACGGGAGGGACCCTTTCCCGGATTGGATGCTGGCACAGTGCCAGCCAGCCATTATTGTTTCGTGAGACTCGACCAGAGCATACAAGTATGTATTCCCGAACAGAGTATCGGCAGAGCTGGTGGCGGTAAGGGCTACGCAAGGACCAATTTGACTCTGGAGTTCTGCAAGGGAGGCCGACGGCGGCGGTCCTCTTATCTTAGAGTCCCCAACCCCCCCATACAGGAGGCTCGGTAGCTCGAGAGGAAGTGAGTGGGATGGGGCCGATCGATGCCGGGTGGCGAAACAGTGCTTTGCTCCCGTTGGATACGGTACAGTATGTACGAGCGATGGGGAGCGCTCGGAGGAACCATGACGATCGAAAGACGTGCTCTGGCCCTCTGGCCACAGGAGCAGAGGAGCACCCGTCAATCCTCCGTACGGAGGTACATAGTGAGGTCGGGGGCCTCGGGGGCCGGGGCTGGCGGGCGCCCACCCGAGCAAGGGTTCGATCTCTTATCGATAGCAGAGATCACGCAAGACTCGGAGGTTTCGTGGGTGGGGATGGTGGAGGGTGGAGGGTGGAGGGTGGATGGGGAATAAACATCATATCATATCATATGGGAATAATGAGCGTTGGGCGCTGGGCGGTGGAGAGCGCACGGAGATGGGCGACGGAGGGGCAGCCAAACGAAACAAATCGAAACGCTCTCTGTCCCCAGCTACAGTACATGTATGAAGTACGTACTGTACAGAGGTAGTAACTCGTTCTGTGCTTTGTCCCGGCACATCTCGACCAAATAAGCCATTCCTCTGCATCAACCGCATTAACTGCAGCAACTGCATTAACCCTCGAGGCGGCACAGACAGACTCTTTCAAGGAAATCTAGACATCCATCCAGGTGCTGGGCATTATTGGCCATTCGTCTCGTAGGTTTCGGACGCGCAATAATCGTGCTCGATCTGTAACGTAAAAGGGACGTTGCTCGTACCAATGGCGGTCACATGACGCCGCTAACTCCCCTTCGGGAGAAAGTCTCAACCTTCGTACTCGCACTGCAAAGACCACGGAAGACCTAAATTCAACCGTTTCCCATCATGATGTTGCGTTGGAAGGCTAAAGGCTCCACTTAGTACTATACATGCGTTGTGGCCTATTATTATACACCTCACCTGCTTGCTATACGTAGCGTAGCCTCGACTGCCTTTACGGGTAATAGAAATCCGACTGGATTGCGATCTTTGCGATCTTGCGGAGGAGCAGCCCAGACACTGAAACGGTCGAACCCTACCATGGAGCACGAGCTAGATCCTTAGAGTCTTAGACCCTGACGCCGTTGCATTGGTGTAGTGCTGTTTCTGTTTCTGTCCGTCGTCCGCCCGCATACGCATATTTAGGCGTGATGCCAGACCGGCCACCAGCGAGCAAGCACACACATACAGAGCACACACATAGCGAGAAGCTCCCCTGCCATTGCCACTGCCTGCCAGCCATGGCTACGGGCGATAGCTGGAGGATGGATACTCCAATGCCCTATAGCAGGCAGAGCGATAGGGAGATGGTGGAGAGAGAAGGGCACTGGGCAGGGCGGGCCCTGGATGCCGAGAGTCACAAACGGCGCTCGCTCTGTTGCTGGGCGAGGTACATGTACACATCTGTTGTACACACCAGATCCCCCATCTCCCGTTATCCCCATATCTCCATCCGCCGTGCCGTGGCTCGTATACACCACCACCGCCGATATGCCCTTTGATGCCAAGGGGCAGATGCGCCCACTGGCCCAGAAGGGACGTAGGACGATCAGAGTTGCTTTCATCCGGCCTGCTGCCGCATGCCTGTGAACGGAGTCGGCGTGGCCCTCGAGAAGGAGAAGGGGGAGGACACTCTCTTGAAAGAGAAAGAGAAAAGGGGGCGGCTGGATTGGAGGAATAACCTTGCATTGCACCCGCATTCCCCGTCCTTTGGAGGACTCGGTGGTGAGTGGCTGGTGTGTGCCAACTAGGATGGATATTGCAAAGGAGATAGCGTGGAGGGGCACTGTATCAAGCAGCAGGTAGCAAGCAGTATTATCATATCAAATAACTAATGATCAACCTCGTACAGTAGTAATAGTAGAGTGTGGGCATGAGCATGAGATAGAAGAATACCTACTTGCAACCATAAACCCGCCGTAAAAGCAGCAGAATGCACGCAGAGAGAGAGGCATCAAGGCCCACTGCAGCAACTATGCTTCGTGCTAGCGCGCAACTCGGCCTAAGCGAAGGAGGGGCAGGGAGCAGGGACGCGAGCGCCGCGCAGGCGAAAGGCGAAAGGCAGGGCAGAGTCTTCATATTCCCCGCTACTGCACCTTTTCCCTTTCTCCTTCTCCCTCCCTCCTACATAACAACCAACCCCACATCACCTCACCTCGCAAATCCTCTTTTGCGATAGTTCCTCTCCCCCCCCAACAACACAACAACTTCAATACTATCACGTTCGTACTGTCCTTTCAGTCGTCCGACCGATCCATCTTTGAGTCTCACGATTCAACAACACTTCAGAAACTAATACCAACCCTTCGACCAGCGTCCCTCGCTCCCTCTCTCTTCACCTCTTCAAGAAGTTCGTCTGATCTCCTGCTTGCCTGCGCTGACCTGTCCTCCTCGATCTCATACTCATAACATAACCTTCATATCTCCATTCCTTGTCCGCGCTCCGCGGAGTCCTGTTCTGCCTCGATGTATCTTTCTTTGTGTGATCCGCATTCTGTCCGTTTTCGTCACTACCACCAAACGCGATGGCGCGGTCTTTTGTGTGTGTGAATCCGCGCGGAAATTGAGACTTTAAGCCAGGTTTTCGAGAAACATCATCCAACATGTCTAAGCTCTTCATTGGGTAAGTCCTCCTCTCCTCGCGCCAGCGATATGTTCACTCTTTCTGCCAAGCATAGTGCTGACCACAACCCACTTATAGCGGCCTCGCATGGCACACTGATGAGAATGCTCTCCGTCAGAAGTTTGAGGAGTTCGGAGCCGTAGAGGAGGCTGTGAGTTCCCCTCAATCACCAATTACCACCTGAACCACCATACTAATATGCGCATATAGGTCGTTGTCAAGGACCGTGACACTGGACGTAGCCGTGGCTTTGGATTCGTTCGTTACGGCCAAGAGGCTGATGCCGAGGCTGCCATCACTGCCATGAACAACATCGAGTGAGTCCAGACCTCTACCGTCATGCCAGGGAGAGTAATGCTTATCCTATCAAGGTTCGATGGTCGCACTATCCGTGTCGATAAGGCAAGCGAGCGCGGCGCAGGAGGCGGCGGCGGCGGCTTCAGCCGTGGTGGCGGCGGAGGCGGTGGTGGATACAACCGTGGTGGCGGCTATGGAGGTGGCCAGGGAGGCTATGGAGGTGGTGGCCGTGAGGGAGGCTACGGAGGTGGCCAGGGCGGCTATGGTGGAGGCCAGGGCGGCTATGGAGGCGGCCAGGGCGGTAAGTTCTTTGACTCCAGACCCGAGTTTCGTTAAATGCTGACCAGCAGATAAAGGATATCAAGGTGGCCAGGGTGGGTATGCCGACCAGCAACAAGGAGGCGGCCGCTGGTAAACGATGCTTGCTAGACCTAATCTTCTCTCCGACCTCGCGCATTCGTACGAATTGATGGCAAGAAAAGTTAGCTTGGGTGTTGCAGCGAAGGTTCATTGTGTGTAGACCTTGGACTATCATCCTTTGGGGTGGTACTTAAGGGTCAGCCTCGTGGTCTCTTGAATGCGGTTTGACCTTGCTTGCTCGGAGTTGGGGGGATAATACCTGTTGTTCGGTCACGTTCTAACAGTCGTCACACATGGTCTCTCAGATATCCTTTTTTCGACCAAGATCGCTTTGATCAAGGTCTCTCATAAAAGCCTGCATTTTCTGCAGGTATAGTCTAGTGGTTGGGAGATAATGACGCATTATGGCAAAATGAAATGGTTTCTCATAATCCCCGCTTCTCGGTCTCCTCTAATCCGTCTATGCTCTCCCGTTTCTCAAGCTCGCGTTCTATAGCCTCTTGATCTGGACTTGGAACTGGCTCAAGCCGCTTCTCAATCCCTCTAAGTCTGCTGGCCAGATCTGTAATATGCCCATCTCCGCTCTCCGGGCTCAAGCCATCCAAAGCTGCCTCTAAACATAAAAGATAATCCTTGTTTGGCCCACTCGGGCCAACGCTGGTATAGATGTGCTCCGCGAGTTTTTGCGGATCTTGAGGGCCCATAAACTGTTCATTATCAGGCGTGCCGATATATACTAGTGTCTTGATGACAGGTGATCCATCAGCAGGATGGAAATCCGTGTAGTGGACAGTATAACCTATAATAATCAGCAAATGTAAAAACGCTAAAACTTCTATAAAATATCGACGGTCACCATTAATTTCTCTAATGTCAAGGTAATCCCGGACTTCGGCGACTTTGTCTGGTTGAATGCGATACGCTGTACCCCAGACTCTGTCAGACCCGGAAGGATGGTGATCGTCTAGCGTCTCCCAAAAGGATCGCTCAATCAACGTCACAACCCTTCCTGGAGCTTCAGGGGTTCCACGATGATCTTGGCTTTGCGGATATCAGCACAAGTGGCACTTATGGATACCATTCTCCTGCTTACCTAGCCTAGTCAACTATAAGCTATCATACCAACTCCAATAGGGGAACTATCTACCAACCTGCCAGAATCGTCGCACGTAACCGGTGACATATCCAGGAACTCGCTGGTCTGTTTGCAAGTTTCAGATCAAGATGTCCAGGGAGAAACTTAAAATACCCACCAAAATGTGGTGGAGGCTTCCATATCAGGCTTCTACGAAACGGTATCAGTGTCCGTACTGGTTCCTCAATAGGTAGATACCTAACATACCCATAGCCAAAAAGCCAAAATTCTTCCTTTTCGGCTGTTAAGCCATCGGCCGACATTATTCGGATACTGGCGGGCTCGGAACCACAACCGAACAACAATGGTTCCAAATAGCAATACGGTTGCTTTATGGATTGGGGTCAACGTCCTTCAAATGTTTTAATTCGGAGATATGCTCTCAGTTATCGGCAGCAGGTGTCATAGGTACACAGCGGTCTGAGAGATTCCAAGGTGTCGTGATGGTGTTAGAGACTCAAAAATGTGTGTAGGAACGAGTAGAAGATTAAGTGTTGTCACGATGTAAGCTGGCAAGGACCGCCAGCGGACCTGGCTAAGTGCCTGACTAATTCTCGGGATTTTCCCTGCTCCGGAGCCACGGAGTAAACTGGGTTGAGCATCGGATCCGGATAACACTGGGTGAGCTACCTAATAAACCATAGTACCAATGTACCTTATTTAAAGACACAGTTCTTTACAAAAGAACTGATTTAAATTCCTAGAGCTTGAACAACTGGTAACAGTAACGGACATAAGCCTCATATCCATCCTTATGCATTTCCTTAGCTGTCTGCCCTGCCATGGTCCGTGTTCCGTGGCGCAGGTACAGTACTCGTACCCAGCCGCATGCTGGAGCCAAGGCTGTGCGCACCTTTATGAAGCATTCAACAACCCCACTTACTTCCTACACATTCCCATACCATAGTCGTTATTTTGTTTCCTCCACCTTTACATTCAAAAGCTTGATAGAAAATCGTTCGTCATGGCGTATAATCGAACGGTTAACCCGGACTCCCTACCTGCGTAAGCAAACCGTCCCCGAGATTGACGTGTTCCCCGCGATGAGGCTGACTTGGCTATTCACAGATTCGCAGAACCAGAGAGGGTACTGATTCACTCTATGATACTTGCCTTGATATATAAACCGGACTGACGTTGTTTTGCAGAAGGGAGGCAACAAACCTCCACCGCAGCAGCAACAACAACCGCAGCAAGCACAGCACCAGCAGCAATACTACAACAAGCCCACGCCTGCTATTCCCCGACCCGATCCCAGACAACAACAGCAACATCAACAGCAGCAATATCAATCAAGCGGACCTAGGCTATCTCCCCAAATGCAGCCGCCTGCAAACTACGGTTATGGCACATCTCCGCCCGGCCCCGGTCGTGGATATGCCTCTCCTCCTCTTGGAGGGGGCCACGGATCGCGCCCTCCACCGCATTCAAGAACCCCTCCCATGTCCAGACCCCCTCCATCTCCTGCTCCACCAAACGGCGCTGATCCCGCACTATGGCCTCTATTCAAGGCCGTCGATAAAGATGGTACGAAACTCTTATAGCCCCTCCCGCATTTATATGCCTCTGACATATTCTCTAGGCACCGGACAACTCACCGAACATGAACTGCGGTCCGCCCTTGTAAACGGGGACTGGACATCCTTCGATCCCTACACGGTCAAGATGATGATCCGCATGTTCGATACCGATCGCTCTGGTAGCATAGGCTTCGAAGAATTCTGTGGATTGTGGGGATTCCTAGCAGCGGTATGATTCTCTCCCAGAAATATAATTCAAGAGAGAGAGAGAGAGGTTCGATTGCTAATGATCATTTTAGTGGCGCTCGCTATTCGACCGATTCGACACTGATAGAAGCGGAAACATCAGCGTCGACGAATACACCAATGCACTAGTAGCATTCGGATATCGACTCAGCCCGCAGTTCGTCGAGACGTTATTCAGGACATATGATAAGCGGAGCGACGGGGCGATTGGCTTCGATCTATTCGTTCAGAGCTGCATCAGCCTGAAGCGCATGACTGACGTGTTTAAGAAATATGATGATGATCGAGATGGCTACATAACTCTGTCCTTGTAAGTTTTCGATTTGCTCCTACCTAGCCGCTTGCTTTACTACCGAGCGTCCGCTAATGTGTAACAGTGAGGACTTTTTGACGGAAATCATTCGGCAGAAATAGGGGTGTGGAGGAAATGTTAACTTCGGAGTTACGTTGCCCGTTGCATTCTTAAAAGTTGCTTCTCGTTACGCAGATCTACTGGAATTCATAGATAAAGATGATACCCATATTTCTTCCCATCCTGGCTATTGATTTTGCTTGATCTTCGGCTTTCAACACTCATATGACTTTGAATTCTCCCAACTTGGAACATGGTTTTAGGACCTCTCTAGTCATCGAGTTTAGGGGCTCAGATAGGGTAGGTTGAAGTCGGGCGATTGAACCCCTAGAGTCCTGTAGAACGCCTGCTTAAAATATTCATAACTCAAGAAGTGTAATAATTGCGTGAATTGTAGAAGACATTGCGTAGCCAAACCAGCGACGACAGAAATATGTCTTGCTATGTCTTGGTTCAAGTAAATTAAGAGAATCATTGAGCAACTCGTTGGCGTAGTCGTATATGCTAAAAGATATGTTCACCTTTGTAGGTCCTAACATGGCGAGTGTTAGAGTAAACCAAGGCAGGGGATATAATAGGAAGCAAGCATGTAGTTTGCAGTGGTTTGGTAGCTTTAAATGGGAATTCGAAAGGTTGGTCAAGCTCCCTCAATAGCGCATATCTTTGACATCATATAGGGCATTCACCAATATCAGACTGGAATAATAAAGATCATGGTAAATTTTTTATCTAAAAAGGTGTCTTTTCGTTCGACTAAATGGCCACCGAGGGCGTCTCCAACATTCAATGTTCCCTATCCAATGCCCCCATATGTCCAACCCGACCCACCCAGTACCAAAATTCAAAACATGACGAACACCGATATCCACCCAGTCTCCCCAAAACGCCTCTATATTAAATAAGAACAAAACCACTCCATTTCGAAGAATACTCTTAACTCCATCTCGGATTATCTTATGTCCAATTGGAACGGTTTGAAACGTCCTCCTATTGTAGCGCACCTGGGACACTTCCTGCGGGCGCCCTGCTCCGCGATTAGGACATCGACACAGGCCTGGCAAATGCCACATATGCATTCTGTACATGCATATGATTCTCTAAGTAGCGAGACTCCTTGGCATGCCGCACAGTAAATCTGTATACTCTGGGATGAATAGCCGGGTGACGAGTCGGAGAGACCAAGACCACGAGACTCTATATTGAAAATATCTCCGCTCTCCGCGCTTTCGACGGATGGAAATGGCTCTGGAGCTTCTGGGAGATTTGATGGTGGAGTAAGAGCTTGCTGGAGGGGCGAAGCCTGATATCCTTGAAAGTGGGAGGCGGAGAACGGTGGCAAGGAATTCCTATTGACTGAAATAGGAGATGGGGGGACCTAGAAGGTAAGTATGAGTGTAAGAAATATGATGTATAGCAGCTTACGGGTGTTCTGTCCTCGTCAACATCTTCGGTAGCTGATGTGGCGGCATCGATCAGATCTTCCCATCGTTTCCCATAAGTGGCGGATAGTCCGCTAGAAGGCTCGGCCGAGTATGCCTTTCTATCATAGCTCATACGTCTCAAATGGGCGTTTTCGCCTCGGGATTTCTGTCGCTTGTGTTGCGGTTCTCTAGCACGTTTGGATACTGACTGTTTTCGTGGGCGGTTTGGTGTGGATCTTTGGATGGGGGGTAGAGTGGATGATCGACCAGGAGGTGACGCCGATAAAATGGAAGGTAAAAGCTCTCTCCGCCGGTGCATGTTTAGATGAGAGTTAGGTTCACTCGTAGGCTCGATGTTATTCCCATATATTGGCGGCAGCTCTATGGAAGATCGCATAGCATGTTTGTGGGCCTCGGAATCCGACATCCAGTCCTGTCAAATGGTTAATAAATGCCTCGAAAATCGATGCTCTCCGCCATCGAAAGTACGAACCCCTTCTGAATCCCAATCCCTCTCTAATTTATGATTGTGTAATTGTGCGAGGGCTGCAGCCGCGCTAGCGGCTGGCAGCATCAGACCAGACTGGAGATCGTCCAGATTCCTGGTAGGAGTGTTGCGGGAGGAATCGTCGCCATAATGACTGTTTCGGTCGTTATTATTATATGCTATAGAGTGTTAGTAGTGGTACCAAGCTTTGCGAAGCGGAAGGAATCTCGACCGTGGAGCTCTGGATTGGAGTTTGTCGATGGAGGCGGTTTGTGTGGCGGGGTATTGATCATAAGCTGGAAGCTCTCCTCCGTCGCGGGCAGCTTTGAGATATACTGCTCTGGATGAGCTCTTCGGATATGCTCTTGCATAGACCTGTATCGCTTTTCCTGCGCATGCAAATTCCATGTTACCATGAGTGCACGGGATAAAACAGCAAAGCATGAACTTCAATTTCAATGGGGGCAAAGCAGACGCAGCAGAGCAGAGCAGAAACACTCACGCCGAGGCAACGCTTGCGACAGCTGGAGCCATCCTGATTCCGCAAGGGACAAACAACCTCATTGCTTGCGTCCGAGACGGAGAAGGACGATGTCAACGAAGATCGAGGCGGCATCATCAGAGTCGACCCCACCATACCCGGGGAGTTGGGGTGGGAATCGTAATCGTAATCGCGAGGGCGATTGCACGCACGGAAGCTCGAGCGACTCTCAATTGACGGCGATAGCGGGAGCGATCGCAGAGACTCGCATGATAAACGGCGGGCGGGCGAGAGGGTTGTGAAGCTCTACAGAGGACCAACCCGATCAGAAGGTAGCTTGGATAGTTGTCGGTCGCAGGGCGTGGCAGCTTCGGTGCAAAGCTGTTGTTCCCTCTGGCTGTTGTGGGTTCACACACTTGGTGTTTGACGAATGTGTGGTCTGTGGCCGAGTTACTGGATGGTAGGGGAGATGGGGGAGTGTTTTGGGGGAGATCAGGTTCAAGTTCAGGTTCAGGTTCAGGTTCAGGTTCAGGTTCAGGTTGGGGGGCAGCCAGCGGGGGGAGCAGCAGCGTGAGGGGCAAAGAGGGGAGCTCGCTAAGCTTCACCCAGGAGGAGCTTCAAGCTGCGTTCAGCGTTCAGCGCTCAGTAGTGCAGTGCAGTGCTCGAGTAGTGCAGTGTTCAGTGGTGACTTCAGTGGTGAGAGCGCGAGAGCTGTCCAGCGTCCAGCGTCCACTGGAGGTACTCGACTCGAGGACAAAACACCATACAACACCACACAATGCCACAACCACAGCCTCTTGAAGAGCGCACCGTGTGCGACCACAGAAGGGCACTGCTGCGGCGGGGATCACATCACCAACACCACTGCTGGCTGCTCAACTCAAGCACCAAAACATTACGTTCTTGGAGATCCCCCCACATGCATTGAGACGGCCTTGATCAGACCAGTGCCCAACTGCGCCCAATGACCACCGCCGAAGACCTGAACCTGGACCAATTGTCGCCGTGCAAAGCTTCGCTCCGAGCCCACGGTTGCAATAACCTGAATGAGCTTCCTACTGTGGGAGATCCGTCGCCTTGCTCAGAACAGAAGCTTGGTTTGCTCCGGAACGTGAATAGCCTTCGGACGAGACTGCCGATTATCCCCACTCTCCGATTCAGACTCTGGCTCTCAGCCAAAAGGAGCCAGCCAGCCAACTGCAGGCAAAGCATCCGACTCGTGGCTATTCACACGAAGGCCTTGACCTGGAAAATACTGCTGAAGCTACGTCACATGACGCTCCCGCTCATCCGCTCTCCGTTGACACACACAGGTACCCAGTACCAGGAACAAAAAGAAATTCCAAGCCTTTCGGGTGCTTTGGGGGATTCATGTTGTTAGGTACTTATTGCTGTCGACCGACCAGATAGTGCCAGCTGCTTGTCGGTGGTGGGCCTGCGCGGAATCTTGGTAGTGATATCCATCATCATGCTTGATTAGGAGCAGTCGCAGAAAATACCAGCTGTAAATGAATGGTGCTTCGTGGATGTCCTAGGCAGGTAAAGACGAGATATCGACTGGGCATCGTAGGGAGCGTTTCGAGTGTTGCAATACATTTGTTAACAAAACAACCCACGTAGATTGATCCATTGGAAGACAGTGGGAGGGGGATGTCGCTGCTGCAATGAAGAGATAAGTCGTTCTTCGATGGGAATCAAATATCATAGGTAAGGAAAAAAGCAAATGGCATGAAGAAAGAAGCAAACGGAAAGGGGGTGCAGAGAGAATTTCGAGGCCCTGGGTCGGATCGCGATTCTTCTTATCACGTGATACTCATTCCATCCCCAGGTCCCATTCACAGCTCTTGCATAGATCTTACAAGGATTTCTGTGGCAATTCTTTGTTGGTTAAGTGCTGGTAGTGTCAGGTTTCTCAGCTTGGAAGGCCTCTTGCTTATCAAAAGGAAGCCTATGCGGTGCCGTCCCTACAGAGACCACACCTCTTTCCAGGCAACACATCACCAACCCTTTACCTGATTCTCCTAACAAGTACAATTTTCCTAATTTGAATCTGCGACTACAATATCAATCAATCAATATATGGAGTACAGTAGATAGAAGCTAAACTCAAGAAAAATCTGTGGCTGGACCTGGCTTCAGGGCATCCTTATCAGAGGAGTAAGGAGTTTGTGGCTGGGTCGCTAAGTCCTGCTCCTTTTCCAACCAGTGATACTTTAAGGTCAAACGTCACTCGTCAACTCTTCCCCAGTCAAATCGGAGAAACTGTGATCGCCGGCCGATCATCTCTTTGGGCGCTATTGTGGCTGAACCCCAGTTTCGCCAGAAACCAGACCTGTCAACCACGCAATCGTTCACTAGTGGCTGGGAAAGAACAAAACACACTTCGACAACCCGATTTGGACTGCCTGAGAATGTGGGTTCGTAACTCGTAACTCCAGACGAGATGGTTTTATTCACAGTATGGAGTATTTAACATGTACCTTCATTAAGAGAATAATTATCAAGGGAAATTGGAGCACAGTCAGCAGTACAAAACCTCAACCCACACCTACTTGGGGTCTGCATCACTGAACTATCACGATACAACATCACCGGTTCTCTCGCCTGGGGTCGCCCTTTCGGAATTCTCCCACGCGGTTCAGCTAGTCGGGCCTCCTTCCCTCTACATGCCTGGACTGGTGTTACTTTGGTCACCCCGGCACACGTAGCACCATACATACAGGTGCAGGTACAAATTCGTACCCCCTCCCTCTCGTTTGTCTTGTTTTTCATCTCTTTGTCTCTCAAGCATGTCCTTACAGAGTACAAAACATTGTCAAGCCCAGTCTCAAGTCCAAGTTCAACAAGACCCTCCGAGTGCCAGGTGTCGACTTGTCAATGTCTAAAGCCACCTTACATTCTTCACTAAATCCATCACGTTCCGAGGCTTTCATGATCTAGTCAATCAACGTTCGATACGATATGTCCTTAACGGTTAAGCATCTGAATTCAGATGCCTCATTCCTCCTCTCCTTCCAACCTATCTCCAGTTTACCGCCTTCCCCAGGGGAATCAACCAAGATCTTCACAATTCTCCTCGATCCTTGGATCTCTGGACCCTCGACAATATGGCATTCCAAGTTTTCGATCTCGCGGCAAAAAGCAAGTCCATGTATCTCATCTCTGGCCGAGATTCCCGAGCCAGATCTCGCGATTATAAGCCAGTCCAAGAGTGATCACTGTCACAAGGAAACTCTCACACAACTACCCCGAAGTGGTGGGAAGACCATCATCCTTGCAGAACCAGCCGCCGCCAAGATTATCAGAAGATGGAAGCACTTCGACGACGACAAAGTAGTCACACTCCCAAAATGGGAAGACCCTCGACTTCGGAGACCATCCACTATCCACAGAATACCCATCGAACGTCTCAGTCCGAATGGGAAAATGGGCGAGGTTACAATCGCCTATCTGCCACAAAAGGGGGATCTCACAGGACTGCATAGCGCAATAGGCATTACATACCGACCGCCAACTTTGAGCCTCGATACACTTCCCTTAACGCCTCCTGATTCCCCAGGCTCCTGCCAGTCAATATTCCCAAGCCCTGCTACTGAGCGAGCATTGTCTGTCATCTACTCCCCACACGGCTGCAGCTACAAAACCCTTTCGCCCTATATCACATCCCACCTCATCTCAGAAGCCGCATTACCGCTCACAGCGCTATTGCACTGCTTCGACCGAGTCACCAACTCCTGGTACCTAGGAGGCAACATCTGCAGCGGTTTCCCCGGAGGGCTGGAAATCGCGCAGAATCTTTGTGCAAGAGCGTGGATTAGTGCGCATGACGGCGATAAGGAGACGAGAGGGGTAGCTACGACCAATATTGTTATCCAGAAGTATGACAAGGAGCATGTGGAGAGCGTTGTCAGCCCAAAAAGTGAGAAGTTCCCAAACCGGAGGATGGGGACGGAAGCAGTGGTTTTGGAGATTGGAGAAGAGAAGTATTTGAGTCATGCTATGGCTTTTTGAAAGAGGACTAGGAATGTTATGATGAAGGGATGTGATATGAATGTTATGATGGACTGTGTGTTTACAAGCATGATTAGGATGCAGATATCTTCCTGTACTACCTTGGGATTGGGGGAATTGGAATTGGGGAACAGGCTGGAATTGTAATGATATTAGCATACTTAGACGTTAGTTAATGAGCCGATACCCAAACCAGGCGAGGGCTTGGAATATAAATAACCATATCTGTAGACAAGTTTCAAGTCCTATGCTTCAAATCTTTATCATTAATTATAAGTTTATGGCCATAATCACGGCTACTTCTTCGCGTTCTTCAACATAGTCTCCCGCATAGCCGCCCGCGCACTCCTACTACCCCCCAATTTCGGGCCCTTCATGAGCTCCTCTTCCTTCTTCCCAGCAACAGTCCTACTAGGCGGCGGAGCAGGATTCGCTTTCTTCCGCTGTCTCGCCGACACCGCGTCCATGAATTCCCTCCGGAACGCCTCCGCTATCCTATCATCTGCAGCTTGGTCGTTATCCCCGGGGTTAGGCGGTTCTTCTTGCGGTTCGTCGTATATCTCTACTGCGAGGAAATCAGTCTCATGGGTCTATTTTCAGAAGTAGGTGGCGCGGAGGTAACTTACGTCTATTCTCTCTCAGGACTTCCTCAACCAGTTTGTCCCGCTTGATATCATCGCTACCTCTCCGTTTACGTCCCCTCCAGGGCTTTCCATCCCTCCCTAATCGGACTTTAACCGGCTTGCCACTCCGCGTATTCTCTTCTTCAATCTCCTCCCCGTTTAGACGTCTAGTAGCTTGAGTTGTGCGTTCTACATTTCTATGACGGGCTTCATCTCCCAGGTCAATCTCCATCAGTTTCCCCTGCGCAGCAGGTTGTCGGTGGACTTCCGATACTTTCGCAGAGCCATCAGATACGTTGAATTCGGGCTTGGCTGGACTGTCCGCGGATGGCAATGTTGCATGGGAGGATTTCTCCGTAAGTTGCAGGCCCTCCATCTGTCGTTTAGCCAATTGAGAATCTATGTAGGCCATCCTTCCTTCGTCAGTCACTGTCCACTCCTTATGCAGTTCAAATCCCACTGTGTAACCCCCTCCCTCCTAGCAGAAATTGAAAAATGGTGATGCACTCACATATGCCTATCCACATCCCCCACCGTCCCCGTCTGCGGCGCAAATCTCCTCGGAACGCCCTTAGCCACGCTGGATTCGCCCTCGACATCCTCCTTCTCCGCATCCCCATCCTCACGGCTAACTACCATCTCCCGACCATACTCCTTCGTAGCTCGATTCGCGCTCTCGGCTGTGAATTCCACGCCTCTTCCAAACCGTCCCTTACGCTGCTTGCGCAGCCGCAGGATCTCAGACATAGGCACGGCAATTCCCTCTGCCTCTACTACATCCCCCATATCATTCCCGCTGGTGGCGCTGGTAGTAACGATGAGCTCGTCGAGGCTTTGAGGTGCTGCGCCTGCGGCAGGAGGAGGAGATACAGAGGGAATTTCGACGTCGTCGTCATCGTGGGCGCGAGAGCGGTATATTTTGCGCTTTTTGCTGGGGCGGAAAAGAATTGTGGGTTCAGTGCTGGAAGGGATCTCAGACGCCATATTTTTATGTGTAGAGCGGCTTCTTGTGGTTGCGAGATGGAAGTGCTTTTGGGCTGTGAGAGTCGCGGCCGTGAGATAAGAGGCGTCAGAATATGGTTATTAGTGGCCAACTGGTGTCATTCTATCATGTTCTTAATGTGCTAGGTAAGTCGATGTGGCGAGTTTGTTTATAACCACACCACCTTTATTCGTCGATGCACGCACGCCCCACTCCGACTTGAAGTAATATATATTTTCGAAGTAGTAGACCTTAAAAGGTAGCTGATGTCAGTTAAATAGTATTATTAGATAGTAGGGCTATACATCTGCGAGTACGGATATCGGGCTGAGAATTGTATATTAAGTCTCCGAACTATTCATATGCCACTCTAATAGGAGCAAATCGAATATTAAATTACATGTAACAATCACAATCACAAGCCTCCGTGAATACAGGAACCACGAGTAGCAAGTGTAAAATTGCCCATTGTATGTGTGATATATTGTATTGTGTTGATATTATGCAGCGTGGGTCTATTTAAGTACACCCTGCACAGCATTGGCAACAGGTCCCTTGCTGGCATCATTTGTTTCTTGAAAACTCTGCTTAGAAATCCTCTCCTGTCCGTCATTAAACATCTTTGATTTCATGTTCTGTCCTGCTCCTAGTGATGAGGAGTAATGTAGATATGAAACTAAATTACCTACCGTTGGTCAATGGCTCGAAGAGGCAGAAACATCTGGCCATCCGAGATACAGATCGTAGAAAGCAATCTCCTGTGATCCTATGGACATCATTCCATATAAGGAATGTTTGGTATGACCTAGATGTCTAGATATAGCCCTTACCGCAAAGGATAGACTGTCAAATGGATTCCCAGATGCGCCTTGTCCTCTGGAGCCACTGCCGTAAACATCAATGAATAAACAGCCCAGCAGGAGGGATCTTAGCCGGTGTGCCGTCCCAGAACCCAGCCTGAGGTTTCATCAATGTTCATTGTCCAGACACCAAAGCCCTAAAGTATCAGAAGCGGAATCCTGGCACCGTTTCGAATAACGACATCTCTCAGCCATTCTCGATACTCCCAGCACTACCAACAGCATCAAACCGAATCCGCCTCGAAGATTCCTAGTTAACACGAAGATTAGCGTCCAGTAACTTCAATCATTAACACATTGTACCCCACTCCCACAGCGCAGCAGCAACAAAACATAAACAGAAACAAAAGCTTGTTTGTTTTGTTTTTTTCTTCAGAAACCCAGATTATAAGCATCGCTAACACCCACGACGCGCCTGCTGCATATGGCGATGCCAACACAGACACGCCATATCTTGTGGATGTCGGCCTTTTCCGGCTCTTCCTAAAGATTTGTATAAGGGTTTTTGGGATCTCATCATGTTGTTATGCGGTGGCCGCAGATTTGTTTTTGTGCTGCCTTGCAAGATAGTGAAGGGGGGAGAGGAAAAGGATATTGAGCTTACTTGAGATTACTGTCTACATGATGGTAGGGGATTGTGGTGTTTGGAGTGATGTTTGCGGAGAGCTGTCTTGTAGCCTTGGGAGTTGAACCTAGAAAATAGAAAAGTTGGACGTTTTAGCTCCTCCGCAACAAGCGAGGTTCCTAGTGGCACGTGATCAATTCTCCGGAAACCCCAGTGGGCACGTGGAAAGATCTCCAAGTGGACGGGCATCGGACACAGAACGTTTGAACTTTACTAAAGTAATATCTTTGTCGATAGTAACTGCTAGTAGTATATTATAGCGGTAATTAATCTCAAGTAAGTATACTCGACTAATGGTGACATAACGCTTACTATATCAGCTAATAAGTTATTTACTTAATAATCTTAATAGCGAAGATCTGGAAGCTTATAGTAGCGTATATACAGACTTCGTAGAAGCGTTTGAAATAGAAATGCAGTCTCTTGGGAAAAGAGACACTCTCTCTATATATATAATACAGAAGGGCTAAGAAATTAGAATGAGAGCGTATTAGTCCCTGTCTACGTTGGACTATCCGGATAGTTTATATAATCTATTTGACTTATATTTAGCTGAGATTTACTAAATATGAAGAGTCTAGAAGCGACTTCCATCGAATTGTGTCAGTATACTAGAGTACTAATATAACCGGATTCATTGTTACAAAGCTTAAAGAGAAGGAGCAATATTCTAGCCAGTATTGCCAAATGTTTAGAGCGAAGTCGATAAGGTTACGAAAGTAGCTGGATGATTCTGAGCAACAATAAAACTGTCTTTGGTCGGGCACTTAACTAGTAAGAAAACCAATAGGACTACCTTAGAAGCCCCTCCCTAATCAGCTCTCGTCGGTCCTCTATCATTTTTATAATCGCCGTATTGTCCCTACGGTAAGCCTCTGTCAATGCATCCTTTTGACGCTTCCTTTGCGTCAATATTGTAGAGGAACGCCGGTGAACCATGCCGTCTGCCTCAAGCGAAGCGCCCGCATCGAGCAGCATCTTGACGATTGGCGCATTGCCAGCAATCACAGCTAGCTGTAGACACGAGCGTGGAGCAGTGTCTGACTCGTTTACATCGGCGCCATAGTCCAAGAGAATCTGAGCACAAATGGTGGCCCCGCGTCTACAGCTCCAGACGAGGGCACCATCGATGATGGACAGGAACTCTTGCGGCGTTGAATTTTCCCTGCAGTGTTCCAGTAGAACTTTGAGAGTTGTGGGCTGGTTGCCTTGCGCTGCAAAGTAAACGGCAGTTTTCTCCTCGAGCTGCGTCTCAGAGCAATAGTACGGCGGCCGTATGTAGAGACGGGCAGTGTTTTCCTGGCCCATGTACGCGGCCGCACCGAGAGGGCTCTTGGAGCGACTGAAGTTCGGGCCTGCAACGAAAGTGGGCTCGTAGGGCAAAGCGCCTTCATCCAGGAAGAACTGCAAGATGTCGGCATGCCCTTGGGCGGCCGCAGCCCATGATGGTCTTCCGAAGAACGATGGTGGATCCGATCCCTTGTTGAGCGCCTCTACCAGAGTCTTGTCACCAATCCATGCAGCTATAGCAAGGCAGTTGGCCCAAGTGCAACCCTCAAGTTGGGCTCTGTCATCCTTTTCTTCTCTCTTCATTACCCTGAACACGCCACAGCCTGCGTTCACAGCCAAGCATAAGCAAGCGCCGCGCTCTATCAGCTCAACTCGCGCAGCGTCATTCTCCAAACTAGTATGCTGCGCAAGCATCTGGCTGGTCTCGCGAATAGTAGTAATCCAAGGATGGGTGACAGATCCATCAGTACAAACCCGGTGGTAGAGGTATCGTGCAATCACATTGTGGTGGTAGGCGATCCTGAACAGGCCCAGAGAATATATCGCAGCGTCCTCAATGACTCTTGTTGTGATTACAGCGTCGAAGATTTCGTTTGCAAACGTGCCTATTGGTAATTAGCCAAGGTGAGAGGTGTATTAATGATGAAGGACATACGGCATGTAAGGCGGGTTTTCATTGACTTCAACCTGAGCTCTTGTACTGTGAACTTAATGACAATCTTCAAGATGTCCAGAGGGAGTTCCAAGAGCTGCATGGTGTTGTAGGTGTGTCAAAGGTCTTTGCGAAAGGTTGTGGGTGTTTAAGAGACAGTAGTAGATAACCTACTACGAAGTAATTAAGGTGAGGCGTTGGCCTACGTCCGACCTCCCCAACACCTGCACGACCCAAACAGGTGCAGATTTACATGCTCCTAGATCGGTACTCTATCTCTCAATAATATAGCAACGGCTCAATAAAAAGACTTAAAACTAGGCGATATAGTAAATATTAGTAAGAGTTTAAACTAATATTAATATAAAAGTAAGTTATAGATACTGTCAAAACCTGTAGTAGTCCGTCACATGACGGGCCATCGCAATCAGAAATTGTGCTGCCTGAGAAATCAGGCCTCGAAAGCACTCCCGAAGCCAGTCTATATAGGCTCACTCCACCACCTGTAATTAGCTCTCCATCATCCTATTTCTTTACTATTCCACCTCATTCCCACGATCTGTATGATCCCTGACTACTTCCGAATTACCCTACTTTGATAGATAGTATAGCTACCAGTTTTAAAGTAAATTATTTATAATTTTATAATTGTCGATATTTTAGAGGCACTGATAAAGAGGTAGAAAGAGTTGATTGATCTAGCAATAGAGGTGGAGGAGAATCCTTGTTATATATAGGTAAAAGTGGGCCATATGTGCCAATATTAGTGCCAAGGTGCTAAGTAGCACTTTCAGCTGATCAGGGGGCTCTTATATTCTAACAATAATATAAAAAGAAAGCTACGGTACTCTTCCGCAGCCAGACGCTGGCTTAAAGTGGCACATCTGAGCTATCATGGGTGCGAAGCTACTTTGGCTAGTTATCTTACTAGAGTACAGTTACCCGCTCTTTTCTGTACTTACAAGCTTAGTCTTACTGTAGATAGTAGTTGTAGATACTCGTGGTACTGCATTTCTACCAGGGTGATAGATACAAGCTATTAATTGATCACCGATTGTATTTATTTATATATACAGAAATTTTCTGCTTCACAAAAGCTCCTAGTTGATAAATAAGTCACTCTCTGCCCCCAAAATTATATCTTAAAGCACGAAAACGAGCGTTAAAGAGACCAAAGCAAAATAAGCCATGAAAGGGGTGTTGATTCCAGCGGATGAGCCTTGTGGTTTCGTGTCGTCAGTAGTCTGGTTCGCCTTGCTCTCAACCAACTTGAGGCAAGTCAGCCCAGCTTTTGTATCATCTCCTTTCCTAAAGATGGTCATCACAGGCGTGATAGCGTAGAGAACTGGAGCTAGCTGCTCCAATTCGCGGCTCGAGGATTGTTGCTGCTGGCTGGTGACGAGAGATAAATCGTAATTTTGACCCGTAGTCGGTCGGCATTGACTTTGGTCCGTCTTCTCGAGAGGCTTGTCGCCGGTCAGAGCTATAGACTGTTAGTTTTGTAGAAGATGGAGGTAACACGCGAATTACTTGCATCGAGCGACCATCGTGCCCCACGACCCTTTGACTCCTTTACAGGTTGAAGGCGGCTTGTCAACCAGGGACTCGCGCATTTCGTTACAAAAGTCTGAGTCCTTGGCAGGCTCACCAGCCTTAACAGCTAACTGCGCCTGGGTAATCAAGTCCGAGACGCAATCCTTATTGAGAACATCAGAACAAGTGAAGCTGTCCACTTTGTCCTCGGGTACCGTGAGATTTGCAGCTATGCCTTCGAAGAAGAGGGCGCAACCAGTCGTACCATTCAGCTGCAGAGATGGTGGGGTGCCGAGATAGAAATTCCGGTCAAAGGTTATCTGCGGGCCGTTACCTGCACTCGGCCTCTCTTGGAGGCCAAGAGTCCAGGTGAATGGCCGTGTATCGGCAATGGTGGTTACGTTTGCAATGCCAACGGCTTTCAAAGTCGCATTCCCAACCTTGCATTGAGCAATACGGTACTCGTCCACAGGACATCCAACAGCGTCACAGCCCAGAAGCTCCGACATGGTAGCATAGCTGAACAACAAGGGCAACAAGACGATTGGGCTAGAGGTGCTTGCGGTCGGGAAGCGCATTGTCGTTGTTGCAACTTTCTTGCAACTAGTAAAAGCGAGCTTGTAGTTGATGAATATGAAAAGGAAATGCGAAAAGTGAATGTGGAAAGTGAAGGAGTGGGAGAGAGATGAGCAGGTTTTTCACCTACACTTACGACCTACACACTCCGACTGCGGTTGCCTGCTGTGTACTGTTGGTTTTCGCCCCAAGGGCCAATTTGAGGGGTCCCACAACTGCCCTGTGATGATATCGCGCTATGCAAAAAGAATCCTGAATCCCAATGTTGGATGGCTGAGTTAAGCGCGGTAACACAAAATTTATTCAGCAAATATCCGAGGTACGAGTACCAACCGCACCGGGGAACTTTTCAAAACACCCGATATGTCGCTTATATTAAGGGGTATATACGGTATTTTATAAATAACTTTGTATAATATAGGTTTATTAAAGGTTTTCTATATGCTAAATATAATATATAGCTAGGACTCTATATATTTTTTAAAAACTAGCTTAATAGCTGAAGCTAATGTTTTTAACAAGTTATATCTTAGATTCCTAATAACCTTACTAGCTTTAAAGCTAGTTGAGTTTTTAAAACAAAGCCTCTCAATAAGTATATATTTAATATTATATAAACCTTTGTCAAGAATCAGACATGTGACTGTCATATGACCTTGGCGTTAGCGTCGGCAGAACTATTAGCCGAGCGCACACACTTAATTAATCCAATCAGGGCTGGAGAGCTTACCTCTCCATCCGTTCCATCCACCAAGAATACTATCGATTACTTTAGCTATTCCATCCACTACGACCAATTGAGATCACCTAACTTCCGTATTAACCCTATATCCTTGATAACCTTTTTAAAAAGTTATTTATAAGAAATTTCATTCTCACTGCCCCAACGCTTTGTTGGTTCTCACCCAGCTTTACCCGCACGGACCGCACGGTGCAGTCGGGGCGGTCCGGACATAGCTTCAAGCCCCAACCTTATTGTTACATCCTCGTTGTCTAAGGAGACTCTTCAGGCCCAAGTCGAACGCCCTACCCCGTACAGCACTGCCCCAAGTTAATAAAAAAGTAGTAGCATGCATAGAAGGAGATTGTGGTTTCCAAAGTTGGGTCGTGTTGGTGTATGGATCCTGCTGCAACAGAATCCGTAGGAATACGACCGTAAGTGTGTGGCAGTGTGTCGATGATTTCTCAGTTAACTCAATCAATGCCAACGGGCGAACTTTACGGGGGCGGATTTTCATAGAGACATAAATGAGGGTACCCAACAAGTCAGCTTCCCTCTACAACTGCTCTTTGATTCCATTTGTACAGCATTCGCTAAGCTCAATTCCATAATTCATTTCGTGGTCATCTTCACGGTCATTCCTGAGAGCTCTTCCCAATCTTTTAACACATTCTTGACAAATGGCCGCTGCCGCTTTTAACGTCATTGGCTTAATTTTCGGTGTTGTCTCTATGGCTCCGATGCTCAAATCAATGCTGCCTGATAGATCCGATAGCGAGACAACCATCCGGATCGGCGTTGGCACCAGCATCAGAGGGAGCGATGCTACTAGCGGCAACACACCTGGCATTCGCATCTTTGATGTCATGGGCCGCGACATTGGCGAAGCCCGTGGCAGCAAGAAAGTCATTAGCGACGGTGGTTTCAAAGACATTAAAGTTTCTGCCAGCTCTAAGGAGCAAGGGCGCCAGGCACAGTACATCTCAGTTTCCAAGGGTGGAAACGACGCACTCTGCATCTCCTATATCTCCGTAACGTGGCCAGATGGCCAACAGAAGGCCTGGTATGGAGACGTGGGATACCAGTGTGGCGGTTATTGGTATAATTCCCAGACGATCATTGGTGACGACAACTACCAACCAAAATGTGTGTGGATTGACGGCGACGATTCAAACGGCATCACCACTCAGGGCATGGGCATCCATATTACCGACTTTACTGCGACCAAGGAGCGTGCCAAGGCGTATGCTGACGATCCGGATACCATGTGCAAGAGCAAGCCGCGCTTCAAACTTTACGACGACCTGAAAAGCGACTATTTCCTCCCCTATTTCAACCCTCCTTTGGAATACGACCAAAACCTCGTCGACATGGATAGGGAGAAGGTTCTTGTCAATGGTGCCTCGACTGGAAAGCTTCCTCCGAAGAACAAGAAGCGCAGCCCCCGGGAGCGTCGTGCCCTTGTGACCAAGCGTCATGTTTTCCCTGGACAGTTGATCACCAGCGGCAACCCCGCCCACAGTGCCATGGAGCTCTGCAATAGCGGTAACTCTGTGGGTCCTGACTTTGTGTCTCACCACGAGGGTCTGTTCTGCGACATGTCCGAGAAGGAATTGTGGCCTCTTTGCTCGACCGTCATTAAGACCGGCTGCTTTGACACTACTAATAACACTATGATTGCCAAAGCCAAGTCTCGAAGGGACGATAGCACCGGGCGTATCGTTCCACAAAAGGATTATGTTGATGTTTCATCCTGGTAAATGCAGCGAGAACTTTTCACGCAAACCTCTGCTCTATGACCTTTTGCGGCGGGAATTTGCATTGAGTCAAGACATTTTGGATGCAAATGTGTTTTGGTCTCGAGTTTTATGTTCTTCTACTCAGTACAGATTGCTGGATTATTTTCTGAAGATTCTTCTTGATGCTTTTGTAGTGTTTGCTTATAGTTTTAGCCAAACTCTGTTGATAGAGATTCAATTTTCAGTAAAGACACCTTTTCCCTGATTCCTTAGCTGATTTTTAAATTATTTGCAGTGACGTATTACTCTTTGAAGCCGCGTGGGGATAAAACATAATACCATAACTCTAACTACCTACCTAGAAATCATTTCCAGAGTATATGTATACGGGAGATAATAGGAGTTCCCTACGCAAGTTTGAGAAGGAGGCGAATACTTCGATTGTACGGGAATGGGCTGGATCTGCATTCAAGGCTCCGGGTGGCTTCCCTGCTGAACCAGCAGCAGATTCGGAAGTGAACTACCAGTAGGACACCCGACAGGCAGCTGCAATCTAACAACGGGCTGTATCCAAAGATTACGATTGTTGTCGTGACAGAGATGGGTTTTGCGGAGCCTTGTGAAGCTATATTGATCAACCTGAAACGAGATCCCCTGGGACTCGAGGAGAGCTGTAGGTTCTATTATCCCGATATACGAGCGAAGCAACATTGGGGGTGGCTAGGTCGGGCGGCTATGTAGGATTCAAGGCGTAGCTCTTTTAATCCACTTTTTTATATTGCGTTGGCGGACTCGTGCAACAATGATCCTGAGCGGTAGGAAGGCTCAACTCCAACCGCGCCTTAAAACATGCGATGCACTTAGAACCACATTGGGGCCGAATGTATAGTCTGATTTATATTTAATTACTGAGCAACTGTAGCTAAAAGATTCAACAACTCACAACTTCGATCACTGTTCCAAGCAGCCACTACCTACTACACTCGGTGTTTAGTCATTCTTTAAACTTTTCGAACGTCTATTGTCTCTCATTTACCATGCGTTTCAACATTGGAAGTATTGTACTCGGCTTAGCTGCCCTTAGCAGCTTGCCTGAAAGCTTGGGCAGAGCAATTCCCAATTCTTCACCTGGGGCAGTTGATTGTGAGAACGCATCCTGCAATGTGGTTAAACACACAGCTCCACGTAATGAAGGAAGCTGACAAAAAGCAATAGTGTACAAGTACGACAGTCACTACCATGCTCGAGCGGCTCCGATCCGCGTCGGGAGCGGCGGTAAAGGTGGTAGTGGTAAAGGTCCTGGCGGCGTGGAAGACAACACTCCCCATGGGGATAAAGACGGCAACGGCAACCCTGTCCATATCGGAACGGGAGACAAGATTCCTAGCGGGGATGGCAGCGGTCATCCTGTCCGTATCGGAACGGGTGACAACAAAGACGTGGACCTTTGGTGTAGAGGTCTCGGCTGCGGTGCCTCGGAAGACTCCACGCCGTCCGCCACGCTCACAGAGAAGGAGAAGACGGACCTGGGTGTGCGCGGTGATAAGGGAGTTAAGCTGGTGGCTAGTCCAGAGAAGGGCAATGTAGATTATACCCAGCGCCAGAAGGACAACTACAACACTGAGGAAGAGCCAGAGTTCGAGGGCGTGGACGACTCGGTTCCGAAAATGGGCCTTGACAAGAAGTACGGTTTCGATAGCGTAAACGGCTGGAAGACGTATAGCGTCAACTCCAAGGACAACCTTCTTGAGCCCCTAATCAAAATGAGCTTTGGCAGGGCTAAGAAGGACGATAAGGAGTATCTCGCTTTCGTTGCCCATAATCGATTCGCGGAGCATGATGGCAACAGGTACAAGTTAGATGACAACGGCAACAACGTGTTGGACGACAACAAACGTCCGGTGGAAAATCCGGATAAGGACTCCAAGGCTGTCCCCGTTTCTCAGCTAACCTATGAGACTGCCCAGGTATGCTCCAATGCCCCAAATACTGTTCATACTTGTGTGCTAATGAATAGCCCAATAGCTATCCGGAATGCTCAAGCCTGCTGAAAAAGTCTTTTTGATCTCGGAAAATGTCATTAACAACCAGGCTCAGAAGGCCATCACTGCGGCGCACAAGGCTTTGGGGAAAACCGGCCAGCCGTGCCTTTTGAAGAAGGATGCCCCTGGTCCCGAGGGAGAACATTTTAAGATCATCGCTGGTACAGATAACAACTATTCATATTTAAACACCGTTGGCCGCAACCCGGACTTTTTCAAGAATTACGACGTCGTCAGCATTGAGACCTACGAGAACCCCCCTATGATGAATATGGAACTCTCCAAGAAAGCGCAGAATAAGCGGAATAGTGTTTAGCACGAGTATAGTAAGCGATAGTAGTAGAGATAGGAGGGCAGGTAGTAGCAGAGTAAGATAAAAAACAGCTTATCTCCAACTTCCCTGACTCTATCTGTGAAGTCTGGTTCCTCAACATTACACTACGAGTAAGTTTGACAATAGGCTTGGATATAAGATACGTAACGTGTAGGAAAGTGTAGGAAAGTGTAGGTCTCGTACAGCTTGTCGACCTGTTACTCGGAATACCGGCGTATAGGTATTTTCCTGTTATAACGAAGGAGATTAGTGAGCCTGGTCTGAATATATCTTCTTCAGAGTTGGAGGTGTATCCTAGTCCGAAGCAGGACATGTAAATCGTCGTCCGGCAACAGCAGACGGCGGAGAGCTAGAGAGTGAATCGAGTAATGACCCTCCGAAACCCACAATCTTTTGATAAAGGTCGTGATCGAATAAGAAGTTGCGTGGTAGGATGTAGTAGTAAATAATGCTAGCAGAAGTCCCAAGTGCTGAATTTAGGTATACGATGATAGGGACCGATCGGCTCGTAGATACGAGCTTTAAGACGCATGTTTAGAAATGCTCTCTGTAACAAAGTGGACCCGGCATTGGTGTCTTAACTATATCCCCAGATGGCAGTCGCTCTAGAAGTGCGATTTATCGAAGTGCCAGAGTGATCCCAAGTAATACATCAGGTATATGTCTAGTGGGTAGCATTTTCAGATACAGTTGCCATGGTCGTGGATGTGGTTGTTGCGGCAACTTATATACAACATCGTCAGATGCAGAAAGTGCCATGTTTAGGTAGACTTACTTGTTGTGATTCCTCCCAAGGGTTATTGCCTAAAGATTAGATATCTCCTTTCGGCGACCCGACGATCTTGTTACAAAGAGTATAAGGTGTGAGGAAAGAACCTAGCCCGTATCGGCCAGATTTGGTGGTAGAACATGCCCGAAGCTCTGGGACTGTTCAGAAAGAGATGTCGGGCGGCTGGGTGCAATTGAAACTATCGCAATATGGAGGTTGGTGGGTGGGTGATGGTGAGTTGGTGAGCTGGGGTTTATTCGGACGATATGACGGGCATCAGACACAGGACGTTTGACCACCATCCGGAGATCGGAGTTTTATGGTAGATCAGACAATCATCGCGGGGACGTCGATCTATGCATGCATATCGAAACTACGCACAGGTGCAGTAAAGCAAAATCACTACTTCTCCGCATTTTGCCATTTTACCAGGCGTGTACTTCGTATCAGATTAAAATTGAGAGATCAATACAATCACTATTGGGGTTTAGATGAACGTGCGCATATAGTTATAATAAGTGTTATAATTTAAATCTGATTCAACATGAGTTGTAAAAGCAGTATCTGAGGTATCTAGGGCATCGCGGTCTGGCCGTCGATTATTCCCCGGGGTTTCGTAAAGAGCGTAAGTGTCCTATAAACATGGAAGAGTGTATCGAAGCTCTAAAAACTCCTAGGCATATGCCATGCCGCCCCTTAGCAATGCACCATCGCCAAACCAACACCAGGCCCCAACCATTGAACTCCCCCATCATTTCCCATAAAGCAAACCCCACTAGATACCATATTGAGCATGTGTGGTATACGAGTTTGAAGACGTGACCAAGATGGCCAGAAGAACATATATACAGCGAAAAGTCGACGAGTCGGGGATCATTATCCAGCCAAAATATGATGGAAACATTAAAACAAGTTTCATATGTTATATCCACATGGCTGGCCTGCTTGGCTTCACATCACCGAAGGCACTCATAAAAAGTCCTTGAATTTCGGACATGTAATCCTCGGCTCGGAATTTGAAAAGACCTTTCGATATTAACTCTTGCTCTTCCTCGTCGACAACATCCATCTTCGCCTGGGATATGCCGTATTCTTCCGCGAGCTCGGTGACCTGAGCAAGCTCGTGCCCAAACGGGTGCTCCTCTGCAACCTCAGCTTCAGCTTCCGGAGCGAATATGTTGACTGATGACCGAACAGTTGATATGCTATTCTTTGTAGATGAAATCCGAGACGTAGATCGCTTGCGCGCTAATATTTCCGCGTTCTTCTTGGTGTGTGAAAGAGCTCTCTGTGGGATGGCCGGCACTGGATCGCTTGGATTACTTTGGTGAGATGGCGCCCCAAAGTAACATGAAAGATGATTCGGTTGAGGCGATGATGGCGTCGATCCAACATCGGAGCTTTCTGGCGACGTTGTGGGTGACGATGCGGTCGTCGGTGACCGATCCGAATCATCTCCCGAGTTCGACGCTCGCGAGGACGTCGAAGACGCGGATGCGGCTTTTGGATATATATCGGGTGCATTGTAAGAAAGCATATTTGTGGTGGAAATCAGCTCGATCGGAGCGGAGATTTTGTGTCTAATAGTGCCGGAAGAGAAGTGATGGTGCTTAGTTGTCAAGCTTCTCGATGGCATCGGCGGCGAGACATCTGAAGTTCTTGTAGGGCGCTTCGTGGTAAAAGACCTAGAAATGGACATTGTTGCTGCCGTTGTTTCGGGAACAGGACTCTGGCCCCGACAAAGGATATATGGGGAATTGGGGATATGCGTCTGGCTTTAGCCAACGGTACTCCTGTGGTTGTCTTGGGCGAACAGAAGGGAGGGGTGGGCGATTATCCGAATCTGGAAATGGAGACGGCTAATTGGGGGAGCAGCTGCAGGTCTCGGCTGAGAATGATTGGCGGAAGGGCTGCAGGTGAGTCGGTTGACTTAATGGGCAGTTGCGGACGGGGCTACGGTTCAGGAAGGTCCGAATGTACTAGGGCCCTGGAGGGAGACTGAATGACTTGTTTGTTGCAGAGCAGAAGCCTTCAGGTGATGGCGGTGGTGGTGGTGGTAGCCGTGGTGGTACTTGGAGTCCGGCCGATGGTTCGTGACCCTGATATATTGGCCGGCGCGAACGTGAACAAACAGCGAGCAGGTGCCTAGATGATAGAACGTTTCCGTCGCGGGCTTCCGGAGTTGACAAGGGCGATTTGGATGTAGGAGGGAGAAATAGATGATTGATTTTAGTTGCAGGGCGATGCAAGGACCGTGAGTGATAATGAGAGTTGGGCGAGAGGAGTCAATCCTTTCTTTGATGGCAGGCGCAGTGTTTGCGAAGTCTCGTCGAGAGCGTGTGTTTCTGTCCGTGTTCTGTCCGTGTCTGATCGCGCGATAAAGAGTGCTCGGGCAACCAGGATACAGGGAGAGCGCGAAGGAAGGAGTGAATACAATTCAGGGTATCGGCCGGGCGATATTGATAATAAAGGAAGCAGCTGGGTGAAGCTGAAGAAAAGCAGTTGTACAGAGGACGGAAGTGTATAAGGGTATGGAAGGGGAGGAATAACGAGGTGGAAGGGGGGGGGATAGAAAACTTCGGTGGTCGATGGTACAGTGCCTGGTAGGGGGGGGGGGGCCGGTGGAGAAGGGGGGCGACAGCGTGGCGAGCGAGGGCTTGGGACTTGGTGGGCCTGGTGGTTGGTGGTTGGTGGATGCTGTGCTGTGCCTGTCTCTTATACACATCTAGATGTGTATAAGAGACAGGGGGGCGACAGCGTGGCGAGCGAGGGCTTGGGACTTGGTGGGCCTGGTGGTTGGTGGTTGGTGGATGCTGTGCTGTGCTGTGCTGTGTACCTACAGCGTAGCAGTCGCAGTAGCCCCGTAGCGGTAGGCTTATCGAGTCCCTACGGAGGTACTACTGTACAGTAGGTACCTTACTACTGTGCAGCGTGTGCTGTGCCTGCTGCGGGTGTGCTGGTGCTGCAGGGACAGGGCCTACAGGGCTTAATTCGGCGCCCGCGATGCCCTTTTCGACCCCTTTCGCTCGGAGGGCTTGGGGCTCTGGACTGTCCTGTCCTGACTAGCATCGCGCTACGACTACGTGTGCCAGCAACTAGAAAGAAAGAGTTTTCCCTTCCATGATTCATTACTTCGTGCTCAAAGAAACAACTCCTTCACACCACGGAAGGCGGTTTCCTCCACACGCCCGCGGAAACGGGAACAAACAAACTACAAGTAGCGAGTTCCAACAGGCATCCTCCACAAATGCATGACCGTAATAATATGGCAGTACCACCACTGCCTCCGCAAGTACCACCAAGTACACCCGCCGTCCGCGCCGATTCTGTGGTTGGTACTGTGTACGGCTCCACATGCCCCAAACCCGATTGTCCGCGATAAGGGGGGCCCGGGGCTGGCCACTGCTGGTGGTCGCTGGTGTGATTAGCCTGGCCCACCCCCACAGTTTCGGTGCTGGTTAATACTACGCACTGTACCAGATACAGATACGGATACAATAGTAGTACATCGATGTACCTTCACACCAAGGCCAGGTACGGGACCTATCTTCGGTAGCACACTGCACACTGCCCACTGCACTCATACATATACGCCACTCGTACGCGCAAAGGATGGCTGAGATCAAGCAGCCTTTCCACATCGAACGATCCCCTTTGCGCTGGGCCACGGACGGGCGGGCGCATCAATGATCGATCACACTGATCACCGTCGTCCATTCGAACTCTACTGCTCTCCCGCCTGGAAACGCGAAACGGGGGGCCCCGCAGAGAGTTGATCCAGCGATCCCCCTCCCAATCAATGCCCGTGGTGGGTGAGCGCTTCGGGTTGCACCGTTTCAGCGGACGCCACACCACCGGCGATCGACTGGAGATGAACCACTGATCACCCACTCCAGATAAACATGTGTCGCGCGCAAACTCAGCCTATCATGATCTCGTGAATCAAAGGGAAACACACTACGGGAAACAGACTGCTAGAAACAGACTACGACCATTGTGCAATACTCCGAACGCCCTCAGGCTGCTGCCGCCTCGGTCGGGGCTCGTCGGTCGGCAGGCCGCTCGCCCACATGCTTCCACAGCGCCTGTTCTGTTCTCGCTTTTCTCACGGTTCTCCCTGCTCTCCCGCTACCACTTGCAAAACACCGTTATCAGAGGTGAGCCCCGCTGACTGCAGCATCAGCATCAGGCCATCAACATACGCATACGCATACGCATAACCATAAGCAGGGTCAGAGTGCTACTACCTTCGCTACTCCAGACTCCAGTACTACTTAACTATGCGTGGTACGTGCTACTATACGCAAGTCCTACGTACTATGTGGTGCTATGTGGTGCGCCCAAGAGTTATTGTTAGAAGCAATGTTCATGCACACCACCCAACCCGCAACGCCAACAGTCCCTCTCATTACCTGATCCCTGGCGATCCCCGAAGCATGGCGACATCTGCGACTACCACTTATGCCAAAATCCGGTTGCTTCCCAACTTCCCACATGGCACAGGCTGACCTCGACTCGTAATCCCCGACATATTTCATTCCCACGATAGATGATTAAAGATCCTCCCAGGCCTCAAGGCAACAAAACGGATCCGTTGGGTGGGAAGTTGGGAATCGCATCAGCGGATGTTCAATATAATACACGGAGTCCCCCTATGTTTTATGGTCATACGGAGTGCTACGTAAAGATGAACTGCTTACCCGTCTGTGCCTCTCGCGACTTGTCCGATGAGCTACCCCTCGTCCATCAGCTATAACCCAGCACTCCGTAGGAATTAAAGGTTACGGGAGGAACCGGGCAACGACTGGGTTCAATTGGAGACGCCAACAGTTCAGATATTGGCAAACCAACTGGACGGAAGATATCACCAATCTCACTCGTCCTGAGTCTCCTTCTCAAGCTCAACATCCGTCAAAATCTCAACGCCGCATGGGGGTGGACCGTTAAAGCGCGATCCTTCAACCCATCTCGTCGAGAGAAATGCTAAGAAATGCTACCACTTCGAAAAGTTTCCCAGTACTCATATATTCGATTGAAAGCTAGCAAATCGCATTCAGCTCCAAATCTAACCTGCAATTGCACAAGTAACACTTCTTCGGCCATATATCCGGGGACATAGACATAGACATGTTTTGTTTTAGGTTGTACAAATAGTAGACCGCCCCAAAGATTTTGATATGCCCAACGGCCCCAGCCAACGCCAGAGCTCCTTCCTCTTGCGACAACTACATACATTTGATTAGGCATTTGTGCCACATGGTATATTGACCTTATTGTTGGGCATAACTAGGATATGGGACGGGAACCAAACTCTCGGTAGGATATACCTAGCCAACCAAGCCACCAAATCTCTGATAAAGTCGAAGTGGGCACGGCACCAACGTGCTAACCCTAGGTATCCAACGTTCCGAGATATATACGTAAGGGCCGAGGGCCAAAGGTGCTTCTTACCTATTATGGTGCATATGGCATCCGGTTCGCTGCCCCTATATCCCCGGAAATCTCAAGTGATCTTAATCGTTGGATGATCGACTTCGTGAGTTACTGAAACGGTTCCTCGGACTCCATGTACAGATTTAACAGTTGAATTTGTATGGTTTAATCTTGTTTGAGTTGGACTCACTACACAGGAAGTATTTAACCAGATATCACAGACTCCGAGTAGCATACTGGGGCTAGAATAGATGATGCCAAGGCGTTTAAAATTCGGGCGACGAAGCCTGGCTGTTGGAACGACAGTACTGACAACGATGAGTGGTCCACAGCCAAACTTCGAAAAACATAGAAGTAAAGAAGATAGAAGACCATGAGTTAATTGATTCGTAAGCTCTTGCTAGCTAGGGATATCTCTCTATTATGCGCACTGGCGTCTCGCCACAAATCAGGACAACAGCGAGCTTTGAAGCAGGCACCTCCTCTCCAGGAGATATCGCCCAACCGGAAGCGGAAACATCTCCTCTGCCGCAATTGACATCGTGCACTAGCCGAGTTGGACGAGAGCGGATGTCTTTTCGAAATGCAAGCCGGCAATAATGGTGCATAACTTGGAGTTTTGGCGTTCAAGCCCGTTCAATCCTCTTCCATAGACTCCCAGCCCTCTCCAGTTTTCGCACCGCCCTCCTCGGCTTCACTTTCATCCTCGGACTCGCTACTATCGTTTTGAACACCCACCAACTTTTCCTTAATCTCGCCTTCCACTGGCGCCACTCTATCTGCAAATGCTCTTCTAACGGCCGGGTTGGTCGATGTATCCTATACAAACCGTTAGTAAGTCCATAAATCACGTTTTGTTGGGGACGGAAATATTTACCCAAACCTGCACTACACCTTTGCTGCCTGCTACCGATAGCCTAAAGCCGACCTCCTCGTCTGGCGCAAAAACAGTTGAGAATACCTTTCCAATATCGAGATTGCGAGTAACCACCATCGTTGGTCCGGATGGCTGGATATTCCAAAGCTTGACCTGCTTATCCGTCGACCCTGTAGCCATGAATCCCGGGATTACTGGATTTATATCAAACGCGGAGACAGACTCGTCATGTGCTTGCAGGATCCAGACGGGTTTACTCGCTGCTGGATCTGCGGGGGCATTACGTATGTCGTGGAAGTGGATGATGCCCTTCTCGGTGGAGACGTAGAAGTAATTTGGGTCATGGGGGTCCCATCGGACTGACTCAACGTCGCTTTCAACGCCCCATCGTGGAGCTTTGGCATCGGGTGCTCGCATGTCTGCCGCGACAACAGTCCGATCGTAACTTCCACTTAGTAAAATTGTCGATTCCTTCGGATGCCATGCTAAAGAGCAGACCTTGTCGGTGTGGTGCGTATATGACTTGGCACATTTCGTCGTATTAAGATCCCACAGCTTTATGGTCTTGTCCGCCGATGACGATGCCAGAAGGTTACGATGCTGTCTGTTGGCAGCGAGGGAAAGAATAGCATCGACATGGTAGTCGTCATTCGCCTTTTTCGACTTCTTCCGCTTCTTTTTCTTCTTCTTGTCTTCTGATTCTGCGCTGCCCTCCCCTCCTTGTCCTAGGATTGCATTGGGATACATGCAATCCACAGTGTCCAGGTCCCAAATCTCAATATCCGGATCAAATGTCCCGACGGCCACGAAGTTTGCCCTCGCGTCCTTCTCGACGCTCGACTTTCCCACTGGTATATCCAGCCATTCCACACAGAGGGGTATTGCCGGAAGCATGAGATCGTGATGGACATACAGATTATCGGCTCCATCCTCGTAAACATAGATTTCGAGATGTGCCACCTCGTCCTCGACCTTTGCCGCTAGAAGCATGTTGTCTGTCGCGAGTATTTGGAGTTCTTCTCGATCCTCGTCATCCTCCTCGTTTCCTTGCATAGTAATGTAGGGATCGTCGGCGTTGGACTGATAATATGCAAGTGATTTGACATTTCCAAACATGCCCATACCCTCACCCTCCTTTTCTTGGTCCATTTCTACATCGTCATCATAATGTTCCAAGTCATACTCCTTGAGATCATCGTCGTCGTCCCTAGAGCTATTTGTTAGTCTTGAAATAACATAAAATTAACCAGGCGTACCCTTTTGATTTTAACGTCTTATTGCCATCCTCCTCATCCGAATCCTCTTCGCCATCGACATCTTGTTTGCCATTGGATCCAGGACCTTCATTCCGCGCATCTTCCAAGTCCTCATTCGCATCGTCGAGTTGGAGTTTCGCAAGCTCTGCAATTCGCTGAAATTCTCCCTCGTCGAACGTGTACTTTGTAGGGAACGGAGCAGCAAACCCCCGAGGGACCCAAGCCGTCGCCGTAATCATCGACATCTTGTATTTTATGTTGGGCCTCTATCGAGTAAACTTGTGTCGCAAAAAACTTTACTGGATACACAAATTGTGAGGGGACAAAAAATATCCCTGTAGCTTCGCGTATCTTATCGCCTTGAAGGCGGGCGCTAGCGCGAGACCCTCCTGCATCAGCCTCAGGATGTTTTTCTACGAAGCTCCGAAACAACCTCGAAAGTCGAGATCAGAGAGGCGACAATAACAAACGCTGTGATTTTCACCCGACCACGATCCAACATGGCTAGGGATGAAGGGGGATCGAGTCCTAAGAGACGAAAGCTTGATTTTAACCCATTACGATCCGATGACAGATTTATCATTCCGGCCAAGCCATCAACAAATAGTCTTGAGCACCCGGGGCCTGCGCTGCTACGGTCTCAAAGTCGAGTTCGGAATAGTTCTCGATCGTCAACCCCCCAAGGACGATCACAATACGCGTCGACCCCCAAACCCCGGCAGGAAGAATTCGATGGGCCCGAGCCTTTCGTGAACGAAGAGGACTCCAATGCCCTCGATCGGGATTGGTATGCTGGAGACGAATCTGGCCACACATTTGGAGATGACGCCCATAACCCGTTCGGTTCTTATGATAATTCCTGGGCTGAGCAGCAGCGGGAGGCAGCGCTGGTAGAGAAGAAAACCGGGAAGCGTATGAGTGCACGAGCGACACAAAAACAGAAGGATGTCGATGCTTGGGAGACGAATCGAATGCTCACGTCCGGCGTGGCCCAGCGAAGAGATTTTGGAGACGACTTCGAAGATGACGAAGAAGCAACTAGAATCCATCTACTCGTCCATGACCTGAAACCCCCTTTTCTGGACGGCAGAACCGTCTTCTCGAAGCAATTGGAACCTGTGCCGGCAGTTCGAGATTACCAAAGCGACATGGCGGTGTTTAGTCGAAAGGGTAGTAAGGTGGTAAAGGAAAAGCGTCAACAAAAGGAGAGGCAAAAACAAGCTCAGGAGGCAACAAATATGGCCGGCACTGCACTTGGCAACCTCATGGGAATCAAGGAGGACGAAGGAGACAGCGCTGCCCCGGTTCCTGGCGAGGAGGAACACCAAGGCAACAGCAAATTTGGTCAGCATATGAAGAAGAATGAAGGGGCAAGCAACTTCAGTCAGAGCAAGTCTTTGAAGGAGCAGAGAGAGTTTCTTCCTGCGTTTGCTGTCCGTGAAGATTTACTGAGAGTCATCCGTGACAACCAAGTAGTGATTGTTGTCGGTGAGACAGGGTCAGGCAAAACGACCCAACTTACGCAATTCTTGTACGAGGATGGCTATGCAAAGCTAGGGTTGATAGGATGCACGCAACCTAGGCGGGTGGCTGCAATGAGTGTGGCCAAGCGAGTTAGTGAAGAGATGGAATGCAAGCTAGGCGGTCTGGTCGGTTATGCTATTCGGTTCGAAGACTGTACGAGCAAAGAGACATGTATTAAATACATGACTGACGGTGTTCTCCTGAGAGAGTCTCTAAATGAACAGGATCTCGACCGTTACTCCTGTGTCATTATGGACGAGGCGCATGAAAGAGCCTTGAATACAGACGTTCTTATGGGGCTGTTTAAAAAAGTCCTCGCACGCCGACGAGACCTCAAACTCATCGTCACTTCTGCAACCATGAACTCGAAACGATTTTCTGACTTTTACGGGGGAGCACCAGAATTCTTTATCCCTGGAAGAACATTCCCTGTGGATATCATGTTCCATCGATCTCCAGTTGAAGACTACGTGGACCAGGCGGTGCAACAGGTATTGGCAATCCATGTTTCGATGGGGGCTGGCGATATCTTAGTGTTCATGACTGGACAAGAAGATATTGAGGTGACTTGTGAACTTATCCAAGAACGGCTCAACGCTCTTAATGACCCACCGAAACTCAGCATTCTTCCTATCTACAGTCAGATGCCTGCGGACCTCCAAGCAAAGATCTTCGACAAGGCTGCTCCGGGTGTAAGGAAAGTTATTGTTGCAACAAACATTGCAGAAACTAGTTTAACTGTCGATGGTATCATGTATGTCGTTGATGCTGGCTATTCTAAGCTGAAGGTCTACAATCCTCGTATGGGGATGGATACTTTACAGATTACGCCAATTTCTCAAGCGAATGCCTCGCAGAGAGCTGGCCGTGCTGGACGTACTGGACCTGGCAAGGCATTTCATCTTTTTACCGAAGCTGCTTTCAAGGACGAGCTTTATATCCAAACAATTCCTGAGATCCAGCGTACCAATCTCAGCAACACGGTTTTACTCTTGAAATCCCTCGGGGTCAAGGACCTGCTAGACTTTGACTTTATGGATCCTCCTCCTCAAGACACCATCACGACATCTTTGTTCGACCTCTGGGCTTTAGGCGCGCTCAACAATATCGGCGATCTTACGGAAATAGGCAAGAAAATGACCGCGTTTCCGATGGACCCTTCTTTGGCCAAGCTTCTGATCACGTCCGTGGAGTACGAATGTAGCGAAGAGATGCTGACGATCGTGTCCATGCTATCCGTTCCTAGCGTATTCTATCGACCAAAAGAACGCCAGGAAGAGTCCGATGCCGCTCGTGAGAAGTTTTTCGTTCCAGAATCTGACCACTTAACCTATCTTCATGTATATTCGCAGTGGAAGGCAAATGGTCATTCAGACGCCTGGTGCACTCGGCATTTCTTGCATCCAAAATCTTTGCGCCGAGCAAAAGAGATCAGAGAACAACTCCTAGACATTATGAAGATGCAAAGGATGGCAATGATCAGTTGTGGCACTGATTGGGACGTCATCCGGAAATGTATCTGCTCGGGATACTATCATCAAGCTGCCAAGGTCAAAGGCATTGGAGAATACGTCAATTTAAGGACAAGTGTAACTGTCCAGCTGCACCCTACGAGTGCTCTTTATGGACTGGGTTATCTCCCTGATTACGTCATCTACCACGAACTGATTCTTACTTCCAAGGAGTATATGTCAACAGTGACAGCCGTTGATCCACATTGGCTTGCAGAACTGGGAGGTGTGTTTTACTCAATCAAAGAAAAAGGCTACTCTGCCCGAGAGAAGAGGATCACCGAAGTTGAATTCAACAGGAAGATGGAAATAGAGACACAAATGGCAGAAGATAAGTTGAATGAGGAGCAGAGATTAGAGAAGGAGAGCCAGAAGACGGCAAAGAAGCCCGCATCAACGGTGGTGAAGAAAGTTGCCTTGCATGGCGCTGTGAGGAAGCCTATAGTAAGAAGGGCTGGACGAGGGTTTTAATCTGCAGATGCAATATACAATACATATTTAGCGGCTCAGAATTAAGAATTTGGGCTTCCAAAATCTTATAATCAACTTCTGCCTGCAATTCTGTGAATTGTGAAGCATCAGCCGTGTCCATCCAGACACACATGTAGTAGCCCCCTGCCCTTCAACTAGTTCAGTGTGCTCAATAAATAACTCGAGAATTTCTCAAGCTCAATGCACCCTTTATTAGGTACGAACGAGTAATTTATTTGTAAACAACCGTTCAGATCTTTGATCCGTTTGATGTCGTGTGGATTGATAGGGGTTAAGCTGTCGAACCCCTTAGATTGGAACACTGTGATCAACCCTAATTTTATAGATGATGCGCTCTTGCAATTAAGATATGTATATCTTATGACCAACAATCAAACCATACAAAATATAAAGTACCAAGGTATTCTCCTACATAAAAGTATTACACTTAAGGCAGAGCGGGGTCTGTCACGTGCTCTAAATGGTAGTCGCGTTTGCGACGCGTCTCCCGTACTTGAATTGCGCGTTGACAACCACGACCACACCGATGATAACACCATGGACGAGGAAGATTATGGAGATATTGCAGATGAAGACCTAATCGAAGTCTTCAGCCAACATTCCCAAAGCCTCCCGTCGGAGCCACGTTCGAATAAACGACGGAGAATCAGTTACGATACGGACGATGGAGACTCAACCACCCATCGACGTCAATCCCGAGATTCCATCGTGGATAGTGGATCAGGCGATGATGATGAAGTCAATACGAAATCGCGGAAGAAGAAATACAGGATACACATAGGTGCTGAAGAAGTGTCTGCACGCCAAATTTTGGGTGCCACCCAAGCTGAAGCGCTGCCCGATTCGAGCCCATACAGAATTAGAGGACCGATTTACAAGAAACCGAGAACAGAGGCGCCGAAGCCTCCAGTGTTCTTTAGAACTCCTCAGAGATTCATTTCACGGTCCAACTCCTTTCAGGATCAAATTAATGATACCTCGCGAGACGAGGAACTTGCGAGAGAGTTGGCAGATTTGCCGTCCGATGCATTCTCGTCTCCAGAGAACGATCAAAGATCTAAAGAGCCGGTTACTATCGGATCATCTCCTCCTAGAGATAGTCAGCCTAGTTCGACTGCCCGACAGCGCATTATATCGCGTCAAAATAGCTTCCGGCAAACCACTCTCTTTGGTGGACAAGCTCCAGTCTCTGCATCACAGCCCAAAAAAGTACAAAATTATATCGTTGATTTACCTCCCGAAGCGCCTACCCATCATACTCTCGACAGAGAAGCTCTCAAAACTTGGGATTATCCGGCAAATCTTGGAGCGACCCGCGACTACCAGTTTAGTATCGTCAAGAATGGCCTTTTTAATAATCTTCTCGTGGCACTTCCTACCGGTCTTGGGAAGACATTCATTGCTGCTACAATCATGCTCAACTACTTCCGCTGGACCAAGGATGCTCAAATTGTTTTTGTCGCTCCGACTAAACCGCTGGTCGCTCAACAAGCGGAGGCATGCTTCAATATCGTGGGAATCCCAAAGTCCAAAACCACAATGCTAACGGGCGGACAACCTCCCGTTTTGAGAGCCGAACAGTGGGCGAAAAAGCGAGTTTTTTTTATGACCCCACAAACCCTCGAAAATGATCTCACGAGTGGCATTGCGGATCCCAAAAAGATTGTGCTACTTGTTGTTGATGAAGCACATCGGGCTACTGGCAATTACGCCTATGTAAAGGTGGTAAAGTTCATGCGTAGATTTAACAAAAGCTTTCGCATACTCGCCTTGACAGCTACTCCAGGAGCAAGTGTAGAGGCAGTCCAGGAGGTAGTGAACAATTTGGAGATATCTAAGGTGGAAATCCGAACTGAGGAATCTATCGACATTCAACAATACGTACACAGGCGAAATATCGAACAGATCGTCCTCGATCCCTCGGATGAGATGATTATGGTGAAAGACCTATTTTCCAAGGCTCTCCAACCATTGGTGAATCAGCTCTGCGCCCAAAATGCCTATTACAATAAGGATCCAATGTCACTCACGCCCTATGGATTGATGCAAGCCAAAATCACCTGGCTTAAGTCCGATGTTGGGCGGAGGGCTAGTGCTGGTTTGAAAGGAATGATGAACGGGCTGTTTGCTATTCTCGCGAGTGTGGCCCATGGGATAAAACTACTCAACTTTCATGGTATTGGTCCTTTTTTCTCCACTATCAAGGAGTTCCGAACAGGCGTTGAAGATGGAACCAAGGGTGGCAAGTATCGAACCCAAATCGTCCAGAGTCCGGACTTCAAGAATATGATGAATCGGATCCAATCGTGGATCAATACAGAGGACTTCATCGGTCACCCCAAGCTCACCTTCCTCTGCGACACTATTTTGAATCACTTTCTAGATGCTGGTGATGGGCAATTAGGAGAAGACACCCCACCATCAAGCACCCGAGTTATTGTCTTTGCAGAGTATCGAGATAGTGCCGAGGATATTTGTCGTGTACTGAATAAGCATGGCCCTATGCTTCGAGCATCGGTGTTTGTAGGCCAGGCCGATTCGAAACGTTCCGAGGGGATGAACCAAGCAAAGCAGCTCGAAACGATTGAGAACTTCAAAAGTGGAAAATTGAACGTCATTGTGGCTACTTCAATTGGCGAAGAAGGTCTAGACATAGGGCAGGTTGACCTTATCGTCTGTTATGACGCATCATCCTCTCCCATTCGAATGCTCCAGCGGATGGGTAGAACAGGAAGAAAACGAGCGGGAAACATTGTCCTTCTCCTAATGCGCGGCAAGGAAGAGGATTCGTTCACTAAAGCCAAAGACAACTACGAGAAAATGCAACAAATGATTAGCTCGGGGACACGCTTTAATTTTCGACATGATCTCTCCGTCAGGATCATTCCGAGAGACATCAACCCTATAGTTGATAAACGCATAATCGAAATTCCTCTTGAAAACACTCAGGATCCATCATTGCCAGAACCGAAGCGGCGTTCTACAAAAGGAAAGAAAATGCCGCCCAAGAAGTTCCATATGCCAGACGGAGTCGAGACCGGGTTTCGCAAAGCTTCCAAAATATCAGGAGAGGGATTGGCGTTGACTGAATTTGGGATAACTGTGAGGAAAAGTAAGGAGAGTGAGATCGAATGTGCTCCGATTCCGCCTCTAGAATCTGTGCTACTCAGCCCAGAAGATATGAGAGAACTCCACCGGCGGTATCTACGCGTGGCTTATTCGACAGATTCTGACATATTAGAAGTCACTATTCCGGATATGACTATGCAACCAGTGGCCCAGAGATCTTTAAGCGTTACGGCCAAAGTGGCTCATGGCCAATACACGAAGCGATGTGTAAGCCTATTCAGGACATTAGCAAACTCCCAAAATGTCGAAGACCGCTTCATAAAGCCTTATGGAGACGAGGAGCCCTCCCAAAACCTCCTGGATCTACCGACTCTAAATAGGGAAACAATGGATCTCGTGGAAGTTGATCTACTGGCCAAGAAACAGCCAATGCCAAGAGCGAAGCAGCTTCAATACAGTCGCATGATCATGTCTGATCTCGAGACCGATGAGGAAGCAACTCCTACAAGGCACCACACAAGTTCCAGAGATCTAGTATCTGGTGATGATAGTGAGGGAGAAGGGGACAGCCTTATTGATAGCGAAGAACGCTCGGACGATAGTGACGCATTGGTTCCGCAAAGCATGCAAGACTTCATCGTCGAGGAGGAGGAAATCTCAAGCAGCAGCAGAAGAACAAGTGGCTTGACGCGATCTTCTAGTCCGCCGCCTCTTGAAAGCCCAAAGCAGACCCCAACTTTCTTGCCTTCGGAGTTTCCAGATACAGAGTGCACGGATGATGATGATCTGCCCGATATACCAGATCCCGTAGGCTTCCCATCACGGCATTCCGCAGTAACTTCGGTACCTGACTTGAGTTCTGAGGGACATGTTTGGGCAAGATCCAATCCCAGGACGAAGGGGAGAAGGGTCGTCGTATTGGACGATAGTGATGAGTAATGTATATTGTCTAGGACCTTAAGCATAGCGTTGGAGTTTTCAGTAGCATGGAGTTGGGGACTTGAAATTTATCACGTATGATATTAAACCAAGACAATCAGCAAGACTTGGAATGACTCATAAAGTTAATTGCGCATTCCCTAAGAGATAGTTCAATTTAATGTCCAAATTTGGTTTGACTCTGTATTAGTTTACTCATGCCGTCTACTAGCAAGTGTCCAAGACGGCCGGCAGGTCAGTGACTTTCCCCTGAACTCTGATTGAACAAGGACCTGGACTCTCTTACAAGTGAAGCCCTCTCCTCTGATTGAAAGGTTACTTACAAGACACGACTATGGAAGCCCAATAGTATATTTTTCTACTTACTCAGTATACTATCCGCCAATTCTCAAACCAGTGACCCAACATCACCTCACCAGGACGAGGCTATGCATCTATTGCTTGTACTTACGAAATTAAACAGGGCCCTGAGTTGCGGCCCAAATCCCGCGAGAGGTCATTCAAACAGCCTCTAAATGATCAAACAGTAGTCAAATGGATTCTCAGCAAAATAAGGCATGGTACAAGTTCATTGCTTCAAATACTTTCTTTAAAAGAGGCACAATCTGACTGTCTAAGATTCAAGCAATAAGAAAATGCCTTGCAAGATAGGTCTGAAAATACAACCAACATATCTCGTGTTACATTGGGGCTGTGGGGGTTTTGGTTTGTACTTTATGTTGGTTCTTGGCGTCCTAGCATGCGGCCGAGACGGTTACACCGCTTCAATACCCTTCCAGGCGCACTCATCGTGTCTTCCAGTAATCATTGTAACGCGAGTGTTCTGTTTGACACTGGTACATGTATCTCCTATCCCTATCTTGTCGATACAAGATAGGCATCTGCTCTCCGTTGTACAGCTACGTAATACGGACATCCAGAAACCTCTTACTCCCTCAATAAGCGAGGCTGTCAGGGGGCGGCAAAGATCAAGATAGGGGGCTGTGGTAGAAGAGTAAAACACCGCATCATTACGAGCCTTCAGATTCTCCAAAATCCTGCAAATGTTCTACACAGTCTTTGTTTCACGACACCACGGCCCAAACGAATAAATGCACTTCACTATAGCGTCCTTGCCGCACGCCCTGTGCCACCCTCAATCGTGATCCTAGCGCTTATTCATACCTGGCAACGCAACTCAACCAACACATCTACATAAAGCAACGTCTCTCAGGAAACCGAGTAGAAGCTCCCACCACGTTTAAGCCCCGCGCCATCTATAAATAATCACTGGTGTAGATTTGCTTCCCCTCGAGATACCCAACCCTGAAACCGTCGCCATAATCAGAACAGTCATGCCCCACACGTCATCCACCTCGAGCATAATAGACGATGCCTTTCTTTTCACATTCTGGACCCTACAGTCCCTCCTTGTCCTTGGCGTCCTCGCATTCACAACATTCATCGTGCTCCTCCTGGCCGCCAAATCAGACCCAAGCTTTGCATTCATGTGAGTCTGCCCATCACCCCTTCACACCCACCCAAAGCCGCCTTTCTCACACGAACTACACACCCATAGCTCATGGATCCTCTTCCTCATCCTCACAATTATCACACTCTCCCTAACCTGCGTTGAGATCCACCGCTATTTCTCAGCTAGGGGCCTCAGTCCCAAAACCTATCTACTCTATCAACAGGTGAAAACCACACTCTCGCTGGTGATCTGGACGGTACTGGTGATTTGCGCCCTCATAGAGCCGGGGTCGCATAGCCTGGGAACCGAGAACATTGTTAAGGCGGGGGTTGTTTGCCAGTAAGCTTAAAACGCCCTTCTCGATACAAAGAACATGTTATTAACTCGGTTCAATAGGATACCATTTATGATCCCCCTTATCTACGCAGCAAGGCGTGTTACTAGCGCGGGCCACACTAGTGAAGAAGACTGGTCAGGCCAGAATGACCGCGCCCCGCTCTTGAGGAGCTAAATGCAAATGTTTTACGAGGAAGCGGAACAGACTTTGGTAACGAGGTATCTTTGAATAACTCTACATTGCGGTCTAAGGGGCACGTAATTGTATCCGCACATCGTAGGACTATGAAAGGACTTATCTACCTCAATAGTATTTTAGGAAAGGAAGACATGTCTCCTAAGTTTATATCAAATGGCTACAGCGGATTGTAACACTTATATCATCTAAAGTCCAGAATTCGCTTGTCTGCTCGTATCGGCAGAACGAAATAAGCTATAGAATTAAAGAGATTATATTATAATAGCCGACGGTTTAGCTTAAGGCTTCCGCAAATCGTAAACTAGGTACAAATGGCCGATCCGATTGACTTCCGAACACCCCACGCGCGTAACCCACTAGTTGTACTAATGTCGCTGTCGAACGAAGAAGATGGATGAGTTATAGATGACTTTGGTGAGTTTGGACGAATGCAGACGGGGGTAATGAACAAATTCTAGGGAAACTTCGTACCCTTATATATTACTTCGCATACCATCCTATATTAGAAGTGTAAGCGTATCGATTGTGCAGTTCTCCAAGTGGGGAACGTCTTCACTCCGCCCCATTTTTGATTCTTGAGATCTCCATTGAGATAAGGCAATGTTGAGGTAGCATCCGACCTCGTACACAGGATTCAGACTGCATAACTGCGAAAGTTCGATATGATACTTTGGAGAAGCTGACGAATGTCATTCCCCACCTATTAAATGTTAGGATTATAGGACAACCAATAGGCTAACGCATTATAACAACAGTAAAGTAGAGGCGAGCATACCAAGTAATAAAGCAGGATGATTAACTAATTTAGACTACCCTATACCAGTAAAGGAGCTGCTCACACCTAAAGATCTCACGATATTAGCACGAAACAAGAAGGTGTCATCAAAAGCAGACCCAGCTCAGCAGCTGTACTGATATATCAATAGATCCCAATAGCTTTAGAAAGCCCTCTCTTCGTAAGAATTCTGAGATTGCGTGGTAGGATTCCACTCCCCTGAAGCAACGCCTGCCTTACGAAGATTGGAGTAACTCGATAATTTCAGGATGATTGTAGCGTCTTGCGTAATCAAGCGCTGTCCGTCTTTTTGAGTCTTGAAGGGAGTGAGCAGCCCCATTCTGGACGAGATAGCCTGCTACATCCGCCTTTCCTAGCTCTGCAGCTCTGTGCAGAGCAGTGCCGATCCCCTTGAAATATTGTAAATTCCATGAGGGCTGATGATTCTCATTCATCACTGCGTTCACGCGCGCGCCCTTCTGCAAGAGCTGATTTAGCACCTCGATGACGTTCTCATCCCGCTCAATGGCGTGGTGGATCAATTGTCCGCTTTTAATATCGCCTGCTCGGCCAAATAAAAGGCTGATAGTTTGAAGGGAAGCATTTTGAACGGCGAAAGACATTGGAGTGAGATCCAAGCGACAGGCCGCGTTCGGGTTCGCTCCGTGGTCGAGCAGCCATTTAATGACCTCCCAATCTTCGGCGACTAATCTAGCAGCAGTAAGCTCATCATCTTCCTCCTTCTTGAGGGGCCTAGGCAAGTGCTGCGGGTCGGGTTTCGCTGAGCTGCCCGTTAATATTCCATCCATGCTGGAGGAATACGCCGAAAATTGCGGTTGACTTTGTCTTGATTGCCTGCTCAATATGTATCAATGCCAACGGCAATCCCTGGCCTAATAAATATGAGGCAATTTTCGGACGATCCTCTGCCACTGCTGTCAGGAGCACTGGTCATAGCTCGTGTAGCTGGTAGTTCTCATGAGACCGATTCGTAAGATAAGACTCGAAGATCCTTTGTGCTGCGTCGAAGTCTCCGAAGACACATGCATTCGCGAGTGTTGTAACTTCTGCGAGTGGATATTGCTCAATGATGTGCGGTTCACATGAGACAGGCGGGGGATGGGGCGCGTCGAGGGATGTCATGATGTGAGCCAAATGTCAAAGGTTGCAACGAATGCTGAACTTGGACAACTAACGAGCAAAGTCAAGAGCGAATGGGAGAGACTCGGAGAGCTGTGGGAACTTTAGTGGCGAAGGCGAGAGGCAGAGTATATGTAACCCGCTCCATCCTAGATCTTAGCTGTCAAATTTGGGGAAACTCTGAAGTGAGGCGAAGAAGTAGGAGTGTGTAGGACAAATTGACCGCTTCCAACATCCCCTCACCCCACTCTCTATTTGTGACTTGAAAGGGGCAGTGCAATAGATTCGAAATAACGGAGTGGGAATTCATGTCGGTCTGGACGGCCACACACCACCACCACAAACCACGACCCAAATACATTTCTTAGCAAAGATTTCCGGGGGGGAGGGGGGGGGTTTCCGATTCTTTCCCATCCGACTATTATGGGTACAACCCTGGAACGAGCCGAAGGATCCGAATTGAGGTAAGTCCCAACCAAAGAGTATAAGAATTACCACCGAATCCTCGTGCCTCTAACATACCACTTTCCCAAATCACAAGAGGCAGTAGCAGCCAGTCTCCTAGCTAGGTGAAAACATGGCCTCATTTTCCTCGTTGGGATTGAGAGAATAGCGCATGTTGTATCCTTGAGGATGAAAGAATGAGATGCGGCCGAGCAGGGCGATACGAAGAGCAATGCCTCGAATTTTTCATATTTGTAGTGCGCCTTGTTGGACATAGAGATAGAAGTTTTCTTTGCGGCGTAGAAGGGTGTCAACGCTCTATAAAGAGCCTCCTCTCGTTCTACCAGTCCAACCTTGCCCCCCTTTAGCAACCTTCTAGTTCGATTTTATATATTTTTCTCCTTCCCTCTCCATCTTCGACTCTCGACATCCCTTCACTGTGCGGTCTCTATTGCCGTTCTTGATATCTATGCTCTGCCTCGTCAGCTGTACTCTAGCTGCTAACTTACCCTCGACTCGATAGGCAGCCTAGCCCTGGCAAAGCATTCTACACAATCTTTCCGAAAAAAGGCACCGAGACTTCCAAGAGCAGCGAGTTTGTTAAGAATATCGTCGGAACCGACCTCTTGCCCTGGACGAACCTCCAGGAACAACTGATCTCATGGACTGTGGAGGCCTCCCCTGATGAAGTTACCCTGATGCGAAACTACGATGATATTGAGAAAGTTGTGCCTTATCCCATGGAACCGCCGGCCCAGCCTGGTACCCCTAGGACTGTTCCTCGAACCGGTCGTCGTGATGTAGCTGAAAACCCTCCTACAGTCCACGGATATTTTGTCTTTCCCAAGGATGGCAAGAACAAAGATGAAACCGACAAGACCGAACTGTTCCTTCAGCAACTCTTTGGGGCAGAGCATATCGAACCCCCATTTAGATTTGATGATGAAGATGAAGGGCTTCTATACTGGCTAGTCGAGAATAGTAAGTGACACTTGCAAGAACTCATAGTATTACTCTGTACCACCCTTTCCTTTATATCCAGCATATTGTTTCAACTTGAGAGGCTTTTGATCAAGTACTTATTTGGCTTTTTTGTCGCAGGCAACGAATCCCAGCGTGACCAGGCCGCCAAAGACCCGGGAGTAAAGGTTATTGAGCCGAATAAGGCTTCCTTTTACAGGCTCCGCACCGCACGCAATTTACCTCCCGACAACCTGCATCCACTTCCATTACCGACAGCTAAACTCTCAAATACTATCGAAAACAGGGACATTAGTAATTCTACCTAGTTAGATGCTGTCTCGGAGCTAGTCGTTGTTAACCAGCCCAGGTGAGTTAGGAGAACAAACTATTACTGTCGAGGGGTGGCTATACTATAATGCCTAAAACATTTGATTATTAACCTCTATCTTAGTACTATTCCTAAATTAAAAGATGTTAAGAACTATGTACATGAGGGCAATAGCGGGCGAAACAGCTTCGTATATCATTTGGAAGAAGGTGTTACTTTTAAGGACCAAGTGGAGGCAGGAAACCATTTTTCCATATAGGGGAAGGATCAAGAATGATAGAGATACGACTACTAATCTGTCCTAAACTAGTCTGGTGCTTGTTTGTTTGGTCTCTTTTTTTTGTCTAGTATTGGTGGTGATGGATACCAATCAAGACTGTCCTGGAGTTTGTCAGTACACAGGCATTTGGCGGCCCGAGGTTCTCTAGACCGTTCTGGTATACTTCTTCCTCTTTCTTCTCCCGCTAGCCTTCATTACCCATTGGCCTTATAGTTAGTTTACCTAAAGGTATCGTAGAGAGCTTTGGTCTAGTCTTCGGGTCTTCCTTACTAAATATGATATCACGCTCTAGCGCAATAGGCGACGAAGAAAGATGTCCTGCGATGATAGAACAAAAGGCACTCTAGTGGTAGCACTACCTGGTACAATAGCAATATCCTGGATTTGCCTCAGAATCATAGCTTTGGATATTCACTGAGTACCCACGTCTCGAGGCGTAGGCTTTTATTTGCTAGCTGCATGGAGATAATAACGGCCCAGAAATACAGCAGCCCAAGCAGGAGCAGAGTGCAAATCCAGGTAAAGGGTCACTTAGAACACTAACATAGAAGACTAAGACGGCGAGAGTAAGGTTACTTGAGTAAAGGAAATCGAGATATGGAAAGCTCTAAGTGTATTAAGCCGTGGCTTAATTAAATATCTTGTATATAGTTTTGAATGCAGTATACGAATAACTTCATTTGTTAGATGCGGCTGAATAATCTTCAACCGGGCTGCAAATTCGTGAAACGGGAATTTCATTCTACCATAGTGAATTACAAAAACACTCTGCACTTGCCACGGCTCGGATGGGGTCTTTGACTGCTCTCGTCTCAAAGTTTTATTGAGTTGAGTTTCGACTTAAGAATTCTCCTTTCCAACTTAGCTATGATCCGAGCACGATGGTAGAAACCTAAAGTCAGCAGGATGGGCCGAAGCTTTTGCGCGTGGGGGATCTAGTATTGGTGATATCGAGGTTAATGCACCGCAGTTGTATTGAGGTTCCTTGAAGCAGCTATGCTTAGGAGATATCGCTCAACCACGACAACCCAAGTTTTTCCATCTCAATCGCTAATTGAAAGATGTAGTCTAGACTATGGAAACTGTCAGCTGATTCCTATTCCTCCAGATGGACTAGAGCTAACCTCTCAGTTTGCGTCTTCGCTTTGTGCACAGTCTCCCCCCAAACGTAGATGCCATGCCGTCTCACAAGAACGGCGTAGGTGTCCGGGTACTTATCCATAGCTTGCTCTAGGCTCTCCGTCAGATCCTCCTCGTGTGGGGTATTTTCAATCACTGGTATCCGTAACGTGTCGTGATAACCAAGACTTCCTTGTTTTTTATAGCCCTTGCCAATGCCTTTTATCTGTTCGATATTATTGATCTCAAAAAGAGTCGTTTTTGAAGACCGCTTCTCGAGGAGTAGGGTAACTAGGACGGCCCATTGAGAGTGTGTATGGATACAACATCCGGCATTGCGCTTTGTGAAAGCAGCAATGAAGAGGGGTGTGCACTGTGACGGCTTGAGGGAGGGTGGAGAGCGGAGGTAGACTCGGGATTTAGGGTCCTTTTGCTGGGAGAGAGCGAGGACATAGATGTCTTCTGGTTTCATAAGCTCTTTTTGCACGCCAGAAGGTGCGAGGTAAACCAGGTCACTGCGACACTATGTCGTTAGATGAAGCTTCTGAGCTGTTACGGGATTGAGGAGCCTACTCATCGCGGATGCTTGTTCCTCCACCAGTGCCCGTTACCCATCCTAGAGTCCAAAACTTGCTGCAGAGCGCCGGGATGAGGTTTGCGGGATGTTGGCTGTCAGAGGACCGGATAAGGTGGTCATTGTTGTCTGCGTGGACCTGTTCGAGTTGAGAGCTCTTTTGGGTCGCCATTTGGAAGTGGGGTCAAACTGGCACGCCTCCAGTTGTGATAGTTTGGAATGCGGCGGTGTAGTTATAGTAACTTATAAGTCAATCGCACTATTATTTCCTCAATGCCCTGTCCCGTACGAGTATGAAAAGTGCATGAGAAGTGAAGGCCCCGTTGCTCTGTTCTGGCAGCTGTTTGGCTACGCTGTGTGTTTTCCCACTCCCAGCTGCTGGTTTGAGTTTGAGTGGGGTGCTTGCACTTGCGCCGAGACGGCGTGGATGGCGTCAAGTTGTCGCATCGCTCCGTTCGCAGTATCAAATCCCCAATCGCAATGCAATAACTCTATCTAGAGGTACGTATATGCTTGGATACGTAGCCACTGGCAGTTTGCCCCTGTGACGATTGGGAGAGTCAAGGCAAGACGGCACTTGGAGGGCATGGCTGGCTGAGCCAATGCCGAGCAGCTCAAGCTAATAAGATCTGTCCTACAACGCCGCAGACGGAACCGGTGGGCGGGTATAAGCAAGGCTAATAAACTAACTTAAGGCAAGGAAGGGTTGGGGTAAGTAAGGGATGGATACAGTTACATGTGCATGTATATGTACCTTGTTATTTGATAATACTGTACAAAGTACACAGTGGCTGTTTGAAAGACGTCTTACAATTAGGAAAAGCATAATAAAATAAGTAACTGATAAGTTTCAGGTACAAGAGTAGCTCCAATCCACCTTTGCACTCAGGTAGACTAGAAGAGTAGACTGGCTACTAGACAGCAGCTAGACAGCAGCTAGAAGCTAGAAACGGTGGCCCAATTCGTGTGTTAGTGCGACGTATAGCTCTCACCAACTTGGCGCAGTCGATCTGCTTCGAAGCTATTCCATATAATGCCCGAGTAGGCAGGACACAGAGTAGGCTATTTACTAATTATTATTATATTCCGTCTAGTATGCTATAGTGCCCTCCAAATAATAATTAAAGTAAAATAGTCGAGGTGCGGTTGTGGCTGCGGTGTGTTGCTGCCCTGCGCTGCTCTTTCTCCGCTCCGAGCTCCCTGGAAGAGGACAGCTGTTAAAATCATACTTGGTGCCGCAACCTCCAACACCCGACGCCGCGTACATAACCTCACCATTACCTCCACCGACCTCGTCCCCGTCTTGGTCTCTTTTTCTTCCCTCTCCATCTTCTGTCCTTGTCCGCTCTGGAAGCATCACCAACTCCTCCCACCCCCAGACAACTCTATCAAGTCTTCTGTGGCAAGCCGACCATTGCGTCTCGCTCTCCCCACTAGGTTTGCACCTTCACCATGCGTTTCCACGCAACAGCAGCTTTCTCTGCTGCCGCTCTGCTGGCAGGAGTTAAAGCTGATGCACAATCCGTCCTGAGCGATGCTAGCTCAGCTGCCTCCAGCGCGGCCAGTGATGCGTCCTCCGTTGTCTCATCGGCTACCGCTGCCCCAGAGCTCCCAACCTTCACAGTAAGCTCTCCAAGCTACAAACCCCGAGTTTTTTCGGAATCCCATACCCTAATTGGCATGCTAACTCGTTCATTTGAAGCCCTCGTCCGTCAAGGCCGACTTCGTTGAGCAATTCACTGATGGCTGGGATGCCCGGTGGAAGCCATCCCACGCGAAGAAGGACACAACGGGCTCTGAGGAGGAATGGGCCTATGTTGGAGAGTGGTCCGTCGAAGAGCCCACAGTATACAAAGGCATGGAGGGCGACAAGGGCCTGGTTGTGAAGAACGCAGCTGCCCATCATGCCATCTCGGCCAAATTCCCCAAGAAGATCGAGAACAAGGGAAAGACCCTAGTTGTCCAGTACGAGGTCAAGCTTCAAAGTAGGTTGATTGTCTTCGATCGGGACTTCCTGCCGGTGCTAATAACCTTACAGAGGGTCTTGAATGTGGCGGAGGATACTTGAAATTGTTGAGGGATAATAAAGGTATGCGGTTCTGCCAGGATGCCTGCTACCCAAGCTTCATCAACTAACTTTATCAAAGCTCTTCATCAGGATGAGTTCTCGAACGTTTCCCCTTACGTCGTTATGGTTAGTCTATCCTCTCGTTTTTCTGTTCTCGTTATTAACAGTGTAATAGTTTGGCCCCGATAAGTGCGGCTCCACCAACAAGGTTCATTTGATCATCAACCACAAGAATCCCAAGACTGGCGAGTACGAGGAGAAACACCTTGCCGCTCCCCCAGCAGCCCGAATTGTCAAGACCACCGAATTGTACACCTTGATCATTCACCCCAACAACACCGCCGTCATCAAATTGAACGGCGAGCAAGTTAAGGAGGCCAACCTTCTTGAGGATTTCCAGCCTGCCTTCAACCCAGCCAAGGAGATTGATGACCCTAAGGATAAGAAGCCAGACACTTGGGTTGACGAGGCCAAAATCCAAGATCCCGAGGAGAAGAAGCCAGAGGATTGGGATGAGGATGCGCCCTTCGAGATTGTCGACGAGGAAGCCACCAAGCCCGAGGGTTGGCTCGATGACGCGCCTCTCACGATTCCAGACCCCGAGGCGGAGAAGCCTGCCGACTGGGATGAGGAAGAGGATGGAGACTGGGTCGCACCAACTGTTCCCAACCCCAAGTGCGACGAAGCGCCAGGATGTGGACCATGGGAGAAGCCAATGATCAAGAACCCAGCTTATAAGGGCAAGTGGACCGCGTCTTATATTGACAACCCAGCCTACAAGGGTACTTGGTCACCACGAAAGATTAAGAACCCGGACTACTATGAGGACAAGACACCTTCCAACCTTGAGCCTATGGGTGCTGTAAGTTTGAACCAGATACTCATGTTAACCAAACGAGGTGACTAACTTTCAATTAGATTGGTTTCGAAATCTGGACCATGCAAAACGATATCCTCTTCGACAACATCTATATCGGCCACTCTATTAAGGACGCTGAGAAGTTTGCCGAAGACACATTCTTCAAGAAGCACCCCGTTGAACAACTCCTCGAGCTCGCCGACAAGCCTAAGGAGGAGGAGAAGCCAGTCAAATCCCCATCAGACCTTGTCTTCATGGATGACCCAGTTCACTACATCAAGGAGAAGCTCGACCTGTTCTTCACTATCGCCCAGAACGACCCCATTCAGGCTATCAAGTTTGTTCCTGAGGCCGCTGGTGGTCTCGCCGCTGTGGCGATTACCCTCCTCGCCGTCATTGTTGGTGTTGTCAGCATGGGGGGTTCCTCTGTCCCGCCAAAGGTCAAGAAGGCCGCAGAGAGCGCTAAGGACAAGGCCGCAGATGCTAAGGACAAGGCTGCGGAAGCTGTCTCTTCAGGAGCGGATCAGGCGAAGGCTGAGGTGAACAAGCGTGCCACAAGAAGCACCTCGTAGATACTAAAATAAAAAAAATGAAAGGCGCAATAAGTTATGGATGTTGAACTGGGAAGGCGGAAGTTAGCAATTTGGACGTCAGCGTTGCATACTTTTGAAATTCCAGTCCTTGAAATCAATAATAAGGGTTTAGGACATAAGATGATACACTGGGCATAGGCCAGATATGTATTTTAGGCGTATAAAATATTAAGCACACCTTGAAACTCAACTTCAGCTCCTTATTACAGGTAGAGACATTGATAGTGATTATCTGACATGAAATCTTGCCAGGCTCTGCCTAGGACAATAAAGGCAGGATACTAATAGGTACAATAGCACTAAGTGGTGCCGCAGTTCTACCAGAAACTTATATTTTATCAAAGGCTACGGCCATATTCAAGAGTCTAGATATATCTAACGTGGCAAAGTGATTCCAGACATAAACAATACTTTGACTACACCAGGGCAAGCTGTTCTGCCTCTTTTGTCACAAGTGGTCATTGGGAAGCCGTTAGATGAGGGTTATTCACCAGTCAAAGAATGTGTTAGTCATATTTGATTATAGTTGTTTAGATCCCATCTAATTCCCCTTTGTGATTCTGAGCAAAGTAGCTCCATATAAACATGAATTCATAAACCCCGCTCATCCACACTCTAGGAGTGGAAAGCAGAACTGGCCCGCTCTGCTTTGCCAACATCCTAGATATGTTCCATCTGGAACTGCGTGCTTTCCTCGCTCACTGACGTCGGAACAATATCACCGTTTGCCTCTTTACTTTCTTCACCTCCGTCAACCTGAGCTGCCCACCTTTCTGGCATGATCCCCTTAAAATCGAACGTGCCCTTCGAACTCCGCACTACTTCTCCCTTCTCGGTGATGATCGCATCGATTAGGGAATGGGGCGTCACATCAAAAGATGGATTCCATACATCAATCCGCTGATCCGCAATCGCGACCCGAGCAGTGTGATTGACATCGACCTTTCCATCTTTATCCACTACAGCGCCGCTGATTTGCGTCAACTCACTCTTAGCTCGATCCTCGATTTTGATAGAAGCTCCGGATTCCGTCTCGAGATCAATACTTGTTGTTGGTGCGGCGACTACGAATTTAATACCGTGAGCTCGTGCTAGGACGGCAAGAGTGTATGTGCCAATCTTGTTGGCTGTGTCACCATTGCGAGCAACTCTGTCGGCGCCGACGATGACAGCTGATATGTTCATTTCTTCCTTTTTCCGGGCAAAGAGAGCTCCGGCCATGGAATCGGTGATCAATGTTGAGGGGATATTCTCGTAGACTAGTTCAAAGGCTGTGAGGCGGGAGCCCTGATTGTAGGGCCTAGTCTCGGTGCAGTAAGCATGCTCGAGATAATTCATCCTGTGGAGGCTGCGGATTATTCCAAGGGCAGTTCCGTGGCCAGATGTTGCGAGGGATCTATTAAATTTAGCCTTTGCTCAACGGACAAGCCAACTAGATCAACTGCCACGATCGAATGTTATTGCCTCCACTTTTTGGAGGGCTTTTGAGTTGGAAAATAATAATATATGAGAGTTATAGACATACCCAGTATTGCAATGTGTTAGGACACTGAGCTTCCTGTAAGTCCTATCAGGAGCCCCCTGCGTACCCGGTGGACTGGTAGTGAAATATCTCAACTCGTCGTCCTCGTTAACGGGTGTTAAAATTGGCATCTGCTGCCATCTAAGATACTCGGCTCCATATCTTCCAATGGCCAAGTTCGTAGCATGATCATCTTCCAATATCTTCTCCGCAACCTCTATATACGCTTGGCGAACATGAGAGCACGCAAGGGTCTGGTCAGGAGTAGTAGATGATGCGGCAGCTTCTTGAGTCTTCTTTTTGAGAAGCTTAATAGCGTTGGATAGATCAACAGCAGTGGGTCGACTTCCCATGAGGTAGTCCAGTCGGGAATTTATGTACTTGACAGTCTCAAGTTTCTGCTCAGTGGCTGGACGAGCATCAGCATCTTGTCTAGCACTCTAAATTCAGAAATACAGGGTGAACTAACCGTCTTTCTTATGCTCTAATTCCACAGCCAACGCAAGCGCAGCTACGATGGCAATGGCTGGGGCACCTGGTTTCATCATCTATCTTAGCTGTTGAAGCGGTAGCACGGCAGAAAATGAGATTTTACCTCTCACACGCATTGCCTTGATGCAATCAAATGCCTCCTCGCACGTCGACACATCGTCGTAGACAAACTCGTGGGGGAGCTTGAGCTGATCTAGGACTTGTAGTTTGCCCTTCTCATATTTGATGGCTTGGAGCCCCACCATTTCGGGGACAACTCAACAGTGGCAAGACGCAAATATAAATTTGCAGGAACCTGATAACAATACAAAGACTGCGCGAAACAAGTACAGAACCACGAGTCTCACGCGGAAAAAGGCCTGTTGCCACAAAACTTTGGGCTTGTGGATAGGCAAATATCAAAACAATCAATTGCAAGTCGGGCGGTTCAGGAAACGTGCTGAAGCAAGCCGACGAGAAGAGAAGCGACGGGTTTTGTGTCCAGACCGCCCCTTTTTTGCCACACCCCACCTTCCTTATCCGGGCAAGCGACCCAACAACGACAAAACACTTCTTCAACGACAATTTACATGTGGATGATATACGAAGTAGATTGAAGAGACATTCAAGCTCTGGTATCTTGTGATCAAGCTGGTTTCGATCCTAACCCTGGTCTACGGCGGTATGACAAACGCAACAAGTAAGTAATCGGAATTACAATAATGAGTTTAATTTACCCGCCTAGCTATCAAGCCAATTGATGGCTAGCAGTATCTATGGCATTGGGGTTGTATATTCTATAGGAACCATCCATGAAGCCAAGAAGTTGATGGTCATAAATGACCATCGTTGGTCTACATCGATTTTGAACTCGTTCTTTCCTTTACACGCAGCGTAAGGTTGGAGACCGAGCCCCTACCGACACACTGCAGCCGCCCAAAATAAAAATGTCCAAGGGGGGGGGGGGGATATCATAACGTCGTCGTCCACATCCAACATAACTCCAAGCGCCGGAATCCCATGTGTTGTTGCAAATATATTTTAGGGTACATAACCATCTGGAGTTGTGGTGTTGATGAGCCCATTTCTCGAGGTCTCGAATGTGGCGGCTAGAAGCGTGAAAATCAAGAACCTAGCCGCTGGCTTCTACTATTTCGATTGACAATCTCGCCAGCTCTCAAAAGAGCGCTAACGGGGTCAAGATTCATATCGTCTACTGAATTTTGTGCTCTCAAATCAGATTTATCGGCTGCAATAGCCATTGGCGATATTTGCGCGTTGTACCCACGGAATGGAGCCATGGATGAAAAATCTACATGGGGTGGGACTGGTAAATGCGATGGTTATTAGTAAATTATACATAAAGGCCTACACGGCAACAACTGCCAGCAACAGAAGCGGCGTGATAATGACTTACAATTAGGGGACTGCTGCGGGTTTGCCATAGCGGATTGGGGCGACAAAGACGGAGGTCTGAGGGGCGGAAGTTGATTGTCGGAGCTTCCTGAAGACATCGGGGGAAATAAGGATGGAAGGGGTAAGGGCCTGTCGTGCGGTGGCTCTAGAGGCGTTCGAGGCGCAAAGAATGCAGAGGAATTCGGGCTGTCAGATGATACTGATCCTGTCGACCTATTCCCCAAATTCGTTGGTTCGGGCGTTAGCATTGGCGGCGGATGGTTGTGCACTGTGCGGCGAGGATGCTGGGCCGAACCAGGAAGGCTGATTGAGTCTACAATAGGCGTACTGGCGTAGCTCGATCGCCGGTCATAGACATTTGCCAACCTAGGAAGCTTCTGGCCAGAACTATTGGCATCATCGGGCTTCCCATCTCGCCAAGGAAGTCCCTGCTGGATCCCACCAAAGATGGATTCGCGGTATCCAGGTAAAAGTGTTGGCGAAGGTGACCCCTGGCCACTTGGACCTCTATGGGGGAAATCCGACTTCGCGACGGGGGTTGATGCAGCCGTAGTATTATCGACGATGGACCACGGACCTGTACTTGAACCTGATGACGGGACACGGCCTCGGCCTCCTGAAGCTTCCATAGCCGCCTGACTTGTAGAACTGTCGGCCGTTCCACTGCTGGTATTACTTTGGTAAGTCTCTAGTTTGGGCCGCTTCGCGGCATCCGCATCCGGCGCTACAAAGTCTCAGCTCCAATTCTCGTGTGTCTTGAATTAGACCCCTAGAACCTAGAACATACCTTGCTGCTGGCTGACTTGCTTAGTCTTGAATTCAGTCAAGTACTGCGAGTACTCTCTATAACTGCTCGTTTTCTTGTATTCTGCAAGTTCCTGGTTGTATTTCTCTTTCGTCGAAAACGCTTGCTGCTCGAATGGCTCCTTTTCCTCAGGGGAGAGATTTTGCCAATTTTCGCCTACTAGCTTTGCTATCTCCGTGAAAGAGAGATTTCTACCCTTCAGCTCTTCACGCATCTTATTTGAGAAGATAACATATGCCGAGGGAGGCCGCTCGGGAGCATTTTCGTCTGGTTTGGGATGCCGTCTGTACTTCCTCTTCGCGCCATGAGATGCCCCGCCTCCATCCTTAGCTTCTGCTTTTGCCCCTCCGAGTCTCTGATCTTCTGATTGCCGGTCGTCGGCTGGTGTGTGTCTAGGAGATGATAACGCCCGGTCCGAGGATATGCCTCTCGAATTGGCAATTTTTCTTTGGAGCTTCCTGCGGTGGCCAAGTTTAACGCCAAGCGCATCAAAGTCGGATTCGGTGATGTCAAGGATCGTCTCCCAGGTATCGAAGCCTTGCTCGATGAACTCGTCGAGGTATTGCGAAATTCCCAGCTCCGCGAATATCTCCCCCAATTTAGTCATACAGTTGGTGTGTCTGGAAATCGTCCAGGACTTGGTTCATCAGGAGTCTGTTTATCGTACCTTAGCAAGGGCCAACTAGCTCTCTAATGTAGTAAAGGCCTACCTGGATATCGCGAAGGACTCTTTAAGATCCCAAGCTATTTTGTTGGATGGCTGCCTCTCACGGTAATCGAGAACCACGGCAGTTTTGAGCGAACCGTCTTTGGTAGGGCATCGATGTATCTGCAAGTCCCGCGGCTCTTATTAGTGTATATTGTTTCGACTATGGTGAGGAGTTCGAGGTTGGGGTGTGGGCGGTCGAACCCCTCAGTAGATATTCGGACAGGGAAATGACGGGTATGGAGGGCGCTGATGTGATAATCTCGAGCATTCGGATGGGTTGAAGCTGGTCGCGCTCAGCGCGGAGCGAGTATAAAGATTGTGGGGAATTGGTACTACTATTCTAGAGAAGTCAGCAAGGCCATCCACTGTATGGAATATTTGCAGCCATACCACAGAGTGTAGTGGAATATGCGGAGATGGGGATTCGGATCGGCTATCGAAGCTGGATCTACCAGACAACTAGTAGGCGGAATAAAGCGCTGCCTGGCGTGGCAGTCGAATGGCGCATCTGTGGACAATGGAGCACGGGAAGGCGATCGAGGACGAGCGGTTCGTGATCTGCGAGAGAGGGGGCGATCTACAGCAAAGATGCTTCTGGGAAACTGGGGCACCGTCGGAGAGGTGCGGTAAGGTTCAGGATGGGTCGCAAAGAATGGGCTCGATTCGCTAGGGCGTGGTCCGAAGGTAAAAGGACAAATCACGATGTTATGATTTGGCTTGGCTGTTCCGGGAGACTGAATCCGAGGCAAGAATCGAAAGGCGCTGCGTGTTCTGTGCCTGTGATAATAATAGGATAGGTGGGTAAAACACCAAACGGGAATTACAATGGGGAAGAGGGGCGAATGTGAGGCGGAGATGTGGTAGTGGTATGTAGTATGTAGGTCCTCGATTCGAAGTGTCGAGGTTGTCGAAGTTGTCGTCGGGGAGACGGTTGCAAGTGGTAATTATTTAGCAAATTGCAGGTTACGGAGCATTTCCGGTAAATAATGTGAATGCGTGGGAGAAATCCCATCAACGCAGCATGCCCAGCTATTGTTATTTGATCCCGATGCCAATGGCGTGGGATAATAAGGACAATCGTGCATGGGGCAAGGGGCGAGCAAGGTGGGGGGTGGGAAAGGGAGAGAGACACTATAATAATAATAATAATATTAAGACCTGACTTGCTGCGCAGTACGTTCGTACGTAGCTTATGACTTGTCCTACTTCGTAATCCATCGACGTCGACAACATGGATATGGAATAGCGGGCAGCCGCAGAAGAGGAATCGAGGAAAAGAGTGTGCATTAGCAGAGTAGGACGTGGAGACGGAACCCAGACCGATATTCAACAGCTGGTAAAGTTCGTAGAAGACCCGATGTAGATCGCCAGGGACGGGAACCCTGTATGGAGATAATCACAACTTGTACACTCGTCGTACTTGTACTTGTACTTGTACTTCGTACTGAAGACTACGGATGCTCATAAAGGGATAATACTAGAAGCCTAGGACGGTACTTAATAGCCCACGGTTTTGAGTTGAGAACAATAAGAAGATCTGTACTCGTACTCCGGAAATCTATATATAAAAGACAGAGCTGTGGCGAGTTGTGGCTTCGTACTCCCTACCTACGACGTAGATGGTACTAATACTTTACACACTCCGCCACTTAAAACGCGTCCAACTCCCGCGCCTCAATCATCGATCTTCATAACTTGACAACCACCCGGCGGACACGATCCCATGCTGTGCTACGCTCCTACGCAATAGCCGCAATAATATCCCGACAACCTGGAAACCTGTCGTCTCGGATGGTCCTCTGATCACTGCCCACGCTATCCTTCGCCGTAACCAACCTCTACCTTCTCCTTACACCGCGCCAACGTCTAGCCTTGCCACAATGGCCCCATCAAACGATGTATCGGCGCAGGAACATACAAGCGCCGTGGATAGTGCTGCCGATTTGTCTAAGGTACGTGGTTTACAATATTGTCTTTTGCGATTCTTGTCGTATTACGTTCCTGCACCCTCGCCCGGAAAGGACACTACCTACCTACCTTAGGCAGTTGGCGCTGTGCCCATCTCAGTGACGACATGAGCTGCATGCTCACTGCCTTGGCCATAGGTTGGCCCCGAGTTTGGTCATGCAAGTGATGCCTGGTACATTTGACGTGCCGCCAATTGGGGGGTTTGGAGCTCAGAGCTCTGACTTCAATATGCATGAAAAGTATTCTACATTATTGGCTTATACCGCACTCGGCATCTTGTGTTGCACTCCCCTTACTTCTTGCTAACGCCACCAAAGGCCTGGACGGAACTCTTAAAGTACGTGTTGTTCAATGTCGTCATTCGCATTTCAAGACCTCAATTTGGTCCAATTCGGCACCACCATGCTCTCTCCCTGAGCACTGGGGACTTTTGAAGTGCAAAACTTTTCCCTCGGCTTTTGATCCTGTCTGTTGCAGCTCGGTACTTGCCAGGTTGCAGATACAATGGCACTAGGAGCTGGGAGTTCCCATTCCCTGCTTCCCCGAAGAGCTAGCTGGCAGCTCCTAGCTTCCCGAATTATCCCCAGACAGCCATCTAGGCCCTCCATTAAGTATTACATTGCATACATGACGTACTAACATAAGTCATTGTGTCTATAGGGGCGAGAAAACCGCAGAAGCGCTTGAAAAGAGTCTCACCCCTCTTGAAAAGAAGATCGACGATTTGCTCGCAAGTCTGGAAGAACCCGAGCAACTAGCGGATGCCGGAGCAGCCTCCGAGCAGACGAATCCCGAAGGCGGGAGCAGTGAAGATCAGGGAGGAAAGCCGTGAAAAATTGTATCGACGCTGGAGAATGCCGTTCTTTGGTCCACGCTCCAACTTATTGGCTGGGTACATTTTTTTCTTGCGGAGGCAAGCTGCGAGCAATCGGTCACCTTGATCGGCGACTTCAAATCAATAGCCGTTGGTCCGGTTTCATTCAGAGGCACGCGGAATACCATACCTACTAGAGTAATAATCTAGAAACTCTTCCGCAACAAAGCTGATAAAATTTATCTCGTATCTGTGATGTTAGCTATCGGCTATCTAATACCTATAACGTAAAGCAAGCTAGAAGAGTGTCTATAAACGGCAAATCATTCTAGGGTTATTGGTTACGGGTTCCTTAGTTGCATTTACCGATAATTTGTTTTCTGAGGAAATAGCGGGGGTAGTTGATCGGCGGTTGTTGATTGCTAAACTGACGTACGAAGTCCTGATGTCAGTATAAGCCTAAAGTAGCTGGGGGGCCTGTAAAGGGAACAAGCTCCGGCCAATGATTAATCAACAATCACCCTCTACCAAACTTGGCTGAACCTTGGATTGTGATCTTTTGGTTGCAGTATAGGCTAGCTATCAACCTTATTAACTAGCACCTTCTTCCTTCTCCACTCGGCTATCTTCTCTCTTATCCTCTGAGCACGGCATTTTGAATTTGCATGCACATTATCAGTGAGTCTCTAGTACCCTCCATATACGTAATGGTACCTTGCCCATATATGGCAGGCATAAGTTCAAAGGTCCGTAATGTACCGGAGGAACCTCTGTCTTTGATTTAGGAGAATGTGTTGTACCTAGAACCCAAGCCCAGCACCCCGCTAGCTCTTGCGAGTACTTACGATATAGCACATTGCCATATCTTAGATTGCGGGGTTTGCATTGATTTACCATATGAACTCTCCCTACCCATGAATATTTCGTATAGTATATAGAGTACTATGTAAAACCAAAAGCGCTAAGTTGCCGGAAATATACCAGGAGTTAGACGTCAAGCCTCGTGAACTTTGGAGTAGAATTATAGTCGTAGAATCATAGCTTCTTATAGTAAGATATATTTCATGACATTAATTATTGGCCAAAGCATACAATCCCGATCTACTCCCTTCTTATGCGTGTCCTGCCTTCCCATGCAATCCCTTAAAAATGTCGTATACAAAACACCTCGCTATGCCAAGACAAAATCTGCCTTCAATCAAGTCCTTCGCCATTTAATATGCTCTTCAGAATACCCGCACCGAGCCCCTCAACAGCCTGTGCGATCTCTTTCTCCCCTACACAACTACCAACCCGTTTCTCACCCCCAGTTCCAACACCAGAACCAAACTTCCGAGCTCTCTTGCTCGGCGTGCTTAGCGCTACAAACGAGCCGCTTCTCCCATCAACCGCACTTATCAGAGACAGCGTTTCAAGACTTCCAATGACATCCCGAAATTCCGTGCTTGTAAGAGGATGAAGAATAGCATCGCGTGTACATAGCATACAATAGACATCATAGAGAGCTTTGATAGTAGGGGCCACATTGTTGGATTTTGAAGGGGTTGCCATAACATCCGCCGCGGCTGCCCTCTTGCGCTTTTCGAGGGCCACTAAGGCGCATAGCGCAGCCTTCTGCTGAAGATTTAAAGTTTTTAATCGCTGATTTGCTCCATTACCAAATGTAGCGGAAGTGATTTTGTTGACATGGGCGATTGTCGCTCGAGGAGCCGTCTCAACGGTGAGTTCAGCAAGCGACTGGGCAAGTGACCTCTGCGCAGTCATATCATGGTTTTTTGAGAGGCCAACCGGCGACGATAAATTCGCATTCTCTTTCAGAGGTCTTTTGCTTGGAGAGCATAAAATCATCCGTTCGTTGAGTGCCTGTTCGTGTTTTTGCCTGACCTCCGCTTCAATGACATCAATTGCACGCCGGCAAATATCAAAGGCCTTGCGCAAATCTCCTGTCTGACTTGAGACTTTCCGGGAGCATAATTCGATAGCCGCAGGATGGAGAAATGGTACATAGTCTGGCGTAGGGCTGTCTTTGCTCACAAGAGTCTTTAACCGGGCGGTGATGATAGATTTGATCTGAGGTGCGGAGTATGGAAGAAATGGAAGAAGTTGAGGCTTCATATTGCGGGCCTTTAGGCGAGGTAGGAAGCGATCGGTCAGATCCAGAGCATTCGCAATTCCAATCAATATGAGGTGCGATGATTTTTGCAGAGACCATTCAAACAGCTTGTATAATATCTCCAAGTCCAGAGTGAGGACATGATCAATCTCGTCCAAGGTGACAACGTAAACCGTCTTCGATTTCTTCCTGGGAGCGAATATGCTTTGCAATGTCTTGGCTTCATCGCCTTCCAGAACCTCGAGATCGTCACACAAGGCCTCCAGCAAAACGGGGTAGATGTCACCCGATGTCTTCAGACTCATGCAATTGACATACGCCTTCTTCACTATTGGAGATGTTTCGATGTCGGTCGTGATCTCGCTGACCATAGCACTTTTGCCAGTTCCCGGTGGACCACTGACATAGATACATCCCCCAGTTACATTAGCGATGCGATCTTGGACGAAATGGGTCAATTCCTGATTCTCCGCATCTCTTCCAATAAGCTTCCCTGGTTCCGAGCTGCGCGTAAATAGTTGTCTCGCCCGACTGTACACAGTTGTGATTGATCCGTTGGGTGTTACCGGTGTTCGAGGACCTCGTGGTGTGAGGGCTTTGCCAATAATAGTAACGCGATGCCGAGGGGTAACCGGCGCCTTTTTGGAGAGTGCGTCTCGATGTCTTGGTGTTTGAGGAGTTGGTATTTGGGGGAATTCCGAGTTTTCGTCTAAATGGAATCAGCGCAATTCACACTTTGGACACATCCATTTCATTATTGGAGACCTTATACATACCGTTTTCGGCAGATAAGCCCACTGTATTTGTACCGAGGCCATGCTTGATCGTTCTCGATGTTGTTGAAATTGGGCTCGAAAGCGTGTCATGTTGGGGACGCGCACGATTAGAGCAGGAAAGAAATGGGTTCTTGTCCTTGTTGTGGTCACTGAAGATCTCGACTCGAGCTTGACGTTTGGCACGCGGAGAAGATAACTCGGATTCTTTTCGACGGTCAGCTAAGCGCCCTACGAAATCTAGAATTGGGGGGAATTGGAGGAAAGAACGTACCTGAGGCGGTAGCGCTTCTTGTTCGCTTTCCTATGGCCATGGCTAATGGATAAGGAGCTCCTGCTTATTGTGTCGGCGGATATAGGAGGAAGGAGGATATGAGGGCCTTGAAGATGTTTTTGGGGAGGAAGGTGGAGGTGGAGGTGGAGGTGGAGGTGGTGAAGGTATTGGTGGTGGTTGTGGTGGGAAGCGCGAAGGAGAGTTGATTCACCAAGGGAGTGGAGAGGTTGGATGTACTTTCTCGTTGCACTTTACGCGTTCGACGCGACCGACCAGAACGCGACCACGGAACGCGACACCGCCACCTGTGGCTAGTGCAAAGTCACGTGCTGTGCACCTTGATCGAAAACCTGAAGGCATCACTGTGTCTAGGGTTTTGCACAAAGTGCTGGTTAATTAGTGATTTTGACTTCTCTGTTGGAAATGCCCCTCTACATTAAAATGTGCATTGAGAGATGTCTAATCAGACGTCTACGCGCCGTGCTCCAAAGTCGGTACATACTGCTATGTACTGATAGCCCGAGTACGGAGGCAAGGTACCAGGGATGCGGGTCTCGGGCGCAATGGCGGGCGCTTCGCCCCGAGGATCCCGGGAGCGGGTTGCAGCCCACCAACTCGGGAGAGGCGTGAGTCCTTAGGTGCTTCGTACTGTGTACTCTGTACTCTGTACTGTACTATGTACTCTGATCATACCACGCCGCAGTTACTGCTGTGTGATGGCACGCATATACGGATCTGATACGGGCTTAGGCCGGTACGGGAGTGGCTATGTAGGCACCTTAGGTAAGTGCAGCAGCTTCTAGCTTGCTTGCGTGCCTACTCCAGTCTCCGGTATGGAATACATGTGCCTTGACGAAAGGCACTTATGCCTGTACGAGTAGCTGGCTACAAAGTATTTGGCTACATAGGTACTTACCTACCTACGGAGTGCGTGCTTTGCTACTCTGCTAGACTGCTACTCGTACTCTGCTACTCTGCTGCTCTACGCCGTAGTTGGTTAGCATCCAACTCTATCAACGCTGAACACTGAACAGTGGCGCCCTATTTGTCCGCTATAATCTCGGGCCTCGAGAGTCAACGGCCCCAGAGCAGCTGCCAATACCAATACTTTTACCCTCGGCGGCTAGGAATCATATCACCTCAACGACGAGTCCCCGACTGCTGCAGAATCTCTGTAGCCGCCGGCACTACCAACGACTGCTACCACCCTCCCCCTACTGCGTGGACACTTTATTAATGTGGACATGCCGAACCTGTGTCGCAGCCCAGGCGCTTTGAGCCCGCCAATCATGCCCGCCGCAGTCTCGCGCGCCCAGTCGGACCCAGAAAGCTGGCTCTGCTGCTCCCAATCCCAACGCGAATATGTCGTCGCTGCCCGGGCTGGATCGTCGTCCTCTTGTATCATATCTATCCTCGCGATCTGCTCTCTGATGGGGGCCGCGCATCTCTCCTCGTTGCCACTTCTCGACTTTCGCCCTCGCCCGCTGGCCTCCCATCGCGGCCGCAGCTGACCGGCCTTCTTTGATCGCCCAAGTCCCTCGTATCCAGAGCACAATAGCCTCCCCGCATTGATCATCTGTGCCTCTCGCGACAACCCCACGACACCGGTACTGTACCTTACCTTGCGCCCTATACCTTACCCGTCGACCGTCCCTATAAATAACACAACACATCACAACACTGCGTGCATCAGTTAGCGAATCTTCATTCATTGGGTCCCTCCCGCCTGCGTACCTGGCCATGGCCGCTCGTCATGGAAAACCCGAAGAGGAGCTCTTCCTGTCGAGACCTTCGAATAATGGCGAGGATAGTCCTACTGTCGAGCCTCTGAGGATCAATAAGCCGAAAAGCCCACAGCCAAACCGAACCAACTATCCTCCGCCGTCCAGCTCCAGCTCGAGCAAGCTCACATTTCCTCTTCCTCCGGGCGCTTCGAGCTCAGCGAGTCCTCTACCGTACCCGGACGACGACGATTGCTTCCAAGCTCCCCTCAAATCTCCCCGACCGCACCGCACGCCATATCCAGACGACCGAAAACCGAGTCAAGGTCAAAGGAGGACGGGTTCAGGAGGATCCAGCAACGAACAGCCCCGACCATCACCGACCAGCCGGACAGCCTCGAATGATATAACCCCTCGATTGACCACAAGTCCCGTCGACAAGCGAGGCCCTGGGCTGGCAGAAAGGCGCGGGACCGCCCCAAAGCCCCTCCCGGAGTCTCCAGGCCCAGATATTCCAGATAAGGAGGGTCTTTTTGCTAAAGCTCCCAGCCGGGACCCCAAGCCTGCGACCGGCGCCAGGCGCCCCTCACAGCCCGCTGTGCCTTCGTATCCCGACTATCACCAGAAATACTTCCCTCCTCCCACCTCAGGCCCGTCGGAACTCGATGGACAGGTGGCAGGAAACGATCATTTGATTGCCCCAACCCCAAACACAATGAACCGGTTCTCCTCCACGGCTTCTACATCTACAACACGAGCAACAAGGGGCTCTCCGCCGCCTCCCGAGACTCCGATTATTGGTCCTGGCGAGCAACCTGGTGGCGGTATTGAAGCTCGATATGCAGCGGCAGGAATATCTGGAACAGCTACGCTAAGCAGTCTTCAAGCACAAAATGCGGCTGCTGCTCAACGAGCAAATCAGTATGGGCCTCCGCCCGTCCCACAGTTGCCACAGTCCCCAGGACTCCCATCGCAACAACACATCCCCAGGCCTTGGACACCGACGGAGTCTCCAGATAATCAACCACATGGCCCACCTACCGTATACCAAGGCCCGAACCAGGTGACAACTTCTTCCCCCTCACCTCCCGCGCAGCAGCAACCTGGGAGGCAAGGCTCTGCCCCGGTGCCAAATGCGTTTGAGCAAGATTTCCAGCGTATGCAGTTGTCACCATCGCCCCCACCGGCTTATTCAAGTGTAACGCCTGGCACCAATGGAGCGAGCAACGCCCAAGGTTACCCGGCTGAGAAGCGTGCCTCTGCCGCTCCGGCTGCGGTTAGCACAGCTCCTAAGCCGAATATTGCTGCTCCTTTAGCTTCACCGGCATTGCAACATCCAGGCCACCCCGCGTTCGCGAACGACCCGAGAGAGGAAGTTGCAAGTCCGCAACAAGTCCCCCAACCTGCTCCTGTGCAGCAACAGGTAGTCAATGCTCCAAATGCTTCACCATTTCAGGGTGCCGGGCCTAGCTCACCCCCGCCTCTCCCAGAAGGGTGGATTGCTCATTTAGACCAAAACTCCGGCCAATACTACTATATCCATCTGCCAACACAGGCAACCCAGTGGGAATTTCCTAAAGGGCCAACTCCACTAAACCATGATGCTGCCCCTCTGTCACCTACGCTCTCCACCTACGGAAATCCGTTGGCATCACCAGGGCTGAGTGCATTTGGCAAGACTCCTCTTGGTTCCCCGGGATTTCCCCCGCACACTCCTGGCTATGCCGAGAGCATCATGAGCATGGCCTCCCAGACTCCTACTGCGGCAGGTTTCTCGGGGCCTCCGCCAAGTGCTGGTGTTGACATGTATAAAATTGCTCCCACCAACGGGGTTTACTTCGGGCCTTATCTTCGATATGTGAACATGGACATGGAGAGGGGCATATGGCTGGGGACTATTCTACTTGTTACGGACGGCTTACAACCACCTACCATTCACATCCACCAGAGTGCTGATTTATCACCTAACCCTCGCCAACTAAAGCCAAATCCAATATTCACACATCAGCGATGGGTATTTTATAGGTATGATCTTGATCTGCAGATGGGAGATGGTCCTGGGGATAAATGGACCTATGCTATAACCTCGCATCTTGGCTGCACACGCTATGAGTTCTTGGTTGCTGGTCGCTACGAAACCAATTGGAGATTCATCGCGCATTCAGGAAACGACTTTGCGATGAATACGAGCGTGAATGAGCGTTCTAAACTTGGGGGAATCGGATTTATGTGGAAAGACATTTTACAAAAGAACGTGGAGTGCGGCGGCTTCCATGTTCAACTAGGCTTGGGTGATCAAATATACGGAGATAGGTTATGGAAAGAAATTCCACTACTCAAGCAGTGGCTTGCTATGAGCGGCAAGGATATTCGGAAAAGCGCAGCTTGGACTGCCAGACACGAGGAAGATGTTTCTCATGCCTATTTCCATTACTATACCAGTCACTTTGACCAGCCGTATTTGAGAGAAGCCTTTGCGCAAATTCCACACGTCCTCCAGATCGATGACCATGACATGTAAGTAACCCGTACCTCTTCTCGTATTAGTTGCTAATTGGTATCAGATTTGACGGATTTGGGTCGTATCCCGAGTACATGCAGTCTTCCAATATGTTCAAGAACATTGGGCGTATCGGCATTGAGATGTATCTTCTCTTCCAACACCACACCACGCTTGAGATCCTTCGCAACGTCAGCACCGATACAGACCTTTTCACCATAACGGGATCGGGATGGCATTTTGTGAAATATCTGGGTCCTGCGGTTGTGGTAGTAGGACCTGATTGCCGCTCAGAACGCAACCAACGCCAGGTTTTGGCAGGCCCGACATATCAAGGGCTTTTCCCAAAAGTTGCAACTTTACCGCCTAGCGTCCAGCACTGCATTTGGATGGTATCAGTGCCAATCATATATCCACGACTTGACACCGTGGAGAGCATTGCTCATACCATGGCTACTGGCAAGAAAGCGGTGACTGGAACGTACAATTTGCTTGGCAAGGTCACAAGCTCTGTAGCTGGCGTAGTAGGTGGAAAGGACGCTGTTGCATCTGGCTTTTCACAAGTAAAGAAGGCAGTCGGAAAGTCCGGGCTTATGGGCGGAGTACTCAACACCTTCGGCGACATCGATATTGCCGATGAACTTCGAGATATGTGGACGCACGAGTCAAAGGACCTCGAACGAACATACATGATCCGAACCCTGCAAGGTATTGCGCATCAGAAGGGTATCCGCATGACCTTCTTATCCGGAGGCAAGTAATTTTCGCTCTTTGGTCACCTCACAATGCTAACCAATCATGTGTAGATGTCAATTGCTGTGGTGCCGGCCTGGTACACGATCCAAGCCATCCAAGCGACCATAAGACAATGTACCAAATCATATCATCGGCAGTTGTAGCCGCACCTCCCCCGTCATATGTCTTGAAGATGCTGCACAACAACAAGCCGTTGTATGTCCCACAGAATGGACAAAAGACTACCAATCAAGTCTCGGATACTAAGGAAGATATGATGGAGATCTTCCAGACCGATACTAGCGGTGGCCCTCGAGAGATGAAAAAGCTGATGGGACGGCGAAACTATGTTGCCTTTGTGGCATATGACCCAGAGGCCATTGCGGGGACAAATTATGCGGCGAGCGTGCATAGTGGCGGGCATGGGCTGGCGAAGCTCAGTCTCGCAGTAGACTTTGTGGTTCAAGGAGATAGCGGGTTCACTCCACCAACCAAGTACGGGCCCGTAATTGTTCCCAGTCTCGAGTTTGGACGATGAAACGGCTTTTTTAACGACAGCGATCCTATTTTGTTTTCTGGATGATCTGGCGTGAGCATCTGAAGAGGAGTTGTAGGGTAGCGTTGGACCTTAGTTCGTCTCTTAAGCCTTATGACGTGAATAGAACAGATTTGGTATCAATTGATATTTCTTAAGACACGCTATAATTATGTAGTACTGTCTATCCGATATTACGCTTTTACTCCCTCTATGAATCGCCATTTAAATACCAAACAGTGCCTTTACCTGTGCCAACGTATCGTCAGGGCCTTTAACAGTGTGCCCAATCGTTCTTGGATCCGAGAATATCTCAAAGTCGTTACCGCCTTGGTATGTCTTGTCACCAAAGAAGTGAACTGTTGTATATGCGACCCCGCCGGGCAGCTTAGCCTCGTTCTCCAGGTGGTTTAGACAGTAAGTCTTGTCCCAGCCCTTGGGGAAGACATCAAACGAGATTTGGCCACCGATCGAATATCTATACAAATTGGCACACGTTAGCAAAAAGCCCTTCTTCTAATGAACAGCAAAGAGCCAAACAGGTAGTACTAACGTCAGCCCCAAGTGCGCGAACTTCTCCCTTAGTATCGCCACAAATGTCTCGCGGATCTTATGTTCCTTATCATACTTCTCATACTCATCCCTCTCCACCACACTCGCATTCCTGCCAATAGGGCTGACATTAATCATGCCATTTCGGAACTCAATGAATGTGCCCCTCTTCACGGGGATATCCAGATCCGCCACATAATGCAGTATGAACTTCACCAGCTCCTTATATTTCTCTTCGCCAATCCATTGGATAAAGGAGGTCGAGGCGAGGGGGGCGCCTTCCTTGTATGCAACGAGTCCATTCTCGGGGAAGCAGAAGTCGAACAGCGAGGTGACGGGGACGGAGGCAGAGCCTAATTGCTCTTGTTGTTTTTTGAGGTCAGAACCGCCAACATATCCCACGGCTACTTTGTGGCGGAGGACGGAGAGGAGTTCGAGGATTTCGGGTGATACCGACTAGGGAAGTGTTATTATTGTGAATTTTAAACTGTAGAGCAGCACAGGGAGGAAGCTGCGTACTCGACGGGCAGGGGTGAGCGTGTCGTCCACATCGAATAAAACGATTGTGTTGGCCATTGGCCGCTTGTCAAGCGGGGGGAAAACTGCTGCTGCTTCCGACATATTGGATGGTGAAGGAGATGTTGAATGGGTGGGATGGAGGGAATTTAGGAATTCCAGTTGAAGTTGGATTTTGTGATCTGGCGGTCAGTTTATATGTTGACGAGTAATGGAGGGGCTGAGTTGTCCTTCGGGAGTGGTGGGGGAGGAGGGGTACACAAGCGTCGGTGATTGGTCAATAGCTGGAGCAAGCTACGGACATGGCTCAGGGACAGGTCACGGGATTCTGAAGGTGAGAGGTACCTAAGGTACCTAGGTACTTCTATCATCACCATCAACCATGGTGAGGACTTGTTAAATGTTAAATGTTGCTTTATCTGATTACCAAACCCCTTAAAATTGGTCCTATATTCGAAGACAGTTGAGGATTTTCATGGCTTTAGACCAGCCTACATTAACTTATATTACCTAACGTCAATTTTCTTCCATTCCATAGCCTTTCCGTCGTCCACATTGAGGGAATCAAGCCTTCGTGGCTACGCTGGCTGCGCCCGCGTTTTCAGGTGTACCATGGCCACTCAAGCGCTTCTTATTAACCAAACGAAGTCCGCCCACCAGCATAATGAGAGCCTCCAAGCCAAATACCACAGCCAAGGTAACCAATGCACCAATCACACCGGCAACTACCTTTGAAACGCCGCCAGATGATGATGGAGACGATTTAGAGGAAGTAGACGATGCGGTTGAGTCAGCCGCAGAAGCACAAACGCCGGTAGAGTTTCCGCACGCGTTACACCAATGTACCTGATCCCCAATGGCAAATTTATTCATCCCGTCGACAAACCCAGTCCATGGGATGAGGGTCGAGCTTTGATCACCCCCAAAGAGCGGATATGGAGTCAAGGGGTTGCCAGCAGCGGTGCCATTGGAGAAAAGGAACCGGACGGAGATTTGGTCATTTGATGGGTAGGACGTTTTTGAGACTGTCGCATTGGTTACCAGCTCGAATACCATCGACGAAGCGTAATCGACCAACCCAGTAAAGTTTTCTGACGCTTTGGGGAGTTGGGCGAGACCGAAGAAGGAGAAAAAGCTCGCGTATGCGCCGAATTCGATGGAGATTGGTGCCTTTGACTTGCCAACGATCGTGGAGTTTAGATCTTGAACGATTTGTGCCTAAACTTTAATTAGCCACAGGAAATATGTTACTCAACGATAACTTCTGCTAGTAAAACAAACAGCCCGAGAACATCGGACTACTTAATAGGGCTATAAGGCACAGCAGTATCTCATTTCGAAGGAGTAGCTCGGGAATTTTAATGAATGAGAACCCCTACCTGGGGTCAAGATAATATAATAAGGGAGTGCTTACCGCTAGAGTGCTACCAGAAATGGCACGGATAGGTTCGGATGCATTGAATGCTAGTTTGTATTCATGATCATCCGCAAGAGTTCGGAGCTGGAAGAGCGCCTCATCGGTGAGAAGATCGCTAGACGGAATGCTCGAGTTATGGATGGTGGAAACGTGGACCAAGTCATAGACTAATATTTGTTAGAGATATTATTATTTCCATAAGCCAGTTGGTTGCCAAAACCAACGGCCTTGAAAGAAATGTGCCTTTCTCTCCATCCTAATAACGTGGACAGTATGTCTATAAAGCATATAACAATATAGTGCTAGGTATAAAGAGAGGTTTCCAACGACTGGTGCAAGGGCGGGTGAAGGACTTACTGCCGTATGCATTTTTGAAAGTATCCGTTTCAGCCGTGAAAGTGCCATTGATTACAGGCAAGATGCTCTTGTAGAAGCCGGCAGTGGAGCTCAACTTATCCAGATACTCCTGCGAGTAAAAGTAGCTGTTCGAGCTGAGAATGGCATTTTGGCAGTTGCTTTGGCCTTGCAACCAGACATTGTTTTCGGAATCGGTCCCAGAAGCTGCGGTGGCAACAGCGCTCACGGGGATGAATTGCAAGCCGCTTTCAATCCTTGTTCCATTGGCAAGGGTTTCCGTATTTCCAACGGGTGGGTATAGCGCCTGAAGGAAGGACGCTGCTGAGGTCTACAGTTATAGTTAGATATTTTCGTCATTGACAGATAGTAGGAAATAGCTGCACGTGGCTGTTTACCTGTAAAACTGTGTCCACTGGGGCTTGAACACTTAATTGGGAGTTTTTAACGACGTCAGGGCTAACTCCATAGATGGGAGATGAAGCATTGCTCTCAATGTACCGGGCACGGTAGAATTCACCGGAGCTATAGACTTGCTGGTATCCCAAATTAGTCAAGGTCGTCGGTGCGAAGCTTTTCGACGTGCGATCTCCATGCCGATGGAAGATATAGACACCCAAGACAGTTTCTGCCTGGGTTGAGGGGGCGAGAGAAGCGAGAGAAGCGAGGACGAGGATAAGTGGGGTAATTGAGGGCATTTTCGGTTTCTGACTCCAACACACAGGTTGTCACACGATATACCTAAGGCCTTTAATATAAGGTCAATTGAGGGACCGGTTACAGTGCGTGAAGAGGATTGAAGATGAGATGATACCGCGAGTGAGGGGTATGGGTTCTAGGTACATGTAGGTAGGTACCTTGATAAGGCAGATAAGGTACTTTGTATTGAGGTGCATTTTTAAAGCCGTAATAACCGTCACAGTTTCTCTGCGGTCATGGTGGGGGGTTGCGCCTCCGAACCCTATAGGTACTCTATCTTAGCGCCAATCCCGATCAATTACCTATCCACAGCGGTGCATTTAATTATTTTACCTTGCTGGCTCTGGTGGGCAACTCCACTTGCTAGGCTTGCAGATAGCTACAGCCTACCTCCCAATTAAGTAGGTGCTTGTACTATGTAGGTTTAATCGAATTGGTAATGTTATTATCAATTTCAGCACTAATGTGCCATGGTGTCATAATATATTTCGTCGGATTCTCGAGAGAGGCATCCTGCCATTTATATAGCTTGGGGTATAAACATTAAACATAAACTCCTTCGCGTCATCCTGTTAGCAAACCTTCTTATACGCTCTCTTCCACCTAGGCCAAGCCGCGCGCTCTGCCCGCTCCTCTGCAATGAGCGAGGGGAGATTCAACTCCCGCATGCCGGTCCGAAGGTCCATATTTTTGCAACGCATGATCGGCGTTCTAAACCAAATCTTGTACGCAAGATAGAAGACAATAACGACGGGTGCCGCGAGATAGAACAAGAAGAAGTGCCGTGCTTGTCCTACTGCCCCTAATTCTCCGTAGCCCACTGGCCATGCCCCGACCCAAAATTGAGCTGCTAGGATAAAGGCATTAATTAGGAAGCCAATCCAAGACCCGATCACCCCGGGCTGAGACCGGAAGGCTAACTCATCCAGGCTATGGCCTTGTGACTTCCATGCTCGCCGAAATCGTATATGGGCAAGGCAGATAGATCCCCAGGTGAAAATTGAAGAAAGACCAGAAAGAGCCATCATCCAATCAAGCACAGTTCCCGATGCTCCCGAATCCGCTGCGAAAGCAACAAAACCGATCGCAGAAGCAACCCCAATAGCAACCAAGGGGCGACCCTTGCGATCAATATACCCAAGGATTTTAGGAGCCTGCCCCTGATCTGCAAGAGCGGCTAGTGTTCGAGATGAGCCGAAGACAGCGGAATTACCAACAGATAGCACCGCAATCAAAATGACCACGTTCATGACCGATGGAAGGACCTCGATACCCGCATTCTTGATGGAAATCACGAAGGGCGAGGCGGCGGCGTTTGCGCTGCCACTGGTGAGAAGTCTTGGCTCCGTATAAGGCACCAACAAGCCAACAAGAGTCAGCGATAGGATGTAGAACAAGGTGATACGCCAGAAGACTTGCTTAATAGCAGTCGGCAGCGACTTGCGTGGATTTGCGGTTTCAGCTGCGGCAAGACCAACCAGCTCCGTGCCAGAAAAAGCGAAGGCAGCATTAACAAGCACACTACAGAGACCCTTGAAGCCGTTATGAAAAGCGCCAGGATCATGCCAATAGCGGCCACCAATATAGCCATTTTCTAAATTGCCTCCGCAATTTAGAACTATGCCGAGGAGACTAATAAGGTCAGCGGCGCCCGCTGTCAAGACCACACACTGCACTTACATATATCCAATAACAGCAACAACTTTGACGAGGGCAAAGAAGAATTCCGCTTCACCATAAGCCCTGACGCCAAATAAATTGATAGTAATGATGGTTGCCAAAAATACCGAGACGAAGATCGCATGGTCGTATTTTCCTTGGCGGTCCCAAAAGTTGATAGTGATCGATGCTGCGACGATTTCGAGGGGAAGAATGGCAAGCCATTGCATGGCGTAATTCCAGCCTATCTCTCGATATTAGCTATCCGGTTTATAAGCTAGACCTGCACGTTTCGATATAAAGGAAATCTCACCCATAGCAAATCCCCACGCGGGGTCTAAGAACCGAGTCGAGTAGGCGGAGAAGGATCCCGCAACTGGGAAGAGCACGGCCATTTCGCCAAGAGCATGCATCGTGCAGAATAGCATGAGACCAATGAAGGAGAAGCAGATGAGTAGTGACCCAGGTCCGCCTGCCTCAAGGGCCTTGCCAGATGCAACGAAGAGGCCGGTACCTTGGAGGAACGTTAGATATCGATCTTAGTGTATAAATTGATACAGTAATGGAGCGCAATTACCAATGGACCCCCCAATAGCAATCATCTGCAAGTGTCTCCCCTTGAGTTTCCGTGCCAAAGGAGAATTTGCCGTGGCAATAGCAGCATCTTCGGGGTTAAAGACTCGACCATCGGCACCAACAGCACCCCTCGGGGTTACGGTGAGAGTTGGATCACGTTTGAAACTTTCCAGCACACGGCGTGGCATGGACTGGTGGATCACGGTGACCTCCTCATAGCTAGGCTCATTTCTATGGGTACTGTAGCTAGGCGACGAAAACCGGTCCTTTGAGTTTCGACTGCCCTTCTCCACGTCGTTCATGGCTACGTTCGCAGCAACGCGCCGGGGGACTTGTGATGTCTTAATTTTCTGGTTGGATTCGGTTCGAACAGAAGCTCAGCGACGATGGGAAACGCTGCGGCTGATCCTGTTCTATGATACCGGCGCAGGGTATGGTATATTTGCTAGAAGGGCGATGGCAACTCTCGCGCCGTAGCCGATAAATAACATATGTCAACCAGGCGACATCGCGGGGTTGCGCAGCCTTGGACGGATCCGAATTGATCGGATGCTATTGCGACTGAGGATGGGGATGGTGGATAATAATGGCGACGGTGAAAGTGGTGGTGGCGGTGGTGAAGGTGGAGGTGGAGATGACGATAGCGACGGAAGATGGAAATGGAGATGGAGATGGCGATGGATGCGACCGCGCGAATACGATGCTGCATATATGAGATGACTTGAATCCTTATCAGCTACCGAACCGGGTATTGAAGTACCGTCCGTTGTTTTCCAGGATGGATGGTTAAAATAGCAGCAGCAGGGCTGACCTTGTTTCATTCAATTCCCAGCGTCGCGTGGAGCGTTGAAGAGCAGAGAGCCAGCCAGCCCGCCCCAGCCCCAATCCCAAATCGCAATCCAAGCCCCAATAATACCCCGTAATCCGATCCCAAATCCAAGGTTAAATCCATCATCGGAAATTCAGAGTAGTCCCAACCCCATTAATTAATTAATTGTAGAAGAGCGGCATCAATTGCCAGGACCGAGCACCGAGCACCAAGCATGCGTTCATTGTGGAGTGTGTTTCCCGAAGTGCGAGTCAGGGTGCTTGGACTCCTTGGACTCTTGGAGATCCTGTGCTGCCGAAGAAGCGCCAAGTTCCCTCGCGTGCACTTCCCCGTACTCAATCCACGTGGCCGCCCCTATCTCCCTGTGGCACTGTGGAGAAACGAGATTGTTAGGTTTGACCGTTCGACAATGCGGCTCTTGGGCAGGTCTCGTGCTATTTTATTGACGAATTACTTGTAGCATTTTGTGTTGCCGGGCGGTGTCAATCGGCAAGATGCTACTCGTACTTACTCGTACCTGTACTGCGGATGAGTGTAATGTATAGTGTGTAATGCGTAATGTGCCCTTACCAGGCATGCGGTGCGGCGGGAAGTGGCACGGTACTCGTCTGTGAAAGTTTGCGCAAATACTCGAGCACTGTTGACCCAATAGTGCAATGCAATGCAATGCAACGCAATGGGCACGACAAGAGGAAATGGAGAACATCTCGTGGCAAAGACTCGAAGGCACACACACATTTGTAGCTGGAAAATACCGTATCTTTGCCTGAGAACGCCTTCCCATATGTACATGTAACATTTAAAATGCATTTGAAAATCTCCCGTTTATGACACTCCCGCAGTCTTCACTTCCTCAGCTGCGCGAACCCCGACCGAGCGGGTCACCTGCTTCACAGGTTGATCTGCCAATATCTTGCCGTCTGGTCCTCGGGGTTTCCTCTCCCAGCCCGTTTTAAACAATGGCCCAAGCTTGAACCGTGGGAAGATATGAGCTTCTGTATTAATGACAACCTTGTCAAGAGGGATTAGGTCGTCAGGCGAGAACAACAGGTAGAAGTATTTCAGGGTCTCGGCCTATATCTTTGTCAGTCTCTCGCCATGTCAAGGGCAGGCTTGAAAGTGCGGTTTCGAGGAGATGGAAGGGGTATACGTACGAGCCAGAAGCTTTCCATGTTGTCCCTCATCGTCGGAGGGATAGTATTGGCATCCGACAAGCTCGAGAAACCTCCGCCTTCGTCAACAGCAGTGTAGTTGACAAATGACTTGAACATTTCCCATCCCCACTCCCTGTACTTTACATCGCCGGTTATTCTCCACATATAGAACAGGCTCTCGACCGTTTCCGGCCGTTGGAGGTTGTGGTTATCGTTGGGTTTGATCACAAAGTCCTCCTTCCAGCTTGGATCTTCATCACTAAGTGTGGTCGGTGCTTTGTGTGGGGCGGAGACAGGGAGAGGCGGGTCGTCAATTTGGAAATGGGCAATTTCCGGAGCGAGCCCTGTAGCCATAGCTTTGTACATCCCCCAACAAGTATGCGTCAATTCAGAAGCGAGTTGCATCTCTTCATCCTTCCTCTTGTTCCAGGTCGGAAGTTTCCTAGCTTCTTTTTCAGTAAGGCCGCCAGTGGCACCTAGCGCGATGGACCCGGGCATAAAGCACACAAGATGGTCCATCTTGGGAGACATAGGCATGCCTAAACCACTCGGGCGCTCTGCAAGAACTGTGAATTGGGAAGGTTTCGAATACGTGATTAAGTGTTTTCGAACACCCGCCAATGCTTCGTCCCATAGCTCCTCATAGATCGGTTCCTCTTTCGACGTTTGGAGATACTGCTTGATGAGATATTCGTAATACGAATCTCCTCTGCTGCCAAGTCTGATGTTTTCTCCCCGAAATTTGCCATCCTGAGCGTATATATAAATTGGAACAAGTCCATCTTCCCTACCATTGTCATCGATCACCTTGATAACGTGCTCCGCCTTTTCCCAGTACATTGTCTCACCAGTGAGTTTGGAGAGATACTTCAGCTCGAGTTGCAGCGTGGCCGCTTCCGCTGTTGAAGATGCACCACCATCATCATGCGATACAACACCTTCATTAGTTTTCAAATTCACGCTCGCGTACGGCACGCCCGAAGGAGAGTCGAAGGCCCCAATTAAGCGGTCGGCCAGGTCTTTTGCCTTTTCGAGGTAAAGATCCTCGCCAGCCGCTCCTTCATCATCATCTGCTATAGGCGCCATATCCGGGAACTCGGTTGACAGATAATGAGCTGACAGCAGCCCTCCGAGCATTCGAATGGTTGTCTCAAATGTGTTCACTTCCTGATCCTGATTGTAATCAAGAGTGTTGGATATCCATTCTCTAGCATGCGTCAATCTTGACGTCAAATTCATCAACATCATCGTGTCTAAAGCATCCACAATGATCCAACCCATGCCTTTCGGAGTCATCTGTTTTCCATGCTTTGTAACGGGGTGGTATTCATCGTATCCTGGAGTAGTTTGTGAGTAATTGAATTCATATAGCATAAAAGTTAAAGGGATTTCACAAGAGAGTGGAGCTTTGCAAGTGCAAGAAAGGTACACATACCCCAGCCATAACGTTCATATGCATCCCAGCTTAACATAAAGGCCTCCTTGACACGCTCTCGCCGATCCAGCCAGTCGACGTTGGAGCCTTCCTCTGGTTTGTGCAGCCAGTTCCATGTACTCGTAGCCCTCTTAGATGTAGGGGTATCTCCGCCGAAAAATCCAAAAAGGTAAAGAGCACTCAATATTAAGAGCCCAACGAGCCCCATTGTCCTCTTCCGCTTCCAGATCGGCCGATGCCTTCGTGAGGCTGCATACGAGTATGGTTTGTCCTTGTACATTGGTAGATCGCCTCTATCCCTTTCAAAAAACCCTCCTACCCGGTCTTGTACGCCGCCCATTAAACCGCCATGCGAATGTGATCCCCCTGACCGTGCCGTCACTCCTGAAGCTCCCCAAACCCTATTTTCTAATTCGCGTTGCGGGTTCGTAAAAGAAGGTACATTCTTGGGTATCGAAAAGGCTGACATGTCCTCGACGACTTGCTTGCCAGATTCGATAGCTTGAGCGCCAGCGTCGACGACTCTCTGCGTGACAGTTGCGGCTGCTCGGGTTGCGGAGACTCGGAGAATGCTAAAGGCGGGAGAGCGATGAAGATTAAAAGGGTCGCGGACGTTCATGGACGCCGTTGGATCATATCTGTAAGGAGCGGCTATGCACAAGCACAAAAAACAAAAGGATTAAAAATGTAGTTGCTGTTGCAGTTGCAGTTGTTAACTTTCATGAGCTTACTGTAGCTACTCCGTACACGCTGTCCTGTCTTGGAATTTGAAGCCCAGCACCCTTGGCAGTTTAGGCGAGCAAAGGGTGGCTTTTCAGCCTGCAACAAGAGAAAGTGCGCTCAGCTCCATTTTGCAGAGCAGTAATTTCTTGCTCTAGAGGCCATGGAGCACTAGGACGTAAATTCCAACAGTCGATGTTCGTCGGTCGGTTCCTCTATGAAGCACGGTGAAGCATCGGCCTTATATAGTTGTAGTTGAGGTGTGGACGTCCCACGAAGAAAATTGCCGAATCCCGGAGAGCATCACTAGACCTAGTAGACGATCAATATCCCATGACCAATACGTTTCAAATATCTCATATTAGACCTAAGATCTTCTCTTATCTGGCAACCCTAGTTGGATTCTTCTAGGCAATTTAGTTGCTAGTTATTGTAAGAGACTTGTTCTTGGCACGAGGCTATGCAATAGGTAGCGGAGAGCCTACCAAAGTAAGAATTGCTAAAAGACGCTTCAACCGCTGGTGGCTTTATTTACTTGTCTCAACAAGAGTACACCACCTAGCTAATTTCCTCTGTTGAGCAACCAGTCGAGATGTCTCATAGAGAAGAATACCGACAATGGCCTTTTGTTACAGATGATGAATTTGCACTTGTCTGTGCATTCCTTGATCAAAGATATATCAAGGCGAGATTAGGACCTACTAGGCAGGTCTTCAAGATTCGCTCAAGGTGGACCGCAACCACTGGAAGCTGTTATATTGAGATAATCCGACTGCTTCAGCTCTCTGAGGACCAAGATGAGCTATCACTTGCACTTCAAAAACTAAATGGCGGTCGAGAGGAGCCTTCCGAAGTGGACATGGAGATAGATGTTGAGAACGAGGACGGAGACCAAGTTAGTAACTTCTATTTCCCCCCCTTTGTCAAGTCTCTACTCTAGTGTATTGCGATTTTTGAGTATCCGTATAACATAATTATAGGAGGCACTTCGCCCAGATTTGGAGAATCATAAGCCAGGGACCACGACTTATCAAATTCCTTCCCAATGCAATCCCTATTTGAGCTTGCCTTATGTGGTTTATGAAATACATCTACATCCCACTTATCGCATTCCTACTTTGTGGTTTACGTTGCACGACCTTCCTATGTCAGAGCCAACATTTGACTTAAACTCGGTCTACCGTTATCTTGTACCAGAAGGGTATAAAAGTCAGCTTCGAGATGCTGGGATCACTGGTGGGATATCTGCTGCTGTAAGTCATCTTCTAGTACCCTCCCTAGCATAGCTTTTTGTGGAACATGTGCAATAATAATAGAACCTCGCAGCCGCATCCCATCACAGACGTACCATCTTTCTTTATCCACCCCTGTCAAACGAAAGAGGCCATGGAAAGATTTGACTGCCCAATGACGGACTATCTCATGGTCTGGCTTGGTTTAGTTGGAGGCTGTGTTGGATTATGGTTACCCCCCGAGATGGCCCAGGAGAATACAAATGGATAGTGAACTCCTACCCGATATACCATCATTCAATCAACGTTTCAACCAAATAGGTTTTATGAATATTAGAAAGTGAACCATGGTGAGCATGTTCGGAGACATATTTGCATAGATCTATTTTCGACTCCCGCTTTGTAGTATCCCCATCCTCTTGAGGAACCTTCCGGTAGACCATGTGGTAATTCCAACTCCAGGCGCCTTGCAATGCATCTGATAATTTTTGCGACTTTATTCATCATCACTGTCTTCCTCCATTGCAACATCTTCTTCGTCCTCATCGGCTTCCTCTTCTTCATCTCTCCTTCTCTTCTGGCCGGCTACACTTGTCGTTGGACTTCTCGCATCTTCCATAGCATGATCAGCGCCACCTGGGGGCTTTAGTGTACCGCCAGTCGAGGATGCCGTAAGGGCAGACGGAGGTGCATTGAAAATGCTCTGTTGCAGTTCTGTGGCGGTGACAGCACCAGCTGCAGCAGCTGGCATGTGGAAGGTACCGTCCAACCTCGCAATGCTGTCAGACTTCGATTTGGCATATTGTATTTCCTAAGAAGCAATCAGACGTTAGATTATTTTGACAAAGAAACGGATGGAGGAAATGTAAATTGAATAAGGCTCACCATTTCTCGACCATAGAACTCGAACCCTTGAAGGGCCCTCATAGCCTGCGTCGCGGTTTGGATATCTCGATACACAATATGTGCTTGGCCGCGCATTTTCATGGTCCGGAGGGCCACTACATCGAGGACGGGGCCATAGGTGCAGAAGAGGGTGTAGAGCTCCCTTCGCAGATCTTCTTTCTGAATTTTGGAGGATGGGAGATTGGTGATGTAGAGTCTGGCAAATGTCAGTCTGCTGCCTCGAAAACAGCGATTGGATTTGAACTTACGATTGATTCGGGGCGTAACTAGGCACCTTCTTTTCCGGCATCGTGTAATTAAATGTTGCGAGAGATTGCGGGGTGGGGTACGCGCTTTCTCTTCCATAAAATAAAGTTAATGGGCAGCTCCCCGCGGATGCAAGATAAGTTCAGCACTGAGGTTGAAGCCACAATTTGTGTCCTTAGGCCGCAACAATTAACTGTTAACGACCCCTCCTGTCCTCGGCTCCGCCCTCCTCGACTCCAGACCTACAACTACCACCACTCTAAGAAGCTTCACTTGATAGTAGAGAGCTCCTCCTATCAAGCAACAATTCACAATGGCTTCTCCAGAGGTCCACCATCTCTTCCACCACCCTATCGCCGACCACTCCTTTTCTGCCGACAAGCAAACCTTGGCTGTTGCGAGAGACACCAGCGTGGAGCTTTACGGCCGAACAGGCAGCGGTTTCAAACTGAAGGATGAGCTTAAAGGGCATGACAAGACTGTCACCAGCGTGGATATTGCATTAAACAGCGGGAGGATTGTAACCTGTTCGCAAGGTATATCATGCATTGTTTAAGTTTGGTGGGTCATGCTAACACAAATGTCTAAGATCGAAATGCTTTGGTCTGGGAACCATCGCCAACAGGATACAAACCAACCCTAGTTCTTCTACGCATCAATCGAGCAGCAACTTTCGTGCGTTGGTCGCCTTCGGAAACGAAATTTGCCGTGGGATCTGGCGCTAGAGTTATTGCGATCTGCTACTTCGAGGAAGAGAACGACTGGTGGGTATCGAAGCACATCAAGAAACCCATCCGAAGCACTATCACAACGGTGGCATGGCATCCTAATTCCGTGCTGTTAGCCGCCGGGTCCACTGATGCCCACGCAAGGGTATTCTCGAGCTTTATCAAAGGCGTGGATGCTAGACCAGAACCGGGTGTGTGGGGAGAACGTCTGCCATTCAACACTGTTTGTGGGGAGTATCTCAATAACTCATCAGGCTGGGTGCATGCAGTTTCGTTCTCCCCAAGCGGCGATGCTCTTGCTTTTGCTGCCCATGACAGTAGCATCACCGTGGTCTATCCTAATGGAGCGGACCAACCTCCAAGGGCCGTGATCAGTGTTAATACCCAGTTGCTACCATTCATGAGTCTTATCTGGAATGGTGAGAGCGAGATTATTGCCGCTGGTTATGACTGTGAAGCCTACCGTTTCAAAGGTGGTGAAGGTGGCTGGCAGCTTACTGGCTCATTGGAATCAAAGGGACGACCGGGACTTGGGGATGCACGGGAAGAATCAGCATTCAACATGTTCAAACAGATGGATCTAAAAGGGAAGACCAAGGATGACACCCAATTAAAGACCGTCCATCAGAATACAATTAATACGATTCGTATATATGAAGGCTCCGGCGGCACCGTTAGGAAGTTCAGCTGTAAGTCCTTTAGAGCATCCCACGATTTGAAATTAGCACTAATCCGTAGTAGCGAGTGGCGTGGATGGAAGAATCGTCATCTGGAATGCATAAGATCAGAACGAGAACCAAGGACCGCATGACATAGAATAAACACGTTCCTATACCAAGGATTTTGTTTTGTGCCCCCTAGTCGTCTTAATATAGCATTTGAATCAGTTGTTGACAAAAACTTTTTTATATACCCCTATATTCTGGATGGTATCTAGTGATGATCCACTGCCATCTTAGAGAGTTATGTCGGCGATCCTATCTCTAGTGAGATATTGACCTGCCCCTTTTAATACCCTTGCCTAGACTATCGTCGAATTGGCATGTCTAAGTCAAGCACCGTTCCATTTTCGATTCTCCAACATGTGACGGTGTGATGCGGGGCCGGCAAACCTTCTATACTTGGAGTCAGTATTGTAGGTCGAGATATGTATTTCCGACCTTGTTAATTGATGAGTCGCCATTTGAGCCCACTATTTTTGCAATCTAAATGGCACCCCGATTAATTTGGTTGGTCCAGCCAACATCCAAATACGACGAGCGCAATTTTAACCCCAGCGTCTGGCCACAACAAAGGGGGACAAACATGGAGTGGAGAGGGCAGCTCATGCCATAATCATACGAAATGGAGGGACATGGAGGGGTATAAGAAACGAGATGTAAGAAAACAATGACAGATGATCGCCCAATTGATAGTTAGGCGCCGAGGCAGGGGTGCCATTGCGTTCTTAACTGTCTCTGTATGCCTATAATTTCCAAGCTTATGGTGCGCAATATTATTCCATATATGATTTCCAGAGCTGCATCCAAGTGGGGGGCTGAGCTGGCCACAACAGCGGTCGGTCGAGGCGGTCGCTTGAGTGGTGTCGCGTAAGGTGGATATGGCGAGTTTCCAACAGTATCCAAGATGACCCGAGAATCACCTTGATGGATGGCCACATGGGGAGTTAAAAGATGGATTTCAATGCCTTTCGGATCCCAGAAATGCTTATGTTCCATCGTATTGATGCGGCAAAACCGCGTGTGGAGAGTTCATTTCTGCAATGACTGAATATATCCTGATTGCTTTCCATATATACCACTCGCCAATACCAAGGATACGCCGATGTAGGATGATGTGTTGGCGACGGTGTCGTGCTCTCGGATCGTCAGCAGTGAGCTGGCATGCCACGGGGGCTTTATATTCCCATTGTGTCACCTTCCTAGGTACTCTAGGGGGGTGCTTGCAGTCCTTGTCCTTATAACCACAGTCAGTCGCCAGGTATCTGGTATTACTACCGTCTGATGACGTGGAACCAGCAATCCGAGTAGGGAAGTCATATACCTACCCGGCCTCGAACATCGGCGACTATGAGGATCACATACCTGCCCGGCCTCGAACATCGCCGACTATGAGGCATTTGCCCACATGGGCATAGCATATATAAACGGTCATAAAGGGGATAGAACCGGGTGCCCTGGGCTCCGAGCACGCCGGGTGCAGGCAGACATCCGAGCGTAGGTAGGTGTAGATGGATAGATGGATATTGTCACTTTATGAATATTGAATATTGAATATTGAAAATTGAATATTGATATCGCAGATATTTGTAGTTGAACAAGTACCGTAGTATATACCTGGGAGCCAACCGTGACCCAGCCCGCAGGTGCCCTCGACATGGCTCCTGGCTGGCTGATCAGCCAACCTCGTCCGTGAACCGTGAATCGTGGACCAAACGAACCGGCGCAGGAGAAGACAAAACAAGACTTGATCGCATCACGTCGCACCGCATCGCAGCGCAGCGCATCGCCGGCGCATGGCATTGCATCTGTTCCCAAGATATCTCCGCGCGGCAGCGGCGCCGGGCAGCAGGCAGGCCGATAGGCAGGGCCAGCATGGATGTTTGGCTGTCTGCACTGAGCTGCAGCCTGCAGCTGCAGCTGCCCGCCCATGTAACGTGCATATATCATGGCGAAGAACGAAAGAACGACCATCTTATTATTCCTTATTCCTTATTACTTCTTATTCCTTATTCCTTATTCCATATCCGAATGTCGCGGTCCGTGGTCGATCGATGATAGATCAACAAAACTCGACGAAAAGGGGCAATAATATGGTTTGCTACCTAGGCAACCGGCTTCCTGCTCACCACCACGGCACCACCAGCTGGCCTCTGCTGATATTGCTCTGAGTACCTACCTAGGTAATATCACCCAACGCACGTTACAGCACTCGCATGTTTGCTGCATTCGCCGGCACTTTGCAAGCTCATGCAAAAGCCGCCCGTTGCCAATCCTCATCGCCACATTGCTCGATGCTCACCTCATCTTCCCACCGAAGTCCGGCGCATATCGAGCCATTGCGCACGCAAAACAGGTTGGCCTCAAAAGTGGGCTTCAATTCACGGTCTGGGGGGCGTGTGATCATCTCCATCGAGTTGTTTTGCCGGGAACGGCTGAGGGTGGAAGGGCGCTGTTAATGGGCTCCTTTACGGAGTAAGGGGTATATAATGTTTTTGATATCAAGAAAAACCACGATGCGGCCTGCCAAGCGCCGCCCACACTGGATGATATGAAACGATTGGCAGACAACAGACGTGCGATGCATAAGTCATCATTTTGGGATATCTCCTTGCGCCTGGTAAAGGAAAACAGGAAAGCCATGCTCCCAGTATCCCGTCTTTTATTGCCCTTTCCATGCTTCCCCATACCCCTTTTTTGCCTCTGTGTCAGATAATTCCTTCTCCCTCCCTCTCTCCAAAAATAGACCTTATGACTACCCACCCAACCTGTATGCGCCCAGCGATCATCTGCCAGGTCCGGAACGCAATGCCGTAAAACAATCTGTACAACTGACATGGCAGACCCTATCCTTTTGACGCCCCGCGACAGATATGGTCGCATATGAGTACTCCGCAGAATCTTCCCAAAACCCCAAAAAAGAAAAATATGAGAGTCGTGCATGCCGTAAAGAAGAAAAAAGGTCGAAATGGTATCAAGTTATGTATAAGAAAATTCCAAAAAATGTCCAAACCCGTAAGACCGCATGTCCGTCGTGTAGCGTATACACACATATATATATATATCTTTAGGCCCCCCGAGTCACAGAGCCGTAGGGCTCACGAGTTGCAAAGGGGGCAATGGCCAGGCACGACGATGTAGCGTTCATGTGGGCCGCTGGGGCAACGATGTTCTCTTTTGCCATCCACCGATGTGCCAAAGAAATGTGCTCCGGGGTCTTGGCATGATGTATAGATGTAGTAGTTTTTGGTATATTCACACATTTTGGCGGGGATATCGGGGGAGGCTTAGGTGGAAGGTCTGCTGGACTTGAACATAGTAAGCATTGGACCGTGGGACAATTGAGGACCGGTACCAACCTGTGCCTGTGTTGTGGTGGGTCAATGGGCGAGGGGTGGGTAGTGATGGTTAAGATCAAGAGGTAGAGGCGGCGGTGGATGGCTTCGAGGGAGATGGGACGAAGGACCAGTTTGTGGGCGATGGCTGATGGTTCAGCATCCCTTTGTGTACTTATATAAAAAAGGAAAAGGCAGGATTCCAGGGAGGGCGATCAGGAGGGGGCAACTTTTCCCGGCGGATGGTGCCCATAAGAAGGATCGGATAAGACAGCAATATATATTCTGTCGCTGGTGGAATCGTGCAACGAAGCCTGAACCGACATTGTTGGAAACACTAGATTACTTATGTGGATGAGGGAGGGACGACATGACTTTCTGAGCTTTGGGCGCGGCCCATGCATGTAACAGACAATGGAGCACGCCGCTCGCCGTTCCGCTCGCCATTACCTAGGTATTACACCCCTCATCCCCGTCGCCGTCGCCGGATCACGTCCTCGTCCAACGGTCCAAGACCAAGACCGGGGGAGAGTCAGGCAGAGGGAGAACAAAACGCTGGCGGGATGGCGCTTGTTGGGTGTAGGAACTGCTAGGAAGGGCTGGCGGGGGGGGGTTTAGGGG